TAACAATTATAGCAGTCCTTTTAGATGAAATCATGTATGTAGACACTAAAAAAACACATATAGTGAAAAAAATACAATATTCATCGTTTCACTTCGAATGGAAAACTTGTAATAACCAGTGGCGGGTCGTACTTATATGCAATGATGCCATCTCTCTCTGTAAACAGTTCTATATATATTATATATAAAAAAAATGAATTTAAAATTGGAATTTTAGTAATCATTATAATTGGTAAAATAAAAATGTACAAAATATTTTTGTAAAATGTATTGAAAATAAATGTGTTAAATTAACTTTTTCACTTCTCAACGTTATAAATAAAAATAGTTTAAATGCTGACCTTCCTACCGACTAACATATTAACGTCCGTCGTATCGTAATGAATCGGTGTCTGGTATTTTCATGTCTAGCGCGACAGATCTGCGGAGTATACAAAAATATCGGGTTTTAAATATATAATAATAATAGTAATCTTTATTACTGAAATCATAATGGTGCGTATATGTGTGCGAGCCGAACCTACCGCGAATTGCTTATGAAGGGTTCGTGTGATGATCGTTAAGGCCACGTATACACTTGCGATCCGCTCGCGAGCCAATACCGACAACGAACCAACTTGTACCGGGTTCGCCAGTGGCGTAACTAGGATTTTCTGAAGGGGGGTGTTAATTATAATTATTAAATATTATATATAATACATACGAACTAAAACTTTTAATTAATTAATATGTATACATAATGTCTGTAATAGAGATATAATTTATATTCGAATTCGGATAGCTTTACCATAAATTATTCGAATATTTGACTATTTGAATATCAGTATTCGATGCTACGATACCTATTATTATTAAGCGTTTTGTGTTGCACGAAAACGTAAACGAATAATTTTCGTCACGTATTGTCGCAATCGCGAAATGTTAACCTGTATATATGTAATTAGTATTGTGCATTATTTTATATTTCATATTGTATTATCGATTTACCTATATTCCTATAATAATGTAATATATGATACGACTCAAGGGGGGTGTCATATCTACCAAACATCCTCCTTGTATACGCCACTGGGGTTCGCGATAGGTTCGTCAAAAAAACCGACTCTCGATGGATCGGCGCGGACGGTTCGCTGGACGTTCGTCAACACCGTCTCAATTATTGTCGCTATCGGTTCGCGATGGGTTCGGTTCGCACATGTTTACGCGCCTTAATGTATAAAGTAATTAAGAGCTGCACGCGTGCCGGTGAAGTCGTTATTTCCAGATAATGATTGAGCGATAATTATTGTCGCATGTTTTCACCAAAGACCTGCACAATATAGTGAAGACTGACGCGTCGTGGTTGATGTGATTTACAATTATTATTAGTAGAGTTGATAAATTGTATTATTCTTAAACATTTTTACGAGTAATATGTATTAAATAATAAGATAATATTATTATATATTTTAGTTATCGTGAGTAACCCTAAGTTATGGTAGTGTGATCGCACCTCTAATTTTAAATTACTAGGAATCGCCACTATTAATAACACAATGTAATACGATAATTAAAGCCAACACACGAACACAGATAATATTTTCATGTTTCCATTGACTAATTAAGAAATTCCTACGATGACTAGCCCAAATGAGAGCAATTTTTTTTGAAACGTATTTTGAAATTTTGTAACAATGTAGTTTTGCACCATGGTACGAACCGATTAATTTATTATCCGCTACCGTGAGCGACATATCGAACTATTAAAAAAAAAAAGTAAGAAATGTTATATAGAATGTTATGCTATTTACCAGTGGCGTTGCGTTAGCATTGAGGTTGGGGAGATGTTGAGACAAATGGCCATTAATACAATGTACTTAGTGTACTGTGTATGCAAATGCAAACCGTGTTAGCATTTGACATGTCGCAAAATATTTTTTAAATAAATTGCAACGATAATGTTAGAAATTGTAATCATAGGCGTGCGCAGACTTTTTCTGCAGGAGGGGCCCCTTAAAAAAAGTGAACCAAAGATTCTTGTACTAAAGACTAATAGTATAATTAAATATTTTAAATTTTATAAATTATTTATTTAATTCAATATGCAAATATAAAAATAAATACTATTTAAACTTACACATTTTATATCTAAGAAATCCTTATTTACATATTATTATACTATTTAAAACTTCATTCTTCTGTCCACGGGAGTAAGGTTTTTGAATGTATCAATTACATCTTCAATTTTTATATTATATGCAAGTTCTGATTAGTCTGATTAATAACTAATAACTTTATTAGATTTATTCACAGATATCAATTCTGTACTATAAGATTAAAACTGGCTTTACTTTATTCATGTAAAATGTAAAAATGTTCACTATCTTATACAGTACAGTTATACATTAATTAAAGAAAAAGCCAAAGCCCGCAGGAAGGGCTGTGGTCCACCCAGCCACCCCCGCGCGCACGCCTATGATTGTAATGTTAGATGATAATTAGAACTAAATAAGTAGAACGATATGCTAAATAAGTATACCTATGTGCTATATATATAATGCTATTGAGTTTGCGGTGGATGACAACGGCTACGTTCATAACCGAATAACGATAACTAATATTAAATCGAATACGTGGTAAATTTAGAACGTGCCACACAAATTAACGTATTATTAACTTGGTCACCTGGTGACTGAGACTAGTCCACCGTATTCCTTATAAAAACCATTATCGTAATGATCCTTCAAACTTTATTCTTACTTCCTATCTATAAGAATTATAATATTTATGCACGCATTGGTGTTTTAATTGTCTCATCCGTTTCTCGACAGACTCGACCACTTTATCTTGATTCGGAGTATTGCTATCGCGGCGTCCATCATTATCACCAATTTCAAGAATAGCTCAGAATATATGTTTTATATAGTACTTGCATCGACTCGTGCGTATAAACCCACATATGCGTACAATATTATTTATTAGACGTATATAGAAAATTTAGTTGACTGGTTACAGTTGAAAATAATTGTTATGAATTTATATTGAATTGTTTTGTTCGACAAAATATAGTTGTTGTGCTTAAAAATTGTTGGAAAATAATTTTATTCTTAGGTCCACGAACACGAACATGAACACGTACTCGCATATATGCGATTGTACTATAACCGATCGTTTTATGAGGGATCCCCAGTTATTACTATTATATTAGTATATGAATTATATTTATAATATTATTTCCATATGAATAGTCGTAAAAATTAATAGTATGTGAGGAAAGAACGCTGACTGACTCGACATTCGACATGTTACGATGTAAGACCGAGACGGTACAGGACGTACGGGCGAGTAAGTCTATGTATGTCTGCGTCAGTTTACAATAGTGTGTAGTAATTTTGTCTTAATAAATATTTTCATTTGTATAATTAAAACCTATCAGTTTTATCACATTTTCATCTACTTTTTGAGAGCCATCCGAATAAACCAACTTCACGATACCTGGTGTTAACGAATCAACTCGGTGAGACCACAACAAGGGGCAATACCAATGGGCAGTGTCGCCGTGTTACACTTGAATTTAAGGATCCAAATAATAAAAATATAATATTTTATTTATTTATTTTTTATTTTTTATTTATTAAATATATTTATCTATCCAGATATTGGATATATTATATACTATATCCAAATATTTGGATATAATTGAATCAAAACGATAGTTTCAAGGATATCTATTTAATTCTACAACAGTTAATACGAGTACATATAGCCGAAAAATGTACACTATTATTTTCTATTTGACTATCCATTTAAAACCCCTTGATATATTGTCTTTATTTTGATAAATGAATTAAAATCATATACTAATTGATATTATTATTTTCGTTAAAATTGCTTTAAAAACGTTTTTACGTCTAATAAAACAAGCACTCCGGAAAACACGATGTTCTCTTTTTGAATGTGAATTTGATTGGATTGTAATGCACACAATTATCAAACACATTATAGGGAACGGTTAATGATTTTTAATTTACGTGCATAATCAATAAAAGCCACTTTAATTTATATCTTTCGTACTACATATATAATTCGAGTAAATAATAGCAAACGCCGTTGGAAATCGACTGCGTATTTAATTTTAGTTGACAACATAAACATGTTAATATTTTGATAAAAGATGATTTTTCACGGTTTGACTTTAATGCGTACAATAAGAGGTCCGGGCGGTATCGTATATTACGTTCACATAAGAATCAGTAAACCTGTACAACATGAACTCGACCGACGAGTTAAATATATTGAAAATACGACGAGTGATGGAAATGAAAATTGTTGTTAAGATTTTGATAAAATATGTTTGGCAATAATTTACTTAATCAAAGTAATAATCGTTACGAAAATGGAAGCCGGATTTGTACTTAGTGATGGGAAATTGAATTTTTCATGCGATGTCTCGATTATTTTTGAATAGATCATGACGATCCGACTTTTAAAAGATCGAATCATTTTTGTGAACCGAATTATTGATACGATATTTTATGCGAATCGATTCAATGTTATTTGTTGAACTGATTACGTAATACAAATTAAAAATTAATACACATTTTATATTTTCATCTAATTTTTACATAGAGCACAGGCAAAACTGCAAATAATGCCATTAAGAAAAACCGCATATAAAGTGAATCTATCTTTTTTGGATTGTTATTTTCATTCAGATTTGAATTGTTTCAAAATATCGAGTCATTTCCAAGAATTGCCCGGCACTAATTCGTACTTTATGTACTATATATAAACTATATGTACTTTATACAACAAAATGATAAAATCACCGAATACAATATAGATGGGTACTTTTATCTCTCAACATCGTGTAAGTCATCATCGTTTACTTGTTATCAAGGAAGATAAATTTCGAATTTTTGACGTGATGCCGCTGCCTTGGCGCTGCTGTCCATTTTGATTGGTAGTTTTTGGGTAGGAGTAAAGAGAAACACGGACACCGGTGCAAATACTTTGTGCGCACGCGCTTTCTGTCATTTTCCGTGCCTGCGCTGATCGTTAATCCGTATTACAACCACGTCTCATTTGTTTTCCGTTGTTCGTTGCGGCGTTCACTTTATCAACGCCGTCAGCGTTTAATTCACACTATTAGCGTTAGTGAAGCACACAGGTAAAGTTTTGTAAAATATCTTATTTTTTATGTGAGTGTTTCACTATCGACGATTCGCGGGGTTATATTATTGCCATTTTTGTGAAAGCATTTAAGGAAATATCTTTCGGTCCATTCCACGTGTTTTACTGGAATCAATTTTCATGATCCGGTTTTGTTAAATAATTGTTTTCATCATTATGATTTTGAAATATGGTCATCGTTTGTAAATGTCTTAAGTCATTTTTTAATTTTCCTTCTTGAAATTTTTAAAACTTTTGTCCCCCGAGTTAGACCGTTTTTTATACTGAGAAATCAATGTGGTTAAATTATTTTTACAGGTTAACTGCGGACTGGATTTTTCTTTAATAAATGTATAATAATACTATATAACAATGGTGGCCAAACTACGGCCCGCGGGCCAACTCCGGCCCGCCATCATTTAATATCTGGCCCGCGAAAGTCTTCTATATTACAGCACTTATTTGTATAACTAATATTTTGCATTTACGTAAAAAAAAAATTTAGAATGCATTTTTTTATGGCCCGCGATAAAAAAAAGTTGTTTTTTATGGCCCGAGGAAAAAAAAGTTTGGCCACCACTGCTATATAAGATAGCGAACATTTTTACATTTTACATGAATAAAGTAAAGCTAGTTTTAATCTTCTAGTATTGAATTGATATCTGTGAATAAATCTTTTAAAGTTATTAGTTATTTATCGGACTAATCAGAACTTGCATATAATATATTAATTGAAGATGTAATTGATACATTAAAAAACCTTACTCCCATGGACAGAAGGATGGAGTTGTAAATAGTATAATAATATGTAAATAAGGATTTCTTAGATTGTGTAATTTTAAGTAGTATTTATTTTTATATTTGCATATTGAATTAAATAAGTAATTTATACAATTTTAAATATTTAATTATTCTAGTAGTCTTAAGTACAAGAATCTTTGGTTCACTTTTTTTAAGGGGCTCCTCCTGCGGAAAAAGTCTGCATGCCTATGATTACAATTTCTAATATTATCGATGAAATTTATTTAAAATATATTTTGCGACATGTCAAATATTAATGCGACTTGGCAAATCTTTTATTCAACTATAGATTCTCACATATTTGAATAATAGATCCTTTCAAGTGTTTAAAAATTTGAGTAGCCAATTTAACATTAATTTTTTTAAACTAATTGAATTGTATATTAGACTGTTATTTTGAGTAAAGCTGTTATTAGTTTATATAGTATTGTTAAATTTTAATTTTTTTCAGTTATATTTTTTTTCCCCATAAGATTATTTCTTTCATATTTGATAAGTTAAGTATGTCAAATAAAGATTTTGTTTTATTTTTATTTCTATAAACATACTTGTTTTTCTTGAAGTTCTACAACTAGAATTATTAAGTTTTTATGAATTCCATGTTTAATAGTAGAATTGAAAAAAGAAATATGTTACTGTAGTTTTCCAGGATGAATATATCTTGCCATAAAGACTAAACAGGTTTGAAATTTAACTTATTTTTGTATCAAACAACACTTAAGAAATCATTCACCTTTGCCTTTACCTTTCTCCCAACTATTTGGAGATTGGCCACCTTTGTCCTAAACCTCCACTTGTCTCGATTTTCTATACATTCCCTATGCACACACCAATAACCTCATATAATTTTTAACATATTAATATAACACATAAGTCGGGTTTTACAGAGTACTAGCTAGAAACTGGAGAATGTTTTTTTGAATAAAATATATAAAATATAATGAAAATCCTTAGTTTTGTGTGATGCATATTGATACAATTTATACATTATACGATTTATAATATAAAGCATATTATGGTTCGCAGAATGTAGTAATACTTTATTCTAATAATTGAAGTACCATATCGTCATTTACTTAAAGTCTCTTAGGACATGAGATCATACTTAGAGTAAAATTACAATTAAAATATCACATGCTATTTCATAAAACCGTTGGCGGTCATATGCCAATTGACTAATTATAATATAATGATAATGTCATACAGTCGTCAACACCTTACACTTCAAATATATTCATCCTCAGAAAGACATAATGAAGATAATAATGGAATTATTTTTTTCCAATTATTTGTTCTATAAATTTACCAATTTACATTTATGGAATGACATGGAAAATAGAACGTGTTCATGTTTATAATTTTTCACTGATTTTAATATGTTGGCAAAACTCTTAAAGTTGAAGAAGTATCCAGTTGTTCATACAAACAAATTTAACTATTCAATAGTTTTTATTTATTGTGGATTCTGAAATTATGATATCTGTTAAAATTATTTTCAGATTTATTGTTCAAAAATGTTGACAAAATAATTGTTATTTTAATTTTATTATAGTAATATTTTATAATGGATCCTAATCCTATAAGACCTATGAGAGGAAAAGCTCGTGGACGTCCTCAATTGCCAAATGTAGGATCTAATCAACAAGGTTCTATTCCACCACGGCCTCAATTCACTCAACCTCGACCAACCCAAATAAGTGCCCAACCTATTCAACAACCTACGCAGCCAGGTATGAATCGGCCACCTCGTCCAATGCCACCTCGACCTAGTGGCATGTTGCTTCAACGAGCTCCTAGACCATCATCAGGTCCCAGACCAAGTAGTGGTGTAGTTTCAGCTTCTAAAATCGACCCACCTGTAAGAAATCATTTGAGAATTTATTTTAATATTATTAATTTAACTTGATTCATATTATGTTTATTTTTAGATTGAACAAGTTACAGAAGGACTTCAAAGTTTGACAGCTACAGGTACAGTTACCTTTTAATATATATGTTAATTATTTTAATTAAAAATGCTGATGCTGTCTGAAGAGTGCTTTCTTCTATTTTATTATCATTAAATAATATAAATTATATTTGGTTAGTACCAGTACTTAAGATGATAACACATTACCATATTTTATTTTATTAAAATTGTTTATAGGAGATGGACTTGTACCAATTGGTCGTGGAGCTGTTCGTGGTAGAAGACAAATTGATACTGATCATTTTAGGTCACCTAGACCATTATCTTCTATGGGTGCTACTGGAAAACAAGGTAAGAATCATATATTTAAAATAAAATATTAATTGCAATTAGTAAAGCATAATTTAAATTACTATTATTAAATAGGTATTTATATTAATTAATGACTTATGTACTAACATTTAAATTAAAAATATAAATTTAAGGAAAATTGATCATTTTTGCTGTTTTATCTATATAGTTTTGGGTCAAGTTATTAAAAAGTTATTGGCTAATGTTTTTCTATGAGCTTTAGTTTGAGAATAAATGAACCAAGGTATTGGACACAGGGTGTCAAAGAAATATATTTAATTTATTTTAATTCTTTAAGTTTAGTACTGAGTTATTGGCAAGATTAGGCTAGTAATATTTTAAAGATAATTAATTTGTGGATTAGAATAATTGTTTTGTTTTATTAATATTTAATGTTTTAAGTACATTAGTATGAGTATATATCATAGAAATAGTTTCAAAAAAAGGTATTGATATGTAAAAGAGTTTATAACATTTGAACATGTTTGAGTCTTAAATAATTATGTAAGACTATATTAAATGTAAAATATTAAATTAATTTTATCCTAACTGTTAAAATTATTATTAGTGTTTCTTTAGAAGTTATTTTAACTAGTTAGTTTTTTTTTTTTTTTTTAATTAAATTATTTATTTTATAATTTCCTAAAACAAATTGTTAAATAGTCCTAATGATTTCAAATCATAAAAACGAAAATTCCATTTTGTTCATTATTTTTATTTCCAATTTTCAATTAGTATTTCTTTTTATTTTAAACCTTTAAGGAATCTCTGGTCAACCTGTTCAATTGCTGTCCAATTATTTTCCTATTACATCGTATACAAATTGGTGTTTATATCAGTACAGAGTTGATTTTAATCCTGAAGAAGATAGAATTGGAACTAAAAGAGGACTCTTAGCTCAACATCGAGAACGGCTTGGTGGATATTTATTTGATGGAACTATGTTATTTTCAGGCACTAGATTTGATCCAGAAGTAAGCTTCTATGTACTTTATGTTTGTACATTAAATAAATATGCAATTATTTAATGCATATTGTTATAAATTTTAATGATTAAATAATTTATAATGTTTTTTAGACTTTTGATTTGGTTTCCATACGTCGTTCTGATGATTTGAAGGTTGTACTAACTGTTAAATTTACTTCTGTTATTGAAACTGGAGATTATGCCAATATACAAGTTTTTAATTTACTACTACGAAATTGTTTGAGACATCTTGATCTTAAATTAATTGGTAGAAATTTCTATGATGCAAATGCTAAGGTATTGATGTTATTTGTGTTAAAATACAAAATTATTCTAACCTTAACAATTTTTATTTTAGATTAATATTCCACAACATAAACTTCAACTTTGGCCGGGTTATGAAACATCCATCGGAAAGTATGAAAATAGTATTTTGCTATGTGCTGAAATATCCACCAAAGTTATGCGTCAAGAGACCGTACTAGATTTTTTAAATCAATGCTATAATGATAATAGAAATAGATCTGGATCAAACTGGAATGTAAATGAATTTATCTTTAATATGGAAACTTATTGTTTTTTTTTATTTTGCTTATTTCATTGTTTACACTTGTTATTATTTTAATTATTTTATCAACCCAATCTTGGAAACAAATTTTGTAATTTTGAATCTATTCACAAGTATATAATTGTAAACGTGTATATATATATATATATATATATATGTTTATTTGTGATTGTGTATGCATGTGTAAAGAAAATGTGTGCAACAGAGACAGATAGATTGACAGAGTTTTAAGTGGGAATTAATGTGAAAGGTGGTCCCAAAAAAATATTTAAACTTATTTCAGGATATATATAGGCTATAGGACTATTGTCAAGGGTAGGTTATGGAGTGGCAGATTTTAATGTACGATTTGGTGTATATCAGGAGTCTGCTCTAAGCTTTTATTTGTTCTCTGGTAATAAATGAAATAATGAAAGAGATACCATGCATGGTATATGATGTTTGCTGATTTATGTTTTAGTAGAGTAGTAAATCTGGAAGACATTAATATTATTGGATGAGTGGCGGTTAGCCCTTAAAGAAAAGAAATTGAAAATTAGAGATGGTTTAGGCATGTGATAAGCAAGAGGAAACATTAAAGGAGTAAAAGTGGTTATGATAATAAACTTCGAAGGGAAAATATCTAGACAAAAAAAAAAAAAATAATAATAAATAAAAAGGTTGGAAATGATTGAGGGCAGTTGGTGTGTATGTAAAAGGTAGAAAATCTAAAGGTTTAGGATAAAGGTGACTGACCCCAAATTGAAATTTTACTAAAAAAAAAAAAAAAAAATGTTTAGCAACTTAAATTAATGTTGTAGTTTGAATATAGTCAATTTATACATTTTATTTTAAAGTTAGAAAATATTTATATTAAAATTTTTTTTTTGATTTGTAGGACATATTTAAAAGTGGTGTAGTTGGTACAACTATTATGACACTTTATAATAATGAAACCTATCGAATTGATGATGTTGATGATGCATCTACTCCAAGTTCTGAATTTTCAAAAAAAGATGGTACAAAAATGACATATATACAGTACTATAAAGAGGTATGAACCGTTTTAATTTATAAAACAGTATTTAGTATTTTATGTGATATATTAATTAAGTATTAACATTGTTAGAAATGGGGTGTTACGATTCGTGTTAACAAACAGCCTATGTTAATATCTAAGAATAAAAAGTCTTCTAGACGATTTGGAGATGAAACACTAGTGTATCTGGTTCCAGAATTATGTGTGATGACTGGTATTACTGACGCAATGAGGTATTTATGTTTAAATTTGACATTAATTATCGAGCAATATTTTTTTTTTTGTTGCATATATCAATAATGATTGTAAAAAAAAAATTCTTATATATGTTTTAAATTCTTCGTTCTAGAAACAATTTTACACTTATGAAAGATATGGCAATACACACGCGTGTAAATCCTGATCAAAGAATTAAAAGACTGACAGATTTTGCTAATCGTCTACTTAAATCATCAGAGGTAAATAATTTTCTAAAATTGTATTAATCTTAATTTACCAATCAATTGCTTTTACTAGACTTATAGGTTATGTTCTCAACAAATAAATTGAATGAAAAAATTCTTAATCATAATAATTTATTATATATATATTTTTAAATCTTAGTCCATGGCTGAATTAAAAAGGTGGAATTTGACATTAAGTAATAAACTCGTTGATGTCCCTGGGCGTGTTTTACCAATTGAACAACTTAGAAGTAACTCTAAAGCATATGACGCTGGTATTGAAGCAGACTGGACAAAACATTTACGAGCTTTGCCAATGTATACTTGTGCTAGTATGAAAAGTTGGGTTATTGTAACCCCTCAGGATAATGTAAGGGATGTACAAGCATTTGCTCAAAGTCTACACAAGGCTGCTCAAGGAATGTCATTTTCACTACCACAACCAATTATGTGAGAATAATGAGTTGTTTTATTAATTTATTTTTTTATTTGATGTAATTTAAATATTTCTAGATCCACAATGAAAGATGGTCGAGGATTTTCATTTGTAAATACCATTGAGGACGTAATTAATTCAAAAAATCCCAATTTGATTTTATGTGTTATTCCTTCTGCACGTGGTGATATTTACAGTTTAATTAAAAGGAAGTTGTGCATTGATAGAGCTGGTAAAAATTTTAAGTTTTTTTTTTTTTTTTTTTATATTTGTTATTTATTTTATCATTGTCCAAGTATATATAAATAATGATGATTTTAGTGCCATCACAAGTAGTGTTGTTGAAGAATGTACAAAAGAACAACTTATCGGTTTGTACAAAAATTGCCATACAACTGAACTGTAAAATTGGAGGTGCTCCATGGCTAGTTCCCATTCCTAAAAAAGTAATGCTTTGTTTTTTTAATATTCATCTAACTTATTGCTGACTAATTAAATTTGAAGGGTATGATGATTGTTGGATTTGATGTTTGCCATGATAGTCAACGTAAGAATGTGTCTTATGGGGCATTGGTAGCTACTATGAATGATGCGCACACTAGTTATTTTAGTTGTGTTGAACCACATGAAAGTGGTGAAGAATTGTCTAATCACTTTGCATCTGGAATAGCTAGTAAGTGTATCTTACTAAGTTGTTAAAATTATGACATATTTTTTATTAAATTGTAATAATTAGAATTAGCTCTTACGTTTGAACACTACATTAATGTAAATCTTCATTTATTGTTTATTAAAAATTACACTAATTACACTTACAAGATAATTGTAAATACTCGTATATATATATATATATATATATATATAATTTTTCATGATGTATGAAAAATATTTTCTGCCATATTTGTTAATTTTCAATTTGAGTTTTTCGATTTATCTATTTGAAATATTTGAAAATGTAAGGGAAATACCTAACTTGAGAATGGCTTAACAAATTGAACTGTATTTTTTCAATTTTTTGTTGTATTTATGATTATTTGTCCAAGTTTTTTTATTTAAATACATCTGTAGAAAGTACTGAATAAGTCGAATAATTGACTAACAGTTACATTCCTATAATATAATTAATATATGACGGTGTTTGATTTGTGTAAAATGGGCTCCAAAACTACTTCACTGATTTTGATAAAATTTGGTACAAGGATAGAATAGACCTTGGAGATAAGGACATAGGCTACCTATTTATAATAAAACAAAAGGAAATGGAATCATCATGAATGTTGAGGTACCAAGGGATAATAAATCAAGAGAATGGAAACCCCTAATTCAAGGAGCTCCCGTTAAATATAGATATAACTTAGGTCGAGTTCTAAAAAATGTACATTGACCGTGATATGAAATGTTTTTGTTTGGGAATGCTTTTACACCAATTACATGAGCCCTTTTTCAAAGATTAAAAAAAAAAAAGCACAATTATCAGGAATATTGTTGCGTGTGGCCGTTCAATCGTAAAGATGGTGGTGATTTAGGAATATTCCAAATAAAAATACTCAAACTAAGTTAAACTGTTTGAAAATTCTCCAAGTACAAATAATTAATTAAATTGACAAACGATCTGGCATGGAGGTGCTCGCTAAAACACGTCTTAAACACATCTGAATATTGGTCTATTCAGGACTCCCTTATATACCCCGCTTCTCATAGTTGACCCGGACCTAGTGAATGCTAAATCACTCGTATGCGATTCACCTTGGCATTTAGATTGATATTACTTGTGTTTCGTGCGCTCCAACCCAAGATTACCTCTATGTAACAGTTGTCCTCGTAAATCTCGCATTTTGCATTTATCATACTGATGCCTTTCTATAATGGTTTTTAATTATTATATACTAATTGTCTTCTCTACCATATAATTAGTAGGGACCTACATCTTCATAATATATCATACTGATGTCTTTTTGTAATAGTCATTTTTAATGTCACACTTGGGAATATAGCCTACAATATAATATGTGCTTGTGTTACCCTCTAATTAAATTAATAGTTCCTTTCTATTGTTGCGATTATTATATTTATAATCATTTCCCGATCTCTATTATTACGATTTATGTGGTCCCTCTTATGTAGTAAAAGTCGTAAGGACCTATACCTATGTATGTCCGTAACAATATATAGGGCAAAAAAGTAACCAGAGAATGTCTATCAGTGGAATGTAATTCCCAAAGAGGCTGCATAATTTAGATCAGCACCTAAGGTGAATGTTTTTCGTAATTTAAATTAGCGACATAAGAGCTTTTCAAAGCCTCAAAAATTGTAAAAAAAATTCTAAACTACTTTAACTAACTTTAACTAAACTACCTCACGATTTTATTTATATTATACTCGATGTGACTCCATGTATTTGATTTCGTCCTAATTATGTTTTGAAATTGTCTAATTTTCGAGTTACGATTTTTTTATTTAATGTTCCAAAAAAATCTTTTCTCCACAATCTGAGTACTCAAAAGGCATAATGCAATCGTATGTAGTATGAGAACTCAGTTGGCCAATCAAATGAAGATAAGAAATATACTCGATGAATCGGAGAGAATTGAAGGGTCCGGTGCAAGAACCAGCTATCTCCAATGTTTTTTGAAAATGCATGTTTTTACATTATCTGATAACGAAGAATTTTGTCTACATTTCGGTGCAATAATCGGCTATGTCCGTTAGATAGCCTAATATCATACAAATGGAGATGTCTGGTATACAGTTACGGTGCAACAACCGGCTATCTCCGGAGATATCCGGTTATTGCACTAAGACATGGGCAACACTGTATAATAGTGCGCGAGATGATAGCATAATATTATTTATATTATTTATAATATTTATTATTTGTATGTTAATAAAGGTCAAAATTAAGGGTAGACCAGACAGTAATACTTTTTTTTCATTTTTTTAAATCATAAGATTCAGTGCAATAACCAGCTCTCTACATTTTTTTTAGTGAATTTATTATTATATATAAGAATATGTTGTATTACTATTTACAGTTTTGTAAAACATAATTATAATACATAGTATTAAAATTTTGCAACTTTTTAATATTTATAATTATATTGTCAACTTAAATTGATATTAGGTCAAAAAACGAAAAAAAAAATTAATTTGGTGCAATAATCAGGTATCTCCATGTTTATTTTTTATTATTTAATTAATGTACTTAAATAATGTAAAATGTGAATTTATATATACATTTAGATAGCTCTTCATACGGAGAATTCAATTATGTATATATTATATTTATACCTCAATTATAAATATATTTATTTCGTTATTTATTTCTACTGAACAATTTCTAAAATTAAAAAGATTGCTGATTCTTGTACCAGACCCTTCAGTTCTGATTGAGTCATCTATGGTAACTAACATTAAGAAAAAAGGTAGTGTGTTAACAGAATATAACCATGTAAATCTGTAAACACTTTGTCAGCACTGTCAACGTGGTTTTGCATATTTCGCTGAAAAAAATGTTTTCCGAAAAACACTTGAGAGCTACAAAAAGCTGCTCCAATTTAATTTTTCATATGGGGTCGAAAACCTAATATTTTCCGGCATAATGATAATATGCCCATCAAATCTATTTGTTAGCAAAAGATAGTTAAATTAAAATATTATTGTGTTCCTATTAGTACTTAGTTATAGTAAAAACAATCATTACAAATAATTGAAAACTAACCCCGCTGAAGTTGGAGATAGTTTATAATATTAACAAGTAATATGGATCTTATAAATTTCAGAGGCTTTAACAAAATACAGAAGTAAAAATGGATCATATCCGACTTCTATTGTTATTTATAGAGATGGAGTAGGAGAAGGGCAAATATCTCATGTTCATAAGACTGAAGTAAAATTATTGAAGGTAATTTTTTGAAAAATTTTAATTTTAACTTGACTAAGTAAGTTAATGTATTTTTCATTTTTCAGACTGCTTGTGAACAATTTTATGGTCCCACTTCTGTTCCCTTGGCATTTGTTATTGTTACAAAACGTATAAGTACCAGATTTTTTGCTAATTGCAAACAAAGTCCTCAAAATCCTCAACCTGGAACTGTTATTGATAGTGTTGTTACAGATCCAACCAAGTGAGTGCTAATAAACAAATTTTGCTGGGTTACAAAAGTACTGTTGCAAATTAAAATAAAACAATTTTTCTTCCTTGTGTTTAGTGATTGGCTCTATCAACTGTTTGAACTGTTAGATAGTCTTTCCATAAGTATTTTTGATAATTGAAGCATTAGAGTATTGTCACTTTATATTCTATAGTTTAAAAACCACTCAAACAATAGTTTTTTAATACTGTTTTATAATAGTTCTAACTTCTTGTTTCATTTTATACTTAATACAATATTATTAACGATGGGCCAATACTAATTTTTACCAATACCCGATATAATAATCACAAGTTAAAACTAAGTTGATTTTTAATATAATACATAAAAAAAAAATTAACTTAGCAAAAACCATAAACTGATACTAATATTGTTTTTTGCGATATCTGTTCAAATATCGGTTTTGAAAGTAAACTGATATTAATGTTTCCGATACCAAGTATGGGTTTTAGTTCTAGGATTGGCCCACTTATAAATATTATATAGTTTGTTAAGTTAAACATAGACATATTTGTTATGTATTTGAGGAAGTAATTAAAATTTAGTTGACCGTAGCCCCTGAGTTAGGTTAATCCTTGCTGCTCAAAACTATTTTTAGCATGGTGTACGTTTGTAATACTGACACAATGAAGCTGCATAAGATGTGATCTTTTGAACTTAAGAATTTAGGAAAATATTTCAACTGGAAATAAAAATAAAATTATTTGTCAGTTTTCAGTTCTGTGAAAAACGTTTTGAATAGATGTTCTATTTATTTATATATATTTATTAAACATCTAATATAATGCAATCTTTAATTGTAATTTATTTTTTTCAGATACGATTTCTATTTAGTATCCCAACATGTTAGACAAGGTACTGTTACACCAACCCATTATCATGTTATTGAAGATACCCTTAAACTCCCACCTGATATTATGCAACGACTTACGTACAAATTGACACATATGTACTACAATTGGTCTGTAAGTATTTTTCTTAAAAGGAGTGTAAATATTAGTATTGCCTAAGTATAAATTGCCATTATTTCAACTTTTCAGGGTACTGTACGCGTTCCTGCTCCTTGCCAGCTGGCACACAAACTTGCTTTTCTTACTGGTCAAACTCTCCGTAATCCTCCTAATACTGGTTTGGATGAATTACTGTACTACTTGTAATTTTGTAATAGTATTTAATAACTTCATTTTTAAAACATAAAGTTTTATTTTTTTTTTTCTTCATTTTTTTTTTTTTTTTTTTTTTTTTATTTAACTTAATATATATATTACATATAGTAATTAATGATCTTTTTTTATTCTTAATCTGTAATATTTCATTTCGTTTCATTCCATAAAATTTAAAATTCTGATTGTTTGCAGTATTTTTATGATTTACTTTATGACCTATTACTTGACATATTTTTGTACAAGCATCTAATATTTTAAAAATATATCTAATATTTTAAAAAAATTTACATATTGTACTTCATGATTATTGGACTATTTTATTATTAAGACTGCATGGATCTAAAATCCATAAATTGTGTAAAATTACTATGTGTAAGCATATTATTCATGGATGAAACATGTTTCTTATGAGGAATTCTTAATGAATACTTATCATAATTGGTTAGTTATATATTAAATCTAGGTTTCCAAATATAAACCTAGAACTCAATATTAAATGTGTGGAGTTCTAGTTTTACAAGTTTTGTTTATTTGTTAGTAATGCAAAGTTTTGATTTTTGATTATGACAACATTTTTGTCATACTAACCAATATTACATTATTTTAAATTATCAAGTATGAGTATTTCATTTAGACTGAAAATAAGTTCTATGATGAGTTTGAATACAGCTTCTCCAATTATTTTTAAATTATATGTGTAGTCAGTTTATTGTTTGAAATGCATTCAGAAATGAAGCAAGCATAGTAGAATGGGCTTTCTTAAATCGTTTTGATGACTTATAATATGTGTACTCGTATACTATTGTAAATAAAAATATTATATAACTGTATATTTGATAGACTCGTTTTAGTGCATAAATCAGAAAATTGATTTTTTAAATTTTCATATTTTTATACTACTACTAAGTTTTACTAATTTTTAAAAGTGAATCTAATGAAATGATAATCAAGTTGTAGTAATATTTCATAATGCTCTTTTAAATACTAACAAAATCGCCATGAGCCATTTCTACAATGTGATGATTGGTGTAGAAATCTGAATCTCGTTTTATATCTTAAAATATGGCTTACCTTGAACTATGAATATTGAATATCCCAATTACAAGTAATTGAAATTAAATTGTAATGTACACATTTATGATGATTGATATATATTCTATTATTTCTGTGTGATACTTTTTAATGCATGTTAAATAATTAAATAACATATTGTAAATAATCGAAAATATTAAATTATTGTGGAAACTAAATAACTAGGAAGCGCTAATTTCAGCTATATAAATTTATCATTAATTAACTTGGAAATAATATTTTTGATTATTCATATTTATTAAAATAAAACGACTTTATATTAGTAGAAATACAGTGGCATAATTTTCTACTTACTATTATTTTAATTGTATATATACTTATTAATAATTATAAAAGTTCATTAAGTAGCACTTTTATAGATTAAATTACCCATGCCTGATTCACTCCATAGAAAAACTATTTCATATTATTTTTGAAATATTCAATCAGTTTGAAGTGGCTTTAATACTTTTCAATTAATTTAATATTTTGTAATTCACAAAATAGAAGAAATCGTCAATATCGAAGTTGAGCCATAGTATTCATTATATACTATTTTATTGTAATTATTTTCTTAACTATTATCACCACTGAACTTTATAAAATAAATTTAAGAAATAGATCTTATATATATATATTATTAGATGTCTCATTTTTGTCCGCAAATTTAAAAAAGCTTAATCACGTGGACATGTGAACAGACATTAAGTAAATAGTATTTATACACACACTAATGTTCAAACTTGAAACTGACAGGACAAATTTGACTGAACATTACAAGTTATATAAAATCATCAACAAGTATTAAATACAGACTAAAAATGGAAACATGCAGTCATTTTTAAACTGAAATCGAAAATTGTTGCACTAAATATGTTTTTAAGTTTACATGAGCATCACATAGATGCAAGCCCATTATTAAATTATAAATTATCAGTAAGATCTCTTTTTTGTTAATTATTTTGTTAATCTATTATTTATTTATACATTATCTATTTGTTTATATTTGTTTCACGTAGTTCTATATGTATCAATTAATATTAAATTATTAATGCCACGTATAAAACATTTATTATTACTATCATTATTTACTGAGCGTACTTTAACAGTTATACTTAGTATTACTGATTATTCTAACCTATATCCATGATATACTTTTTTATGACGAATTCTTAATGTACTGTCTCAGTTATAGTTCAATTATTATTGTTGAACAACTGAGGGCATCCGACTTCAAAGACATTTATCTAATATTAATTTAATAAATACTAATGATCATGTATTTATTTTCCTCTGTTTAGTTTATTATACGTAATTTAAATTTATTTATATTTTTATTTAATTTGCTTTCTCTTTTTTTTAAAAAAAGCTAATTTCTTTAATGAATTTTAATAGTACAAATCGATTCTCGCGATTACCGATGTACGTAAATCAATCAAATAATATATTTATTTGAGTATATGACAGAGAGCAGGTAGTCGGTGACCCTATAAATTCTTGGGCTCACGTGAATAAAATGATAAATAGAAGTTCTAAGTAACGGATCATAGAAATTTAACTTTAATTTCACGTGAATACTTAAAAACGTGTACACGTGAATTAGGGAGCTCTTATAATTATAGTAAATACATTATTATATCGATTTTAAATTTTGCATTATAATAAACATTAAATAATGTATCAAATTAAAATAAACCCATAGCAGATTGATTCAAAACAAAAATATTTTCAATTTACTATTTTTTTTTTTTTTTTTTTTTTTTTACATAAATGCAGTTCGTTTAATGACAGTTAGTGTTCAACTTGATATCACTGATCAGATTTAAGTTAAAATAATTATTTTTTTACAATTGTGTTGTTTTTCCATGTTTTTTTACGTAGTAAAAAGTTTAAATCATATTCTGTATTAACTGCATAATAAACATTGGCTGTCATCGGTAAAACCATTTCTGAAATAAAAAATAAGATTAATTAGCTAAGAATAATTACACAATATATCTAACTAAAACACTGATTATAAAGAATAATTATTTACTGAATGATAAAATGATTTCTTTATAATGATGAACTAAAATAATTAAATAACAAACCTTTATCAGGTAAGACTTGAGATAAAGTATAGTTTTCTGGATCATCATCAATGCAAAATTTTAACATCGCGTTTCTTATAACTTGTGGTGTTCGTTCATTGTTACTTAACATAATACTTTTGTATAATACTATTCCTAAAATATTGAACATAATTCGATAATGTAGTTAAAATGCAAATTTAAATATACATTAAATTGAAAAACATTCAAGAAATTTTTTAATACTAGTAAATTAAATATTTTTTGTCAAAAAAAATTGTATTAACCCAGAAGTATTTTGTATTATGTTTACTATTATCACATTATTTATAATAAGTTTTAATCATAATAGTTTTTTGTTAGACATTTTTTGTTTTAATAATAATAAATAATAGTAATAATGTAATAATATTTTCAATCAAATATTTAATGATTTTTATAACATAAAATTATTTTAAAGATTTTTCAATTAATTCATAAAATAATTGTTTTATATACAGATTAAAAATAATTAAATAAACATACCATCAGTCTCAACGTTATCAGCATCAACAGTAATTCGAATAATATAAAAATCAGATGAAGTGTTGAATGTTGAATTATTAACATTATTTTTAAGCAAGAGGTTAGTATTATTACTTCCATTTAATGACATGTCAAATGATTGTAACGAATAGCTGCTGGAAGAAGATGACAAGTCCAATAATGAATCCTGAAACATATATGATACTTTTAAACCTATAAGTCATTTAACAAGTTGACTGGCTTGAGCATTATATTTAACTATCATTCAAATCTTACGCTAAAAGAGTTATATTTAATTTTCATTTATTTATTGGTTTTTAATGTACGAGAGTTGATTTTAACTCTCATTTTATTACATATTATGCAGTCTCAACTCGGCCTAGTCTTCCATATTTTTTTTATCAGATATTTATTTCACATAATATGTAAAAGAAAAAACTATAATATAATATTATTATATTATAGTTTTTTCTTTCTCATTGGTACTATTATTCAACTGTTTTTGTTATAATTAATTTTACAAACAAATATTGTACTTAAATTAATGCCTGTCATGGCATAAAAAAATAAAATAAATAAATAAATAATTGAATTAAAGAAAAAAAAACAGACAGAGATATATATAAGTATTAAATTTAACTCTCAAAGCATCTGGAACATTTTCACTCCAAATGGCTTGCCAGTCAACTTGTTAAAAAAAATTTGATACTTTGTACTTGAAATATCAATTTAGAAATTGATTATTGTAGGATAAAATAATATGATCAAAATATAAGTTTATTATGCAATCAATGAGATATGAATTAAAATTATTAAACGAGCTATAGAAAAATAACTCAAAATAATATTTAAAATGTTAACCTACCTGTTTATCTAAAGAGTTATTTGGTGAATGTAGTCCATCATCCGATAAACCATAGTAACTTTTACTACTACAATTACTGGAAATTGAATCATTTTTTTTGTGTTCATAACTAAAAATGTAAATCAAGAATTATTATAAAAGTTCTAATTTAAAATTTCGAAATGTATAAACAAAAATGTAATATACTTTTGTTTTTTTCCAATTCCTATTATTGAGTTAGCACACGATGATGGTATATTATCTGGGGGTTCAATCTGACAAGATATTTTGAACCCTTCTCTATCATCTAAAACTAAGATGGAATGAAACCATTGATCAAATACTGTATCTTCAGGTATACTGTATGAATTAGCTGCGCCTTGAAGAAGTTTGATCTAAAAACAAAATCATAATGAAAAATATTGTAATATGTTAAGAACAAATATAATACACACTTGAGCTAATACTTCAAACTCTTTTCGTTTTTTATCAAAATTAATTAGACCATCAGGTAGAACATCAGGAGTAGCAGCATCAATCATAGTCAAATCAGTTAAAAATGTTCCCAGGTATGGAATAGTTCCAATGTTTAACTTCTAAATTAATTTGAGTAGCTTTATTTTTAATTTATGAATATTATTAGATTATAATTATAACTCACACTCATTGTACTTTGCTGTTTTTGAATTATTTTTTGCAAATGCCTATCATTGTGTCCAAATGTATCTGCAAATTTGGCTGTACCTTCTCTAATTAACAATTTACGTTGCGCCCACTGGTTATTTTCTTCACTAAATATTCGTGCAAGTTCTTGAAATAATTCCACCTATAGCTCAAATTAATTATTTTATATAGTTATTTCTATATTATTTTTGTTATTAGAAATATTATACTCAAACAATACCTTGTCTCTGGGAACTGCATGCCAAGTTTTTTTTAATCTAAATACCGAATTAGATTGTAGACCAGATATGATTGCTTTTAATGAAGAAAAATTTTTTAGCACTCTTAATTCCTATAAAAATAAAATAAATGTAGATTGATAATTTAATTATAAGCTATTATACATTTACTCATTTACTTGAGCAATATCAATCCAAGTTTCAATAACATGCGGTCTGTCAGAATTTATTGCTAATAACACAGTACTTATCACTCTAAGTGATACAGCATTAAATTGATCAATTGTAGCAAGAACTGTGGGTGCAGATCCTGCTCTTTTATTCTTGGACCAAACTGCACCGAGGCATTGATGAGCAACCATTCCTTTTAGTACATCCTAAAAAAAATATAATAATTTGGAAAAAAATTAAAAGTGAATAGGATAATAGAATATAATTACATACACGGTCCATTCGAGTCAACTGCTCAGCAAAATGTCTTTCTGCTATGTTGGGAAAATTGTAAAGAGAATGTGGAGAATTGGTAATAACTACGTCGTAATCATCACTTATATAGGTAGTAGTATCTGAAAATATATTTTGATATTAATTTAATACTAATAAATGTATTGGTCATTTTACCAACCTAATTGTCTACATTCCTTAAGAAATCTATCAAGTCTATAGGTTGCTTTAATGTGAAGTTCAGTTTTGGGCAAATATGTAAAAGTGAAGGAATGTAAACATCGTAAACAAGTGTGTAAAGGTGGATCACGAAAATCTTCAGGATATGAGTCCAGCCAAACATGCAATGCAGATACAACAGTCCTAAAAATAAAAAATGTAGTTGCAACTTTATAATTATAAAAGGCTTGTAAGTGGTTACTTTATTTTATCATAAAATATAATTTGGTAACATTTTATTGATAAATTCATATTAAAATTTCTAGTTTAAAAATAATATCATTAGAATATTATCAATTTAAATTTCAAATATTAAATTACACCAGAAAATTTAAAGAGTTAAGGCCTAGAGTTAGTTTTGACATTAAATATAATGTCAAGTAATAGTCAAAGTGTGTAAAGTATGTCAAAGTAGTTTATGTAAATAAAATAAAATCAAATAGAAAAAATAAAATAATTAGCTTACTTTTTATGTGAATCGATCATTGACTCTGATAAGTCTTCTTTATTGTTAACTAAGTATTCATATCTATAATATTATAAAATAAGAATATATAAGTTACAAGAAGTCAGTTAAAAATGAGTATTAATTAAAAATAATAATTACTAACTAGATAAAATATGAATATATTTGTGTTATATAATAATTTTCATCAGATGTATTTTTGGAATAATAAGTATAAAAATATAATCACGTTTTAACTGTAAAGATAATTATTATATAAGTATTAATTACCTTTCAATTAATAATGACAGAACATGATGGGGAGATGCAAAAGTTCTATATGTGGCCAGGAATATATTCACAAATGTAGATTCCAACTCGCCATCATCTGATGCTAAGCTATTAACTAATTTTTCAATAGTTCCAGCTTTGATGAATTTAACTCTAACTGTTTCCCATTCCAAATGAGATCGTTCATCGTCAGATTCCTGTAATAAAATAAAACATCACATTATACAAGCATTAAGAACAAATATTTGAAAAATGTATGTCAAAAATAAAATGTACCAATAATAATGTTTTTGTTGGATTTTGATAGCGCACTTTTTTTAAATAAATTGTATAGACTGCACCTTCATCTCTCTCTTCACCCCATAACTTCCATGTTGGCTGCTAGAAATATAAGTATTCATTCATAGTTAATTTTAAGTGTTTTATCAAAGCAAAAATAGTATAACAAGAATATTTATCTATCTAATAAACTTTATATAATATAACAGTGAACAGTATTAGAATGTAAATATCAATTACACCGATAAGAAGAAAAATGAAAATTGTTAAGTTTCTTGTATGACTCAAAGAGAATGAGCAGTAAGAAATATTATCCATATTACGGATGAGTCGAAGAAATTTGATTGACAATAAAACATAAAGAGTTTGAAAAAAAAAATAGAATAAGCCATTATTTATGAATTCAACATTAATTTAAGGTAAGATCTTTCTCGGCTGAAGGGTACTTTCGATTCAGCAGAGCTTTCTCATCTAAAAATTGGTTCCTGCCAAATCATCACATGACCCAATTGAATAAATTAAAAAAGAGGGTGGCCCACTTATGGTTGCATGGTACCACCTCAATAACGTTAAAAAAAAACAGACTAGGTTCACCATGCCAAAGAGATGGCCAGTAAAAGTCATGTCGGAACTCACCGAGCTTTCGGCATCAAGATTCATACTTGTCCGCCTGCATCATAGTTTTTCGAAAACTAAACCGACGACCAAAGGACACCGCGGTTTGGCTTGAGGCTCAAGACCGTCGGATGGCGTTAGTCGCGAGCATGCCCGATCGTGCTTGCACGGGTTACGGGGGAACGGTTCGCGAGGACGGGAGACTCTCGGCCGGCGATACAATTGGCAAACTATATTATGTTACGTTCGCGTCATTATCTTACGAGCCATTAGCGAATGACGTTCTCACTACAATCTATGCGCGCAGCTGCTGTTATCAGAACTGAATAACGTTAACAACCGCAGCGATATGAAAACGAAAAGAAAAAAACAACACAACAAAACAAAACTACAACAATGAAATAAAACGGCGCGACTGGCACGCTCAACAGGTGCCTAACGAAACGTTGCCAGGCGAACCGGTCCAATAGGTCGCGGCGGTGGCGATGGCGTTCGACCGTCGGTGTCGCCGCGTGGCGCGCGTCCGGGTTTTTGTATTTGTGTGTGTACATGCATGTGTGTGTGAGCGTATACATAACTTTGTGTGGGAGGAGGATCAGTTGCAAAAAAATTATTTTGAAAGGAAAATTTCTAAACCTAAGTACCTGCACATTTCAATAATAAATAATAAAAGATATATATATATATATATTGAATATGTCAAAATAATAATTTACAATAAATCCTTGCAATATTTTTTTGTTTCCTTATAATTTCCTTACATTAAGAACACTATTTTATACAATTTTAAAAAGACCTAAGGGGGGATCTGACCCCTCCCCCTTGTATACGCCCCTGGTGTGTGTGTGTGTGTGTGTGTGTTTGTGTGTGTGTGTGTGTGTGTGTGTATACGTGCATGTTCTTATAATATGTATATGTGTTTGTATATGTGCGTGCGTGCGTGCGTATGAAATACCTGTTAGATGGTAAAATTACTATGTAAATTAGACGCGAGCGTGTACTCAGCTCGGGTCGAGAAATAATATTATTATTATTCCAATGCATGAAAGTTGAAATGCGTCCGTACGCACATTATTATTTACATTTAAATTGTTATACAGCTATCGTAAGGTATCGTCGTCGTATAGTGTCTTGCTGTCTTACATTTTAATACGCCAAGCTACAACTGTGCTGCGCACGCAGCAGGTAAAACTATATTCTTTAAAATATAAATCGTATACAGGTTTATTAGTTAGTTGTTAAACACATGGGTGTACTCCGCTATCGTAATACGAATTACTCGAACTATATATAGCCAATGTATGGCCAATGAACATTTTTATCCGCCCTTTTCTAGATATTATCTTAAAAACGGCTTCTTTTGTGTCCTTACATGAATACTAGTAGATAATTTACGTGATTTATGTTCGGTTAAACTTAATATTAAGAAATTTTAAGCATTTATTACGATTTTAAAGAATGAAACTTATTGCAAATTAGTAATAAATTAACTTTTGCTAATGTTTAATGCTAGGTGACTCCAAGAATTCATATACATAATAGATAAATGTACTACCAGATATTATGTTATACAAAAAAAATTATACAAGTAAAATTATTAAAGACTTATATAGCTCTAATAAATACAAAAAATATACAATATACATAACAGTGGCATATACAAGGAGGGTGTTTGGTAGATATAACACCCCTCTTGAGTCGTATCATATATTACATCAGCGGTTACCAACCTTTTTAGTAGTGCGGACCACCAATTTCGTAGAAAATGTTTGAGGCCCACCAATAGTTATATATGTATAATATGCACATACGTCAGTTATTACAATTTATTTATTAAAAAACAATTGTTTATCAAAAAATAGAACTTCATTGAAGTAGATTATTCAAGAGTTAAACAATTTAATGTAATTTTGGATTGTTCCCAATGAGAGAATCAATATTTGGATTAAAAATGAAAAGTTTTAGCCTTAAATCACTCAAAATTCAATTTATTCCTACATTTATTTTTTAAAAAGTAGAAAAAGCTCGTTCACAAAGACACACAAGTTGTCGAAATATAGCCCAACAAATTTCTAAGTAAAATTTTAGAAATTGCTGGAGTCTCGCCGAATATTTAAGTATAATGGTAATAATGGTGTAGTTTTAAAAAACGAGTTTAGAGTCTTATCACTTTAGAGTTCAATCAACGAATCTTCTTCACTTGCTGATATTTAATATTTTAAAAATATATGTAAGTAATGTTAATAAAATATGGTTCACGGCCCAGTACCACCTGCTCGCGGCTCACTTGTGAGCCGCGGCCCATGGGTTGGGAACCACTGTATTACATTATTATAGGAATATAGGTAAATCGATAATATAATATGAAATATAAAATAATGCACAATACTAATTACATATATACAGGTTAACATTATCGCTATTGCGACAATACATGACGAAAATTATTCGTTTACGTTTTCGTGTTACACAAAACGTTTAATAATAATAGGTATCGTGGCATCGAATACTGATATTCGAATAGTCAAATATTCGAATAATTTATGGTAAAGCTATCCGAATTCGATTATACATTATATCTCTAGTACAGACATTATGTATTATATATAATATTTAATAATTATAATTAACACCCCCCTTCAGAAAATCCTAGCTACGTCACTGATACATAAATGCACCCAAAAATGACTAACTAGTAAATATGTGGTAAAAAAAGTGTTACTTACTTTAAATTACTTTATATTATCTGAAAAAATACCTCGGTTATGGTTGTAAATGTCTATAACTGTAGCAATATTCGTTGAAGATAATACCACAATTCGTTCCACAACCAAAAATGTTATGATATTAGAAGCTAAACAAAAATTGATACCAGTGATCTAATTGACATATTATATTATTGAATGTGTTATCATACTATAATGATAATTTATATTCTTAATTATTTATACATTACATTTTTTAAATAAATCAATTTATTATATTCAAAAAAAATACGAGACATGGGGGGCGAATGTTCCCTTCGCCCCCTCTCAAATACACCCTTGTGCACTATAATTGTTCAAATAAAATATTTTTAAATATTGATAATTTTGTTTGTAGGTTCCTGGAGGACTAGACGAAAATCACTATTCCAGTATTAATATAAATATAAATAAATATTTATATATATAAATAATATATTATATAAATATAAATAATATATTATATAAATATAAATATGAATATTAATTTTGAAATATTTTGTAAAATATTTCATATTTTTAATATGATAGGCATAACAAAAAAAAATTCGTACAATTTTTTTTTTTAATAGTTATTTTGATAAATAAAAAAGTTAATGCACTTTTTAAGTGCAACTTTGGGTATTTTTACAACAATAATGCAATTATTAGTGTAATTTTGGTTAAATTTTACTGCAATAATGCAATAAATTGTAATGCTTTTTGGTGTAATAACTTCAGAGCTCTAGTGATTAATATTAAAGTACGATATTAATATTAATACTTGTATTTTTAGCAATACGATTTTATGTATTATTTTAGTACGATAACATGTATTCCATTAGTATTTACCTTTTTATTACCCGAAAATAAGCAAACATTATTTGGAGGAAAATAATACAACATAGAATTGTATAGAATGAGCAACACTTCTATGGTCTTGTCTGTAACCCATTTATTGAAATGTGTGTACATAACATGGTTCGTAATAACTCAGTAATAAGCATAGATATAGTTATAGAACATGTTGATCTATAAACAACAATTAAAATGATTGATGATTATAGTTTTAAATAGTTAAGAATTAGTATTAATTATTGAATAATGATACTTTATGTTAATTTTGTTATTTAATTTTTAAAAATGATCTAATGACTAATAGTCCAAATTAATTATTCTTCAATAATTGAGAACATAAGACATTATAAAAGCTGATTAGATAAAGTATAATAACTTCTAAAAATTATGAAACATATTATTTTTGTACATTATTGAGGATTTATAGTTGGTTAACCTTATTTATCAACGTGATACGAATGAATAATTTTAAATTTAGTTTGAGAAAAACGTCCACTAAAAAGTAATAAAATATGCTTAAAATATATAGCAAGATATAATTATGGCATGTGGGAAACTAATATAATAACGTGAGAAAACATACCTACATGTTTCTTATTATAATATTTATGTAATGTTAAAAATAATTTAGTTCAACTGACTGTTATAACACATATTATTAAGAATTATACCTACAAAAAAAAAAAAAAAAAATAAAAATTTATAAAATAACGATAAAGTTTTACGGTGAAATATTAGACAGAATAATATAATGAGTTCATAAGTATTTAAAAATTTAAATATTCGATAGTCACTTATATTTATTTTAAACAAATATGATTTTATAGTTAATCCCTTTGTGTACGAAAAAAAATTATTTTTAATATATTTATTTGTTAATGTCAATATAATCATAATACACATAATAAATAAACGTAATAAATAAATAATATTATGTTATAATGTTAATTTTAATAATTTTAATAATTTTTATAATGATCAAGAAAACATACCAGTGGAATTAAAATTTTTTTTTTTCAGGTAAAAAAAAAAGTATTTGTGGAATTTTCATTTTTTTTTCATGTAGAAAAATAGTACTGGTGAAATTTACAATCGTCCAAAAAAATTGTTAAACTCTGAGACAGTCTGTGTTATTTTACTCCTTTAAAAAGTGGTTAATAAAGATAATTTTACATAATTCAAACTATGCGTAGATATTATTGAACATTAGAACATTATATTTTTAAATGACTATTTGTTTGAATATATTTAAGTACAATTAATAATGATGAATGATTGCATCGAAGTTCAAAACAAAAAACTATATTCTTTATTTTATAAAATAATAATAATAATAATAATAATAAGATTTAAATATAATTTCAAAAAAATGCGTTTTGTATTAATATTGATTTAATAATAATAATGAAAACTGATTTTTAATATTTTAGTAAATCGCTTTTTGTGATAATTATGTATTTTTAGTTGAACCATTTTTTTTTCTTGTTGTACATATTTATACCTATATATATGTACAGAAATCAAAAAGAAGAGGTGAAAGTCGTTTTTAGAGGAGAAGATAGACGCTCTTGGAAGTTGGTTAAACGCTTTCAGTTGTTATAGCAACAACTAGATAAAAAATGCTCGTTTGAGCTTTATCAGGTCTACTGATGCTTCCCTTTACTTTTTTTTTGCAACAAAAGGTAGACTATGTCCTTCTCCAAGGTCTAATTTATCTCTGTGCTAAATTTTATTAAAATAGGTACTGTGGTTTTGGAGTCCATCTGATACAAACCATCGAACATGATGAGTAGTTTAGGAAAGTACAAAGGAAACATAAACAAACATTCATTTTTATGTAGCTGAATTACCCGTTCTCCCCTGGGGAACATTTTATGATTTTAGATTATAAAACTGGCACAAATCCCTAACCCAAAAATGTTACGTTGAAAAAAGCATAAAATGTTATAAATTTAATATTATTGATTTTTATTGATTTATAAAGTTTAATAAATTGCATAATTCTTAATCGGCGATATTAAAATCAACATATACAAATTTAAATATTTCCTAGGTAACCAAACAATTAAAAATTTATATATTCAGTCCAAAACTGTTTCGATCCATAAATATGCGATTTTCGAAAAATCCTTTTTTATTGCACGGTGAAAATATGAGAAGAACCTCTATTCAAAATTTCAAGTTCGTACGTTGCGTAGTTTTTGAGTTACATCGATCATTGACTAAATGGTATTTGGATTTTATGTAAATTTACAGTGTCATATTTAGTAATTTTGCACCCCGGTGCAAAAGAAAAAAAAAATTGGCGCCCCTTTATGGGGGCCTATTCACGGAAAATATAGAAGATAGATCCTCATGAACCTTATAGATATTCTAAAATCAATATTATTTTTGTATAGTAGGCACGCCACCGCACGCCGCACGCGATAACATAATACGCCGTATTATTATAAATAACTTATGTTTATTGACATTATCACAACAAATTTGGGAACTGATATTAGGTATATTAATAATATTCCTGATTGCTGATAGCTATATTGTTATAAATATATTAATAATATATATATATATATTAATAAATTAAATACATTAACATTAATTTATGATACTGTTATTAAAAACGAAAAAAATAATAATTTTAACAGTTCAATAATTCATAAGTGAGTAAATTTTCGACCACAAAATGTTGGCGTCTCCAAAAAACTTGCGCCCAGGGCAGTTGTAGCTAATGCCCCCCCCCCCCTTAAATCTGGCCCGTTATAATAATAATTATTATTATATATATAGTATTTTATTCTATACATTCTTAAAAAATATAAAGCTTACATATAAATGTTTGAAGTTTGAAATAAATAATTCATCACCAAATACTACTAAAAAAAAAAAAAAAAAACTAGTAAAATAAACAGTTAGGTATATAATTGAGGTAACATTTTATCACCAAAACTTTAATTTTGAATACGAGTACAATTAGCTTGTTGCTCGAAATTCACATATTTAATACCAACTTACTGCACGAAATTAAAAAAACAAAATCATGCAATAGTACATATACACTTTGTGTGTTATTTGGTAAAATATATTTATAGACGTTAACTTTAAATTACTAAAACTAATGTAAATTAGCTATACAATTTACTTTTTTATTCTACCACCATGAATAGGATCGTTGAAGTACTATTAGGGTGAAAATATTTATATGTATATATATATATATATATATATATATATGTTACGGTTTAAGTCCGAAACATAAAGTGCTAAAATTCATACTATTCGGATAATGTGCACATAATCCATATTAGTTAGATAAAGTAAACACTAAACATTTAAAATTATAGTTTTGTATATAATGTAAAACCCGTAAAAAGTAATATGGAACTATCTACCACTACCATTCATCTCACGATCATTTATCGTAGTCGTTTGATGTACCTATATGGGTATCAGTTGAAATTTAATTGTGTTCTGAGTAAAACATGAACGTCTGAAATAGACAATTTGTACAATTTGTACGTGTGTTTTAAAAAAATAATTGCGGAAAAAATAAAATTCGACTTATTTATATCAAAAAAATTTTTATTTATATTTCCTGTGATAAATGGTAGTGATACATAATTCAATATGGTCTTTGTATGATTTTCACATCATATAAATAGCACCATAAGTAATTTCATATCTTATATTTAGTGCCTTTGAAAATATAATTATATAATACCAGGTTTTTTACATTTTTTCTACCCAATTTTCTTTTATATAAGTAACAATTTTTTTATTTTAATAAATTGACTTAATATAGCTTAAAATATAAAACGTGTTATTTATTAGTTTATTGTAACTGTGATCATTATTTAATGATGACATGATTTAGCATTATATTTATGTCTTAAAATCATTGTACATTTTACAAAATAAGACATTTCGAAGGGTGTATAACCCGTTATCCCCCCCCCCCCGACTACGCAACTAGATATTAGAAATACAACATTAACCCAATCATACCGGATTGGTATTATTATTTTGAACTTCATAATTCACAATAAAAGAAAAACAGAAATATGTCAATCAATTATTCGTAAAACACATTTAAATATTGGTCTGTTAGTAACCCCCTTATATACTGAGGTCTTGTGGGAATCAATCGTGCCGCACTATGTAAAAGTTGTTCCTGATTATTATGAATATAAGATTTATTACTTTAGCGACTTCGGTAATATTACTATTCGCACATCTCCCATATTTTTTCGTGCTTTTTTTAATTGCTTTTTTAAGATTACATTTTGGAATGTAGCCATCAAATTCATAAATAATATGCGTTTGTGTTCAGTGCCGTTCCTAGGTTCTGCGAGGCCCTGGGCAACATTAGAATTCGAGGCCCTACAATATTATATCGAAATTCATAGGTACACCAGAATAGCGGTCCTCGATCCATATATCCATAATCTATTTATACATGGTATGTTGTATGTTGTATATATATATTATTGTATAAACGCGAGGCCCTTGAAGGCGCAAGGCCCTGGGCAAGTGCTCCGTTTGCTCTGCCCTCGGGACAGCACTGTTTGTGTTACCTTCCGATTTTAATTAATAATTCCTTTTTATTCATACGAATATTATATTATTTATAATCATTTCCCGATGTCTATTATTTATGATTGATGTGGTCCCTCTTATGTATTAAGAGTCGTAAGGACCTACATCTATATATGTTCGTAACATTATGTGGAGCTGGAATATTTATACGGGCTCCATTAATTGCACCAACAACATCCGGAAAATGACTTATTGATGAAAATCCATTCCTAACTACTAAAGCTCTATCTGAATCTGATCAAACAATAAACTTTGGAGCTACATTTGCTAATGCAATGATCACTCTTCTTACAGATTTTAATGTTGATGATTGACTAACATTAAATTTTTCACATATTGACCTGAAAATAAAAATATTTTTTAAATATACTATTCTTATACTATTTTAATTACAAAAAGTATATACATTAATAAATTACTGTATTAAAAAGAAAACATTTATAATCATAAGAAATAAAATAGTAATACAAAACATAGGGTCAAGTGGGATAATTATAAACAAAAATTACAAGTTTCATACATTTTTTAAATTTTTTTTTCTAAAGTTTTCGGAGAAATTGATTCAAATCCAGGTTTTATTCTAACTAATTTCGGTGAAATTATTTGAAGTATAAATTCAAAAGTCTTGGGAAACATTCTATAACAATAGTTTTTTTGATATAATAAACACTGTAATTTTAATAAATATTGGATAAAAATTTACCTGAAATGTAATTTGAATTATTCATTACTGTAAACCAACTTCACGACTAATTCTACATAATCATGGAGTTTAGGTCGACGGAACGGTTCGAGGAAAATGGAATATTTTCTGTTGAACCCACAAAAAATTCGGTATAATCATCTATATCATCTATATCATTGGTATAATCAACTAACATCATTTTCAGAAGAAGAAAATAATATTTATATTACCTTTTGTAAAGCAACTTTTTGTAATTGGATATCCATTATTTTTAATATGGACAAATAGTTAAAAGTAAATATTTTAAAACAAGTAAACATTTATTTTATTTTGTTATCAATATTATCTTTGATAACACAGTATCACGCGCTTACACTCGTTCGGCTTGAACCAAGCGAAGCGAGTAGAAGTGCTTATTCCCTAGACTAACGGTCCATAAGCGTGAGCGTCAACGTTAGCGCTGTGAGCGCGTAAGCGTCCAAGACGAACGCATCCATGATATGCACGGTCCATTCTTTTATATGTCTATGGTCAGCAGCTCTACAAACGTTATCAATACGGGCCGCTTATCATCCAAATGCCAAATGATTTGTTGTGTTTTTTATCAATCAATTATCGGTGTTGTATGATGTATTACTATTAATTGGTGTTAACAATTGATGTAACAATAATGTTTTCATGGTGCTGCCCGGGCCCGTTTGATTTACAGTGCTAGATGCAAATCAATCGCTTGATAATTGCTCCGTCTAATTGGTTTGATATTTTTAATATAAACCCGGCGACGACGATGTTCACCAAGTTCAACAATAATCATCGTCGTTTGTTGTGTTACCGACACAAACTATTTCCGACGAGTATGTACTCGATGTTTTGAAATCTATAGAAATACAAGCTGTAGACGAGGAAACGTGATCGCATTGGATGTGCGTTACATCGGGACTATTCTAATAATGCCGTATTAAACCCTTTTATATGATTGATATGCAGTTACATTCGAATACCAAGTAACTAATGGATTTCGTTAAATGGACATCATTGTTATTCGTAATATGGTTCATATTGATCAAGCAATCGACGCAAACTAGTTAGTATCCCACTTGAACAATACTACTGTTTGATAAAATTAGTAAAAATCACTATTACTGAGGTTTGGTTAGCTAGTTGTTTGAAATTGAGTTCACGACATCCAAACATAAAAGCTAAATTAAGTCTTACAAAATAAAATTTATTTTTGAAATCATAAGTACAACATCAATTAATTATATTTATTTTTATTAACTAAAATAATTATAATTATTTATATTTAATCAATAAATAAAAATTTTAATAAATAAGTTTTTAATCATACTATTAATGATTTTTATGTACTTAAAGAGATAAAATCTACCAGGGTAGATACTATCCTATTAGATAGTTGGATAGACCAGTGGTCTTCAACCGGTGGGTTGTGTTTAAGAATGGGGTCGCGTTACATCTTCTGTTTAAAATTTGAAAACTTAATATTCATATATATTATATTATTTATGCCATATGATTCAGATAATTTTTTTTTCAAATAAACCCGAAACAGTACTATTTTACAATTGTAGAAGATAAGAATGAACACTTTTTTCTCTGACACTCGTACTTGATTAGAAAAAAACTTCAATCAATATGCGACATATGCCACAAATTATTAACTGTCTATCAGTGTAAGAGTGTATACAATATACCTAAATATGCACTGACCTGTACATGCCATCCAACACAATAAAAGTATTTGGTGAAAGCCAAATTCTGAAAATGATCACATTCTTAAGTATCACAAATATTAATAGTAAATATTAATTTTAAATCTAACCTTATCTATAAAATATGTAATATTGTAATTATAAGCTAATACCTTAAGCATGTACTATATAATTTAATGGCTAATAACTTTTATTGTTGAAGCTTTAATTTTCAAATAAAAAAAAAAAAAATAGAATGAACTATCAAATTAAGTAATGGTATAGTGATGGTCCGATTTAATCTATAAAACTAATTTATATGTAAATTATCTATAAACTGCATTGCATGATATTGAGCCAATGTAGAGGTATTTTGTGTGAAAACAGTAATGAAAAAATATCACACAAATTTTTTTCTTTTTGTATCATTACTTATAATAAAATTTAAATATTGCTTTAATACCTTTTTTTTTCAGTTTATAACCGACGACGCTGCGGGAACTGCTTGCGCAATACTTCCGCGACGCCGCCAGTTATTACCTTAATACCTAGAAAAAATATAAATTTAGTTTATTCAGTTATAAAAGCACTTCTAAAATAGCTTACATTAAGTAATTTTAATTTTTTTTTTGGTTTTCATGGCTAATGAAGTTTACATGGGTCACAAAAAATATATGGTAAGAAAAGTGGGTCGTGAGTTGAAAAGGTTGAAGATCACTGGGATAGACCATACTACTTAGTAATCAAAAATAATTAGAAAAAACTACTATTGTAATTAATTAAATAATTGTTTTATTGTTATAATATAAGTAATATAGTAGCATACATATATATTAAATATATTAATTTAAAAAAAAAAAAAATGTAAATAAATAGGTAATTAACATTTTGAATATGATTTTTAAAAATTTGTGCTTCAAAACTTAAATAGTTAAATATACTATTGTTTTTCATTGTACTTATTTATTAGTATTGATTTAAAGCTATGTGTCCATTTTTATACATATTTAATTAAAAGTTTAAATTACAAAATTATGATTGGTAGTAATATTTAAATGTTAAAATTGTTTAGGTTTTATCTGTTACTATTTAGGAGTATTTAGTTTAAATTTTTATGAAATTTCATCAAGAAATCTTTATAAGGTAATAAGCTTGTAAATTATTTAAGATTTTATTTTAGATAATCATAAAGGATATTGTGCTCAATATACTGGAAAAGTGTGTAGAAAATATTTGAATGCTTCAATTCTCATATGGTTTAATAACACTTTGGAAAATGAAGGAAGTGAACAAAATGAAATTATCACTACTGGTTTATGGGATGAAATGTTACCAACTTTTTCAAAAACATGTAAACCAGCAGCTGAGGTACTTATTCAAATTTAGCTATTATAATGAGTTCTGCCTAATGTGATCACATTTGTGCTGGATGTTTTGAATTTAAATACTGGTTAATTTCAAAAAACGAACTTTTAATGATCTTTTATTTATATTTAATCTTTTTACTCAAACCGTTAGACTACAATTTGTCTACATCTAATTTTAATGCTAAATTAAAATTTTTATTTTTTCCATAATAGAGTTACTGGCTAATACATTTAAATTTTAAACTTGTTGAAATATATGTAAAAACATTTTTCTATGTCGACATTTAATCCATTCCTTATCAGTTTTTGAGTAAAACAAATTTCGTTCGACAATTCAACGTTCATCCATATTCAATAATTCTTAAAATTTTATTTTATATAGGACAAAATAAAAATTTTGTTTACTTAACAAAAATAATAAGTAAATATTTTTTTTTTCTTTTATTGATATACCTTTCTGTTTGTTAAATAATGCGATGAAATGTACAAAGATTAATGAAGTTGAAAGATGCTACATAACAAAGATATACCAATAAGTTCTAAAATACAATAGATTTTATAATTTCGTCTGTTATAAGGTCTTAAAATAGGTGATTATGTTCATAAAAGTTATTCGATTACCCTGTACATAAAGATTCCAATAATAAGTAAATTTAATAACAGTAACATAAGATTTGGTTTGAGTTTTTCTTTTTTGATTCCAATAAACGGTTGATTCTGTAATCTAGTGATTACATCAAGCGAAATTCTCTAACTAAATTATAATTTTGTTTCGTATTGAAAATGTTTTACATTTTTCAGAAATTACTATGTTTGTATGCATTTCCTCATTGTAATCAAGATACTTACTTTCCACTTTGTTATGAAGATTGTATTGCAGTACGAGAACTATTTTGCTATAAAGAATGGGCTTTAATTGAAGCTAATAAACAGAGAGGAATTTTTTATAAATCCAAAGGACACTTTTCTTTACCATATTGTGAAAGTCTACCACATTATTCACATAGTGGTAAACCAGTATGTTCACATGCTATGCTCACAGAGTTAAAACAAGATGAAATAACTTGTAAGTATATTTTATAATCTATTCATAGCAGGGTATATATTTTAATTTTTTATCAATTTGTTACAAAATAATATTTTTAAATATTTTATTAAATCATTGAAGTTATTTATTTAATGTCCAGAATATAAAAACTTTTGATCATGTTAAAAATTTGATCAATTTAGAAATATTAAATTTGTGTATTTGATATATCTATGCAGATTATTGATTTTAGATGTTTTTCATCATTATTTTTTGTATTAAATCAATAAAAAATTATTTATACTCAGTTATTTTCATTTATCATTGCATTTTGAATTTGTTTTATAATATATTAACAAAAAATATAATCATTCATTTTAAAATATATGAAGTTTTATAAAGTATTTACTCTATTTTATTTGAAAGAAAACTTAGTATTAGTTTTTTTTAGGTTTTTTTACTTTATCCACAGGACTTCCTACTATGATTTTTTTGTGTGTGAATTTTAAAAATATTAACTTAAATCATTTGATTTATGTAGTTGATTGTATTCGTGGAAATGGACGTTTTTATCAAGGCTATGTTAATGTTACAAAGTCGGGCTTACCATGTCAAAGATGGGATTCTAAAATACCTCACGATTTTGTGAGACCACCGATTGTGTTTCCAGAAGTACAGAATTCTGAAAATTATTGTCGAAATGCTGGAGGTGAAGAAACTTCTCCTTGGTGTTATACTATGGATCCTGATGTAAGATGGCAGAAATGTAACATACCTCCTTGTGGTAAGACTGAATTTAATATTAAATCCTAAATGTTAATAATGTTAATATAATAGTTGTAACTTAAATACCTAATTGTTTTTTCTTTTATAATTTTAGATAAAAATGTGACTGAACTAGTAGAAACGAAAATGAATGTTATTAACAATGTTACTATTGTCAATAATCTTTCAATGATTTTGAACTACATTGAAACATTTATTGATCAAACATCAACAACACATTTGCATATATTCCTTGTAATTGTTGGAGTTCTGATAATTTTAGTATCGGTCTTAATATTAGTGTTATGTAATAAGTTATTATCAAATAAAACTTCATACAGATCAGCTCAAACTCGGGTATGTATTCAAATAATTATTTTATAATATGATGATTTTAATATTTATCATATTTTTATTAGATAATTAATTTAATTTCTCATTATTTATTTTTTATTACAGGAAGTTGACATTGATCTTGATAAATTGCCAAGTAATTCTGCATATCACCAGTATGGAATGTGTTCCAACCCAAAATTAGAAAAACTTGAATTTCCCAGAAATAATATCATATATGTTAAAGACTTAGGACAAGGAGCTTTTGGGCGCGTATTTCAGGTTAGATAGTTAAAAACAAAAAAGGAATTAACCATTTATTTATTTTTTATTACTTTTAGGCCAAAGCACCTGGTTTGTTGAAAGATGAAGAATTTACATTGGTTGCAGTAAAAATGTTGAAGGATGAAGCATCAAATGATCTCCAAGTTGATTTTGAACGAGAGGCTTGTTTATTATCAGAGTTTGATCATCCTAATATTGTTAAACTATTAGGAGTTTGTGCTTTAGGTAAACCTATGTGTTTACTATTTGAATACATGGGTCGTGGTGATTTAAATGAATTTCTTCGTTCATGTGCACCTAGTAATTACATTGTACATTCGACTGAAGCAAGAGGTGAAGTGTTTCGAGATTTAAACTTAACAAACTTGGATATGTTGAAAATAGCTCAACAAATTGCTTCTGGAATGGTTTACTTATCCGACAGAAAGTTTGTACATAGAGATTTAGCAACTAGAAATTGTTTAATTGATGATACTATGACTGTAAAAATCGCTGATTTTGGTCTTTCTCAAAAAATGTATTTACAAGATTATTATAAAGGAGATGAACATGATGCCATACCAGTTCGATGGATGCCGTTAGAAAGTATTCTTTATAATAAGTATACAGTTGAATCAGATGTTTGGGCATTTGGTGTATGTCTTTGGGAAATATTTTCTTTTGCTCTTCAACCATATTATGGTATGACACATGAAGAAGTCGTTAAATTTATAAAAGATGGAAATGTTATGAATTGTCCTGAAAATACTCCAAAATTAGCATATGACTTAATGAAACAATGTTGGAGTCGAAAGCCTGATTCACGTCCAACTTTCCGTTTAATATATCAGACTTTAGAAAATGTTCGACAAGGAGTTATTTGCCAAATCAATGGTTTACCTTCACATGCCCATTTGTAAATTCAGTAAAATGTAAAAAAAAAACAACTTAGTAATGATAAAAAACATCTTTCAATATAAGTACTTAAATATGTCCACACATATCTTTAAGCAATGAATACTCAGCTTCCTCAATGACAATAATTTATTTCATTGATTTAACTATTTTGTTTAAAGACTGTTTTACAAAGTGCAGTAATAATTTCTAAGTGAATTTTTACTGCACAGTTAATCTTATTTTATCATTTGTAGCATTTGTAAGCATTTGTATAAATTGTACAATTTCTAAGTTTATATTTTAATTTATTAATTTGACATTATTCGATTTTTTTAATTAATAATTTATATCATCTTAAATTTTATAGGAAATAAAAAGTGTTAATCAAGTAATATTTGCCTATGTACTATGCTAGTCATTTTATTATTATTTATTCATACCTTACAGATAATTTATATCTTATTATATTATATTTTATAGGAAATATAAAAATGTTAATCAAGTAATATTTTTCTTTATGGACTATAATAGTAATTTTATTATTATTTATTTATACCTATTTTAACAATTTTGTGTTGACCTAAAGAATTATGATCAAACTCTAAAAAAATATTTGTTTTTTTTTTTTAGTTTTAAAATATTTTGTTGTTTTTGCATGAAAATAAAAATAAGCGATACTATCAAAAATAAATTTAAGTAATAAAATGTTTATATAACTATTACTTATATGAAATTATAAATAAACAACACTTTTGTGTAATATGAATTCATAAATTAGTCATTTATATATAGGTACTTTTTATAAACCTTATTGATTGTATTGATGAATACTATTTTGTTTCTTATGATTGTTTCTATACCAGTCAATTTTTTCATAGCTATACTTGTGAAACAATTGCTATACTCCTCAACTCATTAAAAATGTAGTACTCTCAACACTTAATTAACATTATTAAAATTCTGTTTAATCTATGATTCAAATGCTAAATGAACTAAAGTTTGAAGATAATATGTATATCAGTGGCGTGCGGTCAGGACAAGCTAGGTAAGCGGCGCATGCCAAGCCAAAAAGGAAAAAATAAAAAGATTAATATTTCTGATGTTAAATGACAATTTATTTACATTAAAACATTAAAATTAGAAATATTTATTAATTCTTATTTTTGTGTTCAATTTAAAAAAATGTATCAGATTTTGAAAAAAATTAAATGATTTTTTTTTTTATAGGCAATTTCTCTACAGAAGCGTTAGTATTTTAGATTGCCTTTCTTATATAGTTATTTATAGGAATGATCAGTTGTGGTAGAAGGGGATATACACGTTTTTACGTGATGGATGAAAGCGCTATGCCGAGCGCTTATCGATATTTTTAAAAACGAAATTCCAATATTCTTACAATGCATATCGGATTATTTTTGTTTTCAATATACATATTATAAGTTATAACTATACTACTTATATTATACTATACTATACTTATGATAAATAAATTATTTTGTCGTCAACCGTCAACCGTCAATGTGTTCACAAGTCTTCATAGTTAAATTTTGTTGAACAAAAATTTTTAATGTAAGTATATTAAATTCCTATTGCATAATTTTATGGAATTAGTATAGATAATTAATATTTAAATAAATAAAATTATTATAATTAAGAGGAATCAAATTATATTCGTTGTTTATATTTGTTTTTATAGATAATGAATACTTATTCAAACAATTGTTTAATCAAGCATCTTTTGGAAAATGAATTTAATTTAAAAAATGTTGATGAAAAATTAACAATTGTAAAAAATGGTCGACCATGTCCATAAATTCCAAAATTGACATCTTATCTTAAAGAAAAAAACAAAGTTTACATTTGTCATTTTAATATTTCTAATTATTTTAATACTTCATGGTTGGCTGGTAGTGCAAAATTAAATAAATGTTCTATTTGCCTTGTGTTTTATTCACCAGGGAAAAAAATGTTTGGTCTCATAGTGGTTTTGTTAATTTCAATAATTTAATAAATGGTATTCAAAAACATGAAAGATCTCAAACACATATTTCTTCAGTTTTAAAATTAAAAAAGTTTGGAAAATCTAGAATTGATTTGCAGCTTGATGAACAAAAACGTTTAGATGTAATACGCTATAATGAATTGGTAAAAAAAAATAGAGACGTTTTAAAACGATTTATTGATTGTGTTTGTTTTTTGGCGATCCATGAATTACCATTTAATGGTCACAATGAAAGAGTTGATTCTTTCAATCAAGGAAATTTCCTCGGTTGTTTAAATTTATTATCATCTTATGATTCTATTTTAAACGTGCATTTAGAAACATCAAAAATATTCCGTGGTACATCCAATAGAATTCAAAATGATCTTATTTGCTCAATTAGCAACATCATATCAACGTCCATTGAATCAGAAATAAAAAATTCTAATTTTGTTGCAATATTATTAGATGAAACTTCAGACATAACAAATCTGTCTCAAGTATCAACAACTTTAAGGTATGTCCAGCATGAAACTGGGGAAGCACATGAACGTTTTACCTCATTTGTCGACGTTAATGCTGATAGAGTAGCAGACGGTTTATTAAAACACGTAGTTGATATAGTTAATAGGTATGAATTAAAACATAAATTAGTAGCTCAAACTTAAGACGGAGCGGCCGTTATGAGTGGTCATGTTGGAGGACTACAAGTTAAAGTAAAGGAGCCCTACCCAAAAGCATTATTTGTCCATTGTTTTAGTCATTCATTAAATCTTGTATTTTCACAATCAGCATCAAATATAAAAGACTGTAAGATTTTTTTTCAAACACTAACTGGTATGGCATCATTTTTTACTAAATCTTCTAAACGTACACATATTTTATTTAATTTTACAAGAAAAAAAATGCCAAAAAATGCGCCGACTAGATGGAATTTTTCTTCTAGCTTAGTAAATACGGTTCATGAATACAATTCACATTTCAACACGTATTAGATAATTCCAATGATTGGGGTAATGAAGCGATAGTATTATCTCAAGGGTTCATCAATTTTTTGGATATTCGACAAACATACTTTTTGCTAATAGTATTTAGTATAATTTATATTTTAAAGTATAAAGTATATTTTCGGTATTAAAACGAATCAAATCGTATCAAAGATCTACACAAGGGCAAGAAAGACTTAGTTCATTATCATTAATTTCAATCGAAAAGGAACTCCTGCACAAAGAAAAAAATCATCCAGAATTTTATGATAAAGTTATTAACGAATTTTTAAAACATGAAAGGCGAATGGATTTTATCTATAAATAAATTTTAGATTGTAATTTTTATTTTTTATTAATAAAATACCTTTTATTTGTTTTAATTTGAAATTTTATTTTAGCGCTTACCCAAGATAAAATATTACCGCACGCCACTGATGTATATATTATGGTACTCTCAGACCTAAAGTTTTAAACTTCAAAAATATAACTGTGATTGAAATGTTTGATGAAGTGATGAAATGTAAATATGGTTTTCGATTTCAGTTAGATCGAGATAATGTACACAAATTTTCAGTAGACATTGATTCAGGTCTATTTTTTTTTTTTTTTTTTAGTCGGTTAAACATTTTAAAATTGTTATAATATTTTATGATATAACGGTAAGCGTAATATAATTTTGCAAACAATTTGGTACATAACACTAATGTTGTTCTATCTAGATCAGTTACGAGATTTATTTAAATAAATACAGGTGTATTACTTAAATATTACATAAGTAATGTTTTTTTTCATATTAGTAAATAATGGTTTGCTGAACTTATTTAACATTAATATTGATTTTGTATAAATTTAAAATCACTATAGTATAGTTTAAAAATAATTTAATATTAAATTTTACAACTATTTTCATCATAATATATACATTTGTATAATAATGAGTAATACTAATATTGTCATGCTAATTAGACACATTATAATTTTCATTCTTATTGAATATTAAACTGCATTATACTAACCAATATTCATAACAAAATTAAAAATTAATTGAGTTAACAAACTAATGAATAACATACAGTGTAATTTTATTAATTAAATAAAATACATACATTTCCAGTTAACTTTTGATAATTATAAAACTATGTATAGTACTGCAACACTGTTAACATCCTGTAACTTAAGAATAACAAGAAATTGTGTGAAAACTTATTGTATAGTACATCAACAGAAATATCCATGAATACAATTATAATATTATACACATAGTATAGTCCTTTGAAAAAAATAATGAAATAGTAAAAACAAAAAATTCTGGTAGCAGTACTGCAATACTTGTAGTATAAAATAAAAATATTAACCTGTTTAAAAACATTGAAAATTATATATTAGTTTTTACTTAATTATTAGACTTTTTTTGCTTGATTTTTTTGGGGGTTTTTTTATTTTCTGGTTTATGAGCGGACAAGTTATTAGCAGTTTCATCATGTCTGAAACAAAAATTAAATTTATCAAATAGGTTAAATAGTAAAATGTATTTGTTAAAACAATTCAGACAAAAATCGCTTACGAATGGGCTCAAATAAAAAAACATTTAGATTTATTGTTGGTTAGAAAAATTGTATAACACTTCAATTAAAATTTGTGAGTTTTACATTCACAGGTTTTTTTTGTAGAATATAATTAAATAAATTCATATTATGATAGTTTAATACTAAAATAAAATTTCTTTAGTAATTGAATGTTCACGTTATACATATATAAATTAAATCAGTGAAATCCAATTAGTTTTATTATTTAAGATAAGAAAATAAAAATTCTTACACTATCAATGATGTAGATTGTAGAGATTTATCTAACAATAAATGTTGAGATCGTGTCATACGTCTTTCAGACAATGGATCATTTAATGGGTCAATAGGCGCTTGTATTGTTTCCTAAAAATAATATCAATATTAGAAAATTTTTCGTTTATAACTAATACTATTATTAATTGCTTTGATAAAATTTTTAAATCAAGAATAGATAAATATTTAAGATATATTAACCTTAATATTCCTTCTTCTTCGTTTTGGCAGTTCATCTACATAAGTCTTCTCTGTATTGCTCTTAACTGTTTTCTTTGGAGAATTTTGAATTTCAGTTGTGTTACTGCTAGAAGTTTTACGTTGTTTACTGATATCAGCTTTTGGTTTCTTTTTTTCTTTAACAGCTATAGGAGAATTAGAAACAACTGTCTCAACAGATGATTTGTGTTCATTTTTTTTATTTCTATAAACGATTGGCTCTACAGAACAAGAAGACTGAAAAGTCTTTGATGTTAACATTTGTTTAAAAACTATAGCAGAATTATCATCAGAGCTATCATCATTTTCAGAATTTAAAACACCCATAGGTATTTTGGTATTTTTATTTGCAGGAGTGAATAGCTCATTTAAATTTTGATTAGATTCATTAGAATCAGTTTCGGATTCAGAAATATAAATGGACTCATTTTGATGAGAAATTTTTGGTTTTTTCCTACTATTAACAAATTTAGAAGTTGAACGTTTTTGTTTAACTTGAATTGCTTTTTTATAAGTTTCCATACGATCATTTTCCTCGTTTTCTTCATCTGATAATAATAAATTGACACTTGCACTTCGTTTTGGCCTTTTTGGTTTAACAGCAGATAATGTTATCGCTGGACCGGATTCAACTGATTTAGCTCTTCTTTTTGGAGTTTTAGCTTTCGTTTTAAGTTGAACATTTGTATCATTAGGTTCAATTCGATTTGATTTATTTGCTAAGAAATTGAATTTTGATTTCCTAGTTGATACATGTTCACTTTCTACATTTTTATTATGATTTAAAAAGTCTTCTTCAGGAATCAACTCTAAAGCAAATGCAGGTTTCACAGGAATTGAAGACTTTGAACATCCACTTTCTTGTTTTGTTGAAACAATGTTGCCTTGACTTTTTGATTTTTTCCTAGATAATGAAACTGTCACATGTCTAGTATCATCTTCTAACATTTCAGAAGCACGAAAAAGATTTAAAGAACCAGCTATTGATTGATTTAGGTTAGTTTCACTTTTAGCTCTAGTTCTTCTTTTAATTATTTCAGTTTCAGGTAATTGACTCGATTTGGTAGAGCGTCTTCTCTTTCTAGAACTATTAGTTTCATTATTTATTTTTTCATTGACGTTTGACATTGATACACTAAGCTGATTTTCTTCAACTTCAGAAGATTGTGGTTGTTTGGTTTTATACTCAGAATCATCACAAGAAACTGTACTATATCTTTTTGTTCTAATTACACTACTTCGTAAGGACGTACGTCGACTTGAATTTAGATCACCAATATCTTCCATTTTATCAGTTTTATCTGGCAAAGGTTCTATTTCTTTATTCTTAACCATTTTATTAGTGGTAATAATTGTATCTGATAATGGAATCAAAACAACATATGGATTAATTGATTCTATGGGGATTTTATCACAAGATTGCTCACTTTTTGGCAAATTAAAAGTGTTATTTAATTCTAATAACGGATTATTGGAATTATAAATTTGTAGATTTTCAGTAGTTGAATGAGGGATAAGAGATTTTGCACGTTTAGATCTGGTCATAATAGTCATGTTTGATTCTTTTTGTTCACTGATAGCTCTAACACTTCTTCGAGGCTTTGGAGTAGTTTTCATATCTTCTGTATTATGAGAAACTATTAATGATTTCTCAGTGAATTTTTCTTCTTTTTTATTATTTTCCACTGAGTAATCAGCTAGATGATCTGTTTCACATTTTCTTTTTTCAGTCATTATTGGAAGGATCTGACTTTCATGATTAATTGTTGATTCTAACTGATCAGATTTCATAAGTAGATTAGTATTTATTGTAGAAATTGGTTTTTTTGTTTCAGAATCTTGAATTATATCATTTTGTAGTAGAGAATTGTTATCAGATGGAACAGAAAATTGATCAATAATATTAATTGTTTCATTATTTTCATTAGAGTCTGGTTGTAAGCTATTTAATCTTGAGCGTTTATGTACAACCAAATTTTCATCAGGATTGCTTTCAGGTAATGATTCTAATTCTAAAATGTCTTGAATGTCATCAACTACCTCTACGTTTTTAGGTTCGATATTTGTAACCATAATTTCGTCGTTGTTTGTATTAAGATCTTGTGTTGTGGGTGTATCAGTATGTGGAGTTACAATAAATTGTTCTTTATTAAATGAATACACTTGACCAAAAAGAAACATTGGCTTGTGGTCAGTAAAATCTTGCTGACCAGAAAATGAATCACCAAATAAAAATGGAGTTGACTGATTAACATCAACTTCAAAAGATCCTAATTGACTCAATTGAGTTTCAGTCATTGTGGTATGATTTGGACAATTTTCAGGGATTAGACTCGACTTGGTTATTGATTCTTCAATGTTATTATCATTGATAGCAGATGGACACTCTTCAACAGCTGTATTCATATCATTCTGAACTTCTGTTAATATTTCATCATTATTATTTTTCACTTTAATAGAGACATCACAATTAGTGATGTCATTAATATGTTCAACTGTTTCATTTATATTTTCTTGACCTTTTATACTTGAATTTCCTACAATTTCATTTTCAACCAGGATATTACTATAATTTTCTTTTGTAATATCATCTATTTCAATATCATTACTGGGTATTTCTTTAGTCGGATCAAATGCCGAAGATGTATTTTTTAGCATATTTGAATTCAAGCCATCAGAAGAAGTTATTATAATATCATTTTCACTTTCTTCTTTTTTATGTACATCAAACACATCCTTCTCAAGTGCAACATTAAACTTATCGTTAAATTGTATCAAAGTGTTTCCTATATCTTTTAAATTATGTTTTTCTAAACTGTTATCTTCATATTGTTCATCAAATTTTACATTAACATTTTCCGAACCAATTTCTACATCTTCTTGATTAAATTCTACACTATATTTTCTATCAACTTCTTCATTGAATTCTACAATATCATTTTCTGAACAGATTTCTTCAACTTCCTCATTTTCCGAATCGATTTCTTCAACTTCTTCATCAATTTCTAGATTATTATTTTCTGAACCGATTTCTTCAACTTCTTGATTAAACTCTACACTACATTTTTTATCAACTTCTTCATTGAATTCTATAATATCATCTTCTGAACAGATTTCTACTTCCTCATATTTCGAATCGATTTCTTCAACTTTCTCATTTTCTGAATTTAGATCTTCAACTTCTTCATCAATTTCTATATTATCATTTTCTGAACCGATTTCCTCAACTTCTTCATTGGATTCTACAATATCATTTTCTGAACAGATTTCTTCAACTTCCTCATTTTCCGAACCGATTTCTTCAAATTTCTCATTTTCTGAATTCATATCTTCAACTTCTTCATCAATATCTACATTATCATTTTCTGAACCGATTTCTTCAACTTCTTGATTAAATTCTACACTACATTTTTTTTCGACTTTTTCATTGAATTCTACAATATCATCTTCTGAACAGATTTCTTCAACTTCATCATCAATTTCTACATTATCATTTTCTGAATTTATATCTTCAACTTTCTCATTTTCTGAACTAATTTCTTCAACTTCTTCATCGAATTCTGCATTATCATTTTCTTCAAATTTATTATCAAATTCAATATTATGATTTTCAAAATTATTTTCTTCGCATTCATTGGGATGGATATACATTATATGATCATCATAATTTTCCAGATGATGTTCTAAATTTGTACCACTACTTTCTTTGCTATATTGCAATCTAGGTTCATCTACATCATATTCATTATAATGATTCTCATCAGTATCTATATTATTACCTTCATGGCACGATTGTAAATAACCATAATTTACACCCATGGAAGATATGACATCATATTGCTCCGAATTCATTTCTTCTTTTTGGTTATTTTCTTCTCCTGAAAATGAGATGCCACATGAATCCACGTCATTTTCTATTTCTTCAAATCCTTCTTCGCCTTCTTCTTCTTCGAATTCTTCTTCTTCGCCTTCTTCTTCTTCACCTTCCTCTTCTAGTTGATCATCATTGTTATCTTGGATTTTTTCTTCTTTATGCGATTTAAATCTACCATATCTTGTATTTTCTAAATCGCTATCACATGATGAATTAGACTCGGAAGAACAATCTAATGTTTTTATTGTTTCAGTAGAACCAGACGAACATGCCGGAGAAAATTCTTTTTCTATTTCATCTTCATTTTCTGAATCCAAAATAATAACGTCATCATCATCTTCTTCGACAAGATGTTGATCTCCTACTAGATAAGAACATCTAAAATTTGAATTAACATCATTACTGTGCGATATGGATTTTTGAACTACATTCATTACAGGTTCAGTATTAGTTGCTAAACTATAGTTTTTAATATCAAATGCAGAAGGGGCTGAGCTTGTTATTTTCTTGTATTCAATTTGATCATCGTATTCGTTATATTTATATGTAATGGAATTTGTATTTTCAGTCACTGATTGAGGATCTGATGTTACTTTGACTTCATCTTCATCTGATGATGACAGCAAAAAAATAGTATTTACTTCAGTATCTGAGGGTATTAAATCTCTTTTTTTCAAAGAAGTGTCTTGCGTTTCTAAATCAATTAATGAATAGACTTCAGAAATATCCATTTGTTCACATTCATCATCTCTTTCATCAACTACAGTTTCAAAATCTAATGATTCCTTTTTAGAATTATCATTGGGTAAGTCTATTGATTCTTTAATTATTTGATGAGAAGAATTATTGGAATCACTACTTTCAACAATGAAAATATCATCATTTTTATCAATATCAGGCTTCGAAATGTCCATCATTTTTTCAGACTCAACCCTAAAAAATAAAATGTATATAAAGATGATGAATTTCAAACCTATATTTTTATTTGGCTCAAGATTAATAATGTGGGGAGTTATTATGGGAAGTTACCTTTTTGCGCAAAAAAAAAAAAATTTGTTTTGAGTACAGCCTTTTGCATCAAAATAAAAAAAAAGGATATTATTTCCGTTTGGGACAAAATTTACTTGCGTAAACATTTTACATTAACGACTTGGTTAATTCATATACAGATTTACTGACAAATACTATATAACTGATTTACAGCTAATTTAACTAAAACCACTAATATCTGTGAATCTTTTCGTTCTCACTTAAATGAACAATTTTTTAAATTTCAACTTGATATTTTTACATTTTTAGAAATTTTAATTTAAACAGTTCAAACAGATATTTTTATTTTAATATAAATATTAGTATTAAAAATATACCTATCCCTCAAAAAAATGCAAAAGTTAAAACAAGTTTAAAATTTTTTTAAAGCCAATGCGAATTATAAAAACAAAAAAATAACGTGTTACTAATATGTAAAAATAGTTGCATTTAATTACAATAAAGAATAGGATATGTATGATGTATTTATTCATTTTATTATGATAATTCGATTGATAATTTTAAAATGTTCATTCTATTGACTATTAATAATAGTATATCATTTTCAAAAAAATGTTTAATTTTTTAATTATTTTATTAATAATTTTTTTTAATTTTAACTACTGATTATTTATTATTGTTTAAAAAAAAATATATAATTATTATTATTTTTAAAAAATTGTAGAATTTACTATAGTTGATTATTATTTAAATAAAATTGTATTGATTATTATTAGGGCTCGGATTTTAAGGCATATAAAATTTTTTATACATGTACATTTTCAAACATAAAAAATATATAGGTATATTATAGGTGATGGCAAACCTTTTGAACAGTGCGTGCCCAAAATTACCTTTTTTTTTTATGGAGCGTGCCACGAAAAAAATATTAAAAATATTATATTTTGTTATATTATAATTTGATTGTATAATTGAAGTATTAGTATAAAAAGGTTAGTTTAGGTACATAATAATAACAATAATATATTATAAATAATAATAATTAATATAATTTTATTGCTTTGTTAATTATTTATATTATATTATATTATAGGTCCTATAATATATAATAGTAAAACTTTTCATGTGCCATGGATTTGCCATCCCTGTTATAGGTATATAAGATAGAAATCTAATTTTTATTCATCAATTTCGTTTCATGTCATTCTGATTCCATATAAATCAATTAATTTTTGCTTTTTATGGCTTGCTTTTTTGTATAAATGATTTTTTATTGCTTTATTTCAGTTATTTCAACTGTCGAGTTTTTGAATGTTTATGTTATAGTAATAATGATAATAAAAAAAAATTGTTTAATTAATAAGAAATGTGAAACCCGGAATAAGGACTTAACGGTTATATTGGCTTATTATTATTTTCTTTATCGGCTTGACTGTTAAATGTATTAAATGTATAGTTTATCGATTTACAAATAATCTATTCTTATAACATCGATATCGACCATTTTATTACCATAAATTTTAGTGTTTGAATTTAAAAAAAATGTCAAAAGTTAAAACAAATGTATTTTAAAAAACTTAAGAGTTAGAATTTGGTGATTGTTTTAAGATCATTCTTTCACTATGTATAAAAACATTCTGTTAGACACTAAAGTCAGTTTCACTACTTCAAATCTTACAAAATACATTGTAATTAATAATTTTTTTAATGTAAATTAAATTTTCAATTTTCTTTATTCACTTTTATAACCAATAAATGTTAATTTTTGGTTATGGTTTTTTTCCTTTTTTTTTAAAAAAATAAATATGCTTTATTTTTGCTTTATCAAAATAATTTTGTCATTTATTAATGAATTAACCAAGTCGTTAATGTGAAATGTTTATGCAGGTAAATTTAGCGCTTATAAGCTGTCGGAAATAATAACCTTCTTTACTTTGGCGCGAATGGGCTATATCCAAAATAAATAAATTTTTTTTTAGAGCAAATGGGTGATGCCCATAATAATAGCTCATATTTTCAGTCAATTTTTCAAATTTAAATGTTCAATAAAAATGTTAATAAACAAATTAAACTAAACTAAAGGACAAAATTCCTAGATCAAGTTGGATAAATATAATAGAATAATCAGAATAGAAACTGATAAAAAAATACATGGTAAGATAGGGCAAAAAAAAAAATTCGGCCACCATTTTTATAGCAAAAGTTATATTTGATTTATGATCTTTTTTTATTCTCTATTTTATGGTTTTTACTTTGCATTTACTTTTTAAGTTTCGTGTTGCAAAAAATTATTCTATTATGTGAAGATTAAGTTAATAAAATAGAATACAGGAAAATATTTTGAGATCTGAGACAACATTTTAACATTTTTTTTTATTTTATACATGATATTTTTTCTAAATAATTTAACACAAATAAAAGTAAATGCAATGAAGTATTAAGACAGAATAACTTAAATATCAACAAGTAAAAATAATTTTTGTTAGAGAAATTTGCAAACTGTTATATTGTTTGGAATGCATTTTTAATTATATGTTAAAATTGAAAATAACTGCCTTAAATAAAATGATGACTGATTATCTGTTATCAGCCTATCGCCTAAAAGTGTTCATCCAATAAAGTAATATAAAGAAGCTGTTAAATTATATAGTAAAGTGCAAATGGATACTGAGCAAATTAGCCACTTTTAGGTGACAATTTTTGTGGCCATTTCTATTCGATACAGTGCATAAATACTGTGTACCAAGTACAACATTGTATTATACTAAAATGAAAAAAAAAAAAGAACAAATCAACATTTATTATAATATTAAAAGTCGAAGCTGTAATTCTTTAATCTATAATTGTAAATCATAGAATAACATTTTAATGGTCTATAAATTGTTTATGATTCATAGACTATAGTGATAAAAATAAGTTGACTCTTGATATAGGTAAATGATCGAATATTTGGCTTCACTTGAACACAGGCAATATATGTAATGGCCTCTTTATATGTTAACTCTATGGTCCACCTCTTGGTATTATATTGGTCTATTTAACTTGAAATCAAATTATCGTTCAATGTTTTTGAAATAAGAATCAAAATGAATTTGATCTTATTACCATTTATTTAGTGTTGACTGAAAAATCTTTCTGGCCAAAATAGTGTACATATACACACACACACACACACACACACACACACACACACACACACACACAAAAAAACTAATTTGTGCCTTATTTCAATCAGAATTCAATAATAATTGTTATATAATAATCGTTCTAACTTACTGTTCAATTGAAGTATTATTATCATCAGGTAAACTAAATCTTAATATAGTTTTAGAAGCTGGTTTCTCAGCGCCTTTTAAGGATAATATTCTTAAATTTTTTGCAGATCCCGTCTAAAAATAATGTAAGAAAAAAATTTAAAAATAAAAATATTTTAATATAAAATATTCTTAATCACCCTATTTATACATACAATTATAATACAGAATATCTATCAAAATGATTTTCAAAAGTTTCCTTTACTAATAAATACATATTTAATGTAAACCTGTACTCGAGCTTATCAGGCGTTAATTCAATAAAATAAAAAGATAATAATAAATACATCAGTTGTACTTTTATAATACTAATAGTATATACATTAGGTATTTTTTAAAACAAAGGCATATAATTTTTATTCAATTATGACAATGTTAATGGTTAATAGAAATAAAAATCTTGATGAACCTAAATTAATGTATAATATTTCATTTATAGTTTCAAGTTATTTATTTGTTGGTGGTCAAGATTATTAATATAATTAGCTAATGATATATTTATAAAAACATATCTTATTTTATTGATTTAAATTTTGTAGTTATATAAACGTACCTTTAAAATTGATGAATAATTCATTACAGAAGGTGACGTAAATGTCTTTTCTACTAGTGGAGTTTTTAGAATTTCCAGCACATGTTTTTCAATTGGCCTTTCAATAACATCATCAACAACTTTTGGAGGACTTAATATATAGTCATCAGTTATTTTCCTTCGTTTCTCATTATATAGTATATCATATGAAGGAGAACGCTTTCGTGTACTATTGTTTGGTGGTATAATCAGATTTCTACAAAAATGTATATAATATAATTAATTATATGAATTATAAAATAATTCAGATTAGTAACTTACATTGAATTAGATGACGATTTTGGGGAATTTATTAAATTAACCACATTATCTGTTTTTCTTTCCGTTACATTAAACAATTTAATGTCATTATTCATACATTTCGTCACAATATCTAATATAAATTAATTAATTCTTAACATCAAAATTATATTTTTTGAATATACATTAACATATTTAGTATCTAACAACTAACCTGTTTTTTTGTATAAACTTTTAACAGGAGGACGATTATAATTTTGTTTCATGGTCATAGGTATACTTTTATCGAATCCACTAACCAAAAGACTAGTTATTGCCAGACCATCATTACATTTTGATTTATTTATGCATTCTAATGATTTATTCAGTTCAATAGCTTCTATATACCTAATAAATAAATAAATATTATGCTAATGTAAGTTCACTGAATAAAGTAGTAAAAATGTTTCTCTTATAATACATTATTAATAAAATCAACAGATATAATGAATATACTGGTACATTTTTTTTACAATTACAAAAAACAATAATCTTTACAATTTGGTAAAATGGATAAATAAGAGTAATATAAAAATCAGGAATCGGTTACAAAACAATGTAAAATAAGGACTAAATGCACTATATATTTTTGAGTATAAAATTATTTTAATCATATGAATATTTATTACCTTCCTCGTTGTAGTAAAAATAATAATTGAATAGATAATGACTCCGGGTCATTAAATTTTTTTAAGTATGAATAAAACAATTCTTCTTCTTCCAACTCCCAAAGATATTCTATCAAACATTTTAATTTACTTGTTTCTCTGCATCCTAAGAATAAAAATAAAATGAATAAAAATATATATTTATTACACAAATGTTTCATAAACTTACTATCAAAAAAATATTCAAATAAAATTTGTTTTTCCTTAATTGGTCTAGAACGTATATAGTTTAAGCCATCAAAATATTGATTATTCAAAACTTGTAAATTGATATAAAATCTGCAAATCATAATTTAGTTAATAACTTAAAGCTATATAAATAATTCAATTTATTTGATTTACTTGTGATCGTTAATATTTTCAGGTTTAATGTTAACAAGTTTCATGTAAAATCTTGCCCAAAAATATTCAGTTTTAAATACAAGTAATTTTAAAACAGTCCAATGGAACCAATCCCATGATTTATCATTGTCTATCATCCATTCTTTATTATTTGACAATATTTCTATAGCATCCTGAAAATATTAAATTTAAAAATAAAATAAAAATGAAATAAATAACAAAAATAATATTTACTTCAAACATGTCATGATCAAATAACCAGCTAGCACGACATAGTGTATTCAATCCTTTATTTTCAACATCAAATTCAATAGCAAAATTACACATACGATTTGCAAGCATTACATTTAGTCTGAAATAATTATATTTGAGTAAATTATTTGATCAATTAAATGTATTTTAAAGTAAAAACTTACTCTTGTGAAGAACAAACGTCAATCAAAAAGTAAATTATAATGAAATCTTTCACTTGATCAGATAGTGCTGAATTCAAATAAATTCTCAACAGGCATTGAACTGTAGAGGGTGGATACATGCCCTTAGTAGCTTCACTGCCTTCATGTTGCCATTGCTCGATTAATTTATTTCCTTTTGGTTCATTATAAACAATAGCATCAATTAAATATAACTGTGAATCTCCAAATTCCATTCGCCTAAAAATCAATAATCAATATACTACACATGTTTTGTGATAGTTTTATAATCAAGTGTAATTACTTATTTTTCAATAGATATATTGAAAAATTATAATAATATTGAAATTGAAAAATGTTATTAATTTTTTTTTTTTTTAACAAGATATTGAATAATTTAATATGAGAAATCTATTGTGATCATTGAGAATAAAAACCTCCAAAAAACAAGAAAAAAAACTGTGAAACTAACTACTAAAAATAAATCTTATGAGGATATATTATATCTTTTTAATAATAAGATACAATGAAATATCTTTTAAAGTATTATAAAATGGTAGTAAAAAAATGGCTGACATTTATTATTTTTAGATTTTGAACAAATGTTATCTAGGTTATGACTTATAATATTATTATATTTACATCTAATTATACAATAATACATTTTTATATTTTTATACAAAATACTTTAAATCAAAATATTTTTAAATAACCTCAGTGATAATAGTCTTACTTATAAACTATTAAGTTAAAGGACACAACTCTTAAATACGTGAATATTAAAGATGAAAAATTACATTTTTTACTAAATGTAAATACATTTGTTTTGTCAAATTTAAATATCCTTTTAGGTGTAGAAGACTTAAGATATTTTTTTAACTTATAAGAAAAAACTTAGAATATATGTAATATAAATTATAACTTAAACACAATTTAAGGATAAATTTTATCAAAAAAAAAAAAAAAAAAATGTATAACTTGGGAAGACATAAAGATAAAAGTATGGAAATAATAATTAATGAAATTACAATTCTCCAAAATCAAATTTCTAGGAATCACAATTGATCAACATTATAAGAGATATTCATTCATAAATTTTAAAAATTAAAATATAAAAGCTTATATAACACTTATTTTTGAGCAAATGTTAAAAAAATATTGAACAAGAATGCAGAGAGTTACAAATGGTTTTTTTTTATAAATTGTTTTATTAATTATATTTATATATATATTTATATTAGGTTTAAGTATTTAATTATTTAAAAAAATATTTACACTAAATAGTTACTCACCGTTTATTAGCATACTGAATTAAAGAAGTAAAATCACAATGTAGAATACCTTGAGTAGGATCTTCTTCAGTAGATTCTGGTAAAAGACCATAGTTGAGAAAACATGTTACTGCTTTAAAATATTGAGTGACTAAGTTTAGTGTATAAACTCGAAAAGAATAATCAACTGAAAAATAAAATAAAAATTATATTTCATATATTTAAAATAAATATAAGTTATAAAATAAATTTAGCAAGTTAAAAATTTTATTATTTAAGGAAATTCCATATTACCGATTTTTGGAGCAAAAAGTTTCAGCATATTGACTTAAGTTTTATTCCGATAATTATTATGAAAACATATTTTAATTTATTATGAATTTCATTTTGAATCATTTGAAGTAGAAGTATAAAAAAACTGTCTTAACCTGTAATATTTACTACGAGAATTTCTAAAAATACGAAATTTATTTTTTATTATATAAATAATAGTGGTTTGAAGAATTGTAAGTTGTTTGTCAATAAAATGAAGTCTGTTTTCAAAATTGTTATTAGAGTAAAATTAAAATCAGTATATTGGAATTCATTTAGATCTATGATTTAAGAAATAATTAAAAAATAATCGCTAAGAAACAATTTTGATTTTAGGTGTCTTCTGACATGCGAGTATATAACGTTTAACCCATTTCCTATTGAATAATCGCGTTTATCTAGTAACGAATATCAGGAATCTAAACATAATCTATTCTTGAAAAAATTAAATGCTAATTATTACCGACATTCCCAAACAATTCAAGGTTAGTCCAAAATAATTAATGCTGCTGTGACTGATTATATGACATCTACACATTGTGGTACATTGCACACATGATATAACGATAAACATCAATTACTTAAGTAATATTATTGGCTATTCCGTTACTCATAGGTCTTAATGCACCTATAGTTAATGGTTTATTCAGTAGCAAATATTTATATAGTTATTTAATATGCTAAAGATAAATGGATTAACTGAATTTGAGTGAGCCAGTTTTATGTAAAAATATAAAAAAATTGGTAAAATTTAAGAAACAATGTTTGTTGAAATGAAAAAAAAAATTAGGTAATGTGATTAATATCAAAAAGAAAATAGTTCAAAAACCAAATTATGATTTAGTTGGTTCGTAATTAAAAACCTAATCTAAGTTTGTCTATATAATACTATCAATATTTGATTTTATATATATTTTTTAATATAGTTACTTCTTTCAATTAACTCAATTATAGTTGATTTTAATATTTTAGATGATTATTCATTGATATTAATTTTTATAACTAGTATCCAGACTTGGGTAGTATTTAGAATACTTTTTAAGTATTTTGAATACTTTTAAAATACTTTTTTTGAAAGTATTCAATTAAGTATTTTGAATACTTATAACGAATATTCTGAACACTGTATTTCGAATACCGTTAAATCATCTCTTTTTTAAATGATTTTATTACTCTGTCATATCTTGTATAAGCTAATATCAGGTATTTATTATTGTTGTAAATCATTAACTATAACAGTTATGTAATATAAAAATACAATAAAATAATATATTTAGTCTACAATTTCAAATATTTCTGATGAGTGAACGTTTATTATTTTCATAGTATAAAAATTAGAAGTATTTTAAAAGTATTCGGAAAAATTTTAAAGTATTCTAAATAATGTATTTGAATACATTTTCGGAATACTATTTTTTGTAAATATTCGAGTATTTATTTTAAATACTTTTAAAAAGTATTTTACCTAAGTTTGCTAGTATTTCTGATTAAGCTTATTCAAATAATTCCATCGCAACTGATGTGATAGAAATCCTCTAAGGAAAATATTTAAATATATTCACTCCAGATGATATGAAATTGGTTATACTATTGAGTAATGACTATAACATATATGATATTTCAAATTTAACTGCAAATGAAAATAATAAATTTGGTACTTGTTCACCTGAAGAAAAATTTGTATGGTATCACTCCAAAATAATAGTATAAAAATTAAAATTCATGGAAGAAGAGTAGTAAATATATCATATTTATTTCAAGAAATCAAAAACATTGAGAACTACAAACACCATTTGATTGTAAATTTAAAAATGATAGTTAACAGTGAAAGAAAGTTTGGCTTGAAATAAATTTTAAGTTTTAACTGTTGCAAAAAAAGTTAATCATCTGAAAATAAGAATCTTATGGCTAAAAATATTTCGGCAATTATAAGCATATTAAATATTGTAAGTGGTTTTAATCAGTTACAAGAAATTATGTCTGCAATAGAAATAATGAATTTAAAACAGAAGACATACCAAAATGAGTATGATCATGTTTGAAAAAGTTATGAAGAAATTGTGTTAAAATCAATGGATAATGATAACTTTAATTATGTAGAATTTGCTTTTAATTATTATTGTCATTAATATTACTAATAATAGGTGTATAATAATATGTAAACATGCATTGTACATATTGTACAAATTACAAAACCTGCAATTTACATATACCATGACAAAATATAATACATAAAAATACTTAAGTATTCGTATTTAACACTCTAGAAAGTATGTTGTTAGTTTTTGATGAGTGACTATAGATTTATAGGATTGAATATTATAAGTAGTTTTGATTCGGGCAATAATCTAGGACACCGGGAACAAACAAAACATACAATATGATAAGAAAAAACAGTACAGGATTCCTAGTTGGTAATGGTTGACAGTGAGTAAAATTGTTTTTTTACGGGTTACTAACACTAATGATTATTACTACTAACACAACGACACAGACAACAGAAACATGTTTAAGAATTTGGCTAAATATTGTTCCTTAAAAGCGTGTGATAATAATATACTCCTAAGTATACATTTTATTACATACATTTTTGAATTATAACATTAATCTAAAATTTTTTTGAAACATTAATATATTGTATGAACATAATGTATTAGTGATAATCAATCACTTATATGAGATTAAGCAAATTATAATATAATTATAGTATCTAATCTATGATTTTTGATTATAAAAACGACTGATTAACAATAATGATAACTAACCAAAGTTAACATAAAGTCAAAGTTTATTACCATTAATTATATGAACTCCATAGATAGTATGTAAATCTTTGAGAAAATTTTTAACACATTCCATCTGAGATAAACAATGATTTAATATTCTTTTATTCTTTTTATCCAATTGAGTACCAGAATAGTCAAATAAAGGAACACCTAAATATAATTAAAATTAATAAATTATTAATTTATAAATAATTATTTGTACATAAAAATGATTTATTAATAGGAATTTAATACTAACATAATTTGTCAGCAAATTGTTTGACAACCATGACATGCTTCCAAAGACATTGAACTAAATGTAAAATGGTAGCCCCAGTAGATACATATGTTCCATTTTTCCATTCTTCAGCACAAGCACTAAGAACTGATAAAATTTTGTTTTCTACTAAAATTGATATTATAAAACTTCTTTTATCAAGCTGAAAAGAACATATTTTTATTAGTAATATGTGCATATTAAACATATTTTTAATTCTTACCAAACTGTAATTAACATAATCTTCTGGATTATCCCAAAAGAATGGTCTTAAATTTGTTTGTAAACACTGACTGAATACTAAACTTGGATTTGTTAATAATTTCCAATTTTTTAAAAGTAACTGATCTAAAATTTCTTGTTGAACACCAGCATGCTTAAATTGTATAATTTCTGAATTCATTAAACAATCGCACTCTAGTAAAAAAAAATAAATACATGAAAAATCAATTTGATAAAAATTCCAAACACAATAGTTAATTACCAAAATAAATCGAAGATGGATAATAAAGTTCCTCGACATTACTTCTAAAATTGTAACCAAATGGACGCAATGTTCTGTCAGAAATTTTAAAATCTAAACAGCTAACATTATGAGGCAATTTTACAAAACTAGCATATGAGTTGGATACTTGAAGATGATTTATATATGAAGGCATTTGAGCTTTATACCACTGATTAATATCAAACAAAAATATATATGATTCTTGATCAGCATCAACATTTTTACGTATTTCGATTAACATAGCAAATAATCTTATTTCACAATCTTCATCTATGTCTAAAAAATAAAATTAATAGTTATTAACTTCTTTTACATTAATTAATTTAATATATGCAGAAAAAAAATTTAATTATTTAATATATGCAGAATAAAAATATTACATTTGTAAAATTACTAAAAAGTTTAGTAGAAATATTTTGAATTTCAACAATATGTTTTACAAGAAGGTTTTACATTAAAGTTATATTTTTATTATCATTTTGATAAAATATTTATGAAGCATTTATGGACAGTTATGATAATAATATACAAGAACATTGTATACATAATTTTTTAATACTTGTATAAGTATTTTAGTAGAAGTGAAATAAATATATGCAATTTAAATTTAGTGGTGTAACTTAGAAATTTTATTTTAAAAATCTATTTCAATTTAATAAAAATTAATAATTATTTTGTAAAAAAAATGTGCTTACCAGTTTCATTTCTAAATAGATTCATATTACACAAGGATAATGCAGATATACAACGTCCAATTCCAGTCTCTTTCTTTAATGACATTTCCAATTTTACACCACTTCCTTTATATGTCTTTATAGAAAAATAGTATTAAATGTAACAATGCACATTTTTCAAATTTTAATACATTATACTTACTTTATATAATAAATGACCATTAGGCATAACAATTCGCTCTTCATAAGTTAGTGCAATCATTGTTGCATTTGGAAGTTTAGAATTATCTGATTGAATAACCCAAAGATAACACAAATTATTTGGGTCATCGGATGGTTCCATAAAACTAATATGAGTTACTGGCATAACACATTTTGGCTCTTTTAATAAGCATCTGAATTAAAAAGAATAAATGTGTTAAATATGAATAAATAATATTTAAATAAAAATTGTTGATATAATAATAAGTAAATTAATTAATTAGATATTATACATGTTTGTTTAACCGAAACCAAGTTACATTTATTTTGTTTGTAAAAAAATAACTTATTAATTTATAAATATATACCACAGCAATGAGCTTGTCCAAATTATTATAATTAATATACTTCAATAAATGTAGTATGATTATATATAAATCATTATATTATAATAATTATAATTTTCATTTAGTATATTGTATCATTTATTATAATTAAATTAATAAATCAAACATATTTTAAAGAAATATATCTAAAAGGATGAATATCAGGATTAAATTCCCTACTCTTCTAATATATACTGATTTGTAAGAATCAAATTTAAATCATACAATAAGATCATTTTTAGGTAAAGAATTGAAAGTATAATTTTTAATACAACAATTTTAACCAGACTAAGGAAACAAAAAAATTGATAAATAATTAAAACTGTCAATTGACAATTTTAATCTCTAAACTGTTAAATAGTTAATACCAGAAATATATGACAAATTTTAAAATATTAAGTTTTTCAAATTTAATAATTTGAAAATAATTATAATTTTTTTATTTATTTAATTTTTACAAAGAATACTGGATTTTAGCGAGAAAAATGCACGTAAAGTAAATTCAATTATTTTTTAAGATGATTAAGATTTAAGAAGATTCTACATTTAGCTCAAAGCATTCTTTATTTAATAAATTAATTAATACTAAATATCAAATCGAGTTTGAGAATAACATTATACACTTAATTATTAATGGATAATGATCAATACATACATGGTGCGCATTATTTTACAATCCCATAGTTGATAATGACCAGTAGAATATCCGATAGCAATAGTATTGATTTCTTCGATATATAACAAACTAGATACGTTTAAGTTTAGTTTGCCATTGTACTGTTTTTTACAATACGCATAAAAATTTTCTAAAATAAAAAGATATTAACTTTAGTTTATAAGTATGTACTTAAAAATATAATAAGACAAAGTACTTATTTATTATTGTATGATGAAAGAATATTATTATTAATTAAAATACCAAAATTGATTTCCTTTTTTATACTTCACAAATGGTGTAAATAGACATTAATGTTCATTTCACCAATGAGTAAAGTATATCTTTAAATAATTTTGATACAAAAACTGAGCTTAACTTGATTTTCTTAACAGTTTACGAAAAAAGAAATCATCATACAAGTTTGATGAAGCTTACATACCATTTATAAACATTGCTAAATGACTATCACTGTCATCACTCATTTCTTTAACTTCTTGACAATCTTCATTTTTTCTTACAATAAATATTTTACTAGGCCTTGACTCATTTACTACAATTTCATTTCTCCTCAGTTCTGTAAATAATTATTTGAATTTTATTTGATAAAAGCAAATTATTAGGTAAACTTACGTTGTTCAATGTGATTTTGTCTTAAATCAATTGCATAAGCAGCACCTGTAGCCAAACCCACTAATAATACAGTAGACATAACACTAAATTCATCACAAAGTAGATTTTCAGCAAGTGGTTTATTATTAATTGTGGAGATGTATGATATCTAAAATTTAAAAAACACATTTTTTTTTTTTTTAATAGAACAAATTAATATAATCTAATTAATAAATAATAACTTTACCGCATTTGGTAATTCAATACAGCGAATTGTAGTCAAAGTTGGTAACTGACATATAAATAATATTCCAGAAGATTTAAAAGAACATCCAACCAAAATAAAATTATATGTTTCTTCACAGTTACTTAATTCTTTAACAAATGTTATCTAAATAAAATAAAACAATACAATTTAAAAATCTATTATCTGATAACTTTTTGATTTTACATGAACATCAAAACAAAAAAACAGGTTTGGTCAGTGCTGTAACAATCATAGGTGCAGGGGGTGCACAGCACCGAGGCCCGCAGGATCAAAAGGCCCATAGCAGATAGTCGTCAATTTTTTTTTTTTAATTATATTTAATTTGATTCATAATTATTGTATTATCTTGTATTTAATTCTATATAACAAAATGTAAAAGTCTGGTCCATTTTAATTGAAATTATTTATCCAAATATTGGGAAAAATACTAAGCCTAGAGAGACATAAATAGATTAATTTTATATTTTATTGTAAATCATATTTATAAAATCCATAATCATATATTCATATTATATATTTTACCTATCTTTGTAGTTTATTCTACAAGTTTTTTTTTTTTTTAATAAAATAATATATATACAATTATGATCTTGTATACCTACTAAGTTGAAGCTTTATACAAAATTGTTTCAGTGAGAAAATTATCCATTGGTTCTTTAAAATTCAATACATCCACAAATACTATCCGATCTGAGGAGTAAAAAATGCCCATAGTGTGAAGTCAGTCCAACTTTTTTATGTATCTTAAGAAAAATAATCTTCATCTGGGTCTTTAACACTCTAGTTATGATACTGGGTTTGGTATTTATCAAGTTAAATTAATACTAAATTTAATTATCTTTGCATTTATTATAAATGGAGTTGTGAAAAATTTTAATTTTTACCAATATTTGTTTGAGCTAAACTCAGAAATACACTTTAAATAAAAATTACTGGTAATAGTAATATATTTAAAATTTATTATAAAATAGTCAAATAAGTCAAATGAGACAGGAAATAATTATTAAAAAAAAAAAAAAAAAAAAATTATTTGAATTAACCACAAAGAAAATAAAACATACCCAATACATCATGATATTTTGTACCATGTTTTTTAAATTTCGATGTATAATAGTTATTTTTATTTTAATATATAATATAAAATATACACAGGATATAAAAATAAAATAAATTTATTTAACTTCTGTTTGGTTCAAAGTTATATGAACTATTGAACTAGTTATTTCAACTATTTCCATTCAACTAATCTAATTAGTTTATAATAATGATACAATTAGAGTTTAATTTTAAATATTATAGTAATAACGAAATAATAGTAGCATGATTATAGTTCTATCGTTTATTTCATGATATATACAAGCAAAATGTCAAAGAGAGTAAATTAAACAATTATTATTTATTTTTTATTATAGTAAAATTTAATTAATATTAGCATTGACCATCATAGGCGTGCGCAAACTTTTGGTTCCAAGAGTACACACTAAAAATTAGGGCCCACAATTATTTTGAAAACCATTATAAGTACAAGAAAATGTTTATATAAAATGCACTAAAAATATTTTATTTTTATTTTACTCATTGCAATAAATATTACATAACGAAATATAGATATACAATCTCTTATAATAATAATCTATGTTTAAAAGCAATAACGTTCTTGAATTCGTCAATAATTTCATTAAAATTTAATTTACAAGCTAATTCTTATTTTATAAATATTAGTATTAATGATTTTTCTAGTCTATCTTGGCCCATAGTACATCTGAGTTTATTTTTTACAATGCTTAATTTGGAAAATATCTTTTCATATGAAGAACTTGTAACTGGTATAATGGTAAACATTTTTAATACTAAATACATATTATTAAAAACGATTGACTGTCCACATAACAGATTAAATACAGAACACCTGAGTTCATCATACTTGGAATCAAAAAAAATTAATTAGATTCATATTCACCTAATGTCAGATTTACTTTATTTCTTTTAACTGTTGAAATATTAATATCTAGATCAATACATTTGCCAATGATTATTATATTTTTGCTTGAAACTATGACTACACTAAAAAGGGTTATTTAGATAAAATAATAGATTTTGAAGGCTGTTATTTAGTAAATATCGTTTTATTGGTACTCTGGAAGCAGAAAATCCCGGAAAAATACTTTGTTACATTCTGATGTTTTGAAAAAAAAAATCATTCAACCATTGCAAAAGCGTTCAATAAAACTATGTTGATAGCCTCAAGGAATAAAACCTGAAAATGTCCTCATTTTTGTATCTGATGCTACCCCATATATTGTGTAAGCCGTAAGAGCCATTTGCACTCTATTCAAAAATGGTGCATGTAAGCTGTGTGGCATAAGTAATTCATAGAGTTGAGGAAAATATAAGATAAAATTATCAAGATGTCAATAAAATTAGAAGTTACATAAAAAAAAAATTTTTAAATTCACCATATCGTACACCAATTTTTAAAACTCTTGTTCCAGAAATTCCATTGTCACCCAAACCTGTTTTTATGCAATGGGGAACCTAGCTAAATGCTGTATATTACTATTGTGAAAATATTTTTTATGTAAAAAAAAGTTTTACTTAAATTGAATCATGAAGATTTGGCTACTAAAATATAAGCAAAAGAACTTATATCTAAATCAAGTTTAGATGCTAATCTAATTCATAAAAATCTAATTTCGGTTCAATTTCTTCAGAAATCAAAAATCTTGAGGCTTTTGGAATCTTATTATTAGAATCTATTAATAAAATAAAACAAATTGAGACTACATTCTCTTGCTCCTAATTTAATCAGAGAAACAATACCAAATAAACTGAAAAATAATGGGTTCAAAGTTTTAAAAAATATATTTGCTATTCTAGATGGAGAAAAAACAACAAGGAGAGATGGTATTCAGGAACTTTAAATTATATGGTTTATTTCAAATATACTCCAATTAATTCTGTCGACATCGAATTAGGTTTTCTTTATATAAGTAGTTTGGGATATTATTATATATTCAGTGGTTTGGGATCCGCATTGTACTGATCTTTGTCGTCAACTTGAGGGTGTCCAAAGGAAATTCCTCAATTACGCAAGCTACTCATTGAAAATTCTTTGCCCCCCGCATGATTATTCCCCTGTCCTATCTAAGCTCAACCTATCCACATTAGCTAGCCGTCGATATTCTCAAAATATTTCTTTCCTCACTAAACTTATTTCTTCGGATATCGACGCTCCAACACTTCTCTCATTAATTAATTTTAGAGTGCCTGCGTGCTTTACTCGCAACTCGATTCCATTTCACGTCCCTTTTTGTTCAACTAATTACATGTATAATGAACCTATAAATCGCATGGTAAGAATAGCAAATGAGGATCCCCACTTCATTAGTATATAAGTTATTTTAGTTTATAACTATTATTTAAAACTGTTTCTAATAATTTGTTGTATTGAGAATATTATTATATTATCATGTTATATGTACCATTTTACTTAAGCGCAAGCCCGTTTATATGTAAAAAATAAAAAAAAATAAAATAAAATATAAAAAAATTGTATCAGACTGTCGTCACAACTTATTGTTTAAAAATATTAAGCATCAACTAATTGGGCAATGTACTAATATGCGTATAGGTGAAAAAAATATGATATGTTTTTAATTTAATATAATTTAATATATGATTTTTCAGAATAATTATACATGAAATTGGAGAAATTGACACTTACAAATCAACTCTAATTTGAATATATTGGTTTACTTCTAAAACAATTAATTTGTTGATAGAGCAATATCAAGACCAAGACAATCATTAAATTGTATACAAATTAATGATATTATTAAAAGAAAAAAATGTATATTTATTTTTTTATAAAATGTTATAAATATTATGACTTTTTATTAATAATAAAAATTTATAAATTACGATTATCTTATATTTTATTTTAGTTAGGAGAGGGGTAGAAGGGTAGATCCTCCCTTGGAAATTATTTTCATAAAGGGTCGTAGAGACAATTGGGTAAATATCTTCAATTGTCCATACACAAAGGTTGAGAATCAGGCAACACAAATGTTGTCAAGTGAAATTATTTTGTCGCCTAATTGATAGTATTTTAAAATAGGTATTTCCATTTTTTTTAATAAAACTTTAATATCTCAAATCTTTTGATACCACAAACTTTTTTCTGTTCCTTTAACAACGATCAGACAGTCTTGAAGTGCAATGGTTAACAAATATTTTTGATTAAGAGTTAATTATTTTTTTATTATAATACTGAGTTTATTATATTCCAGTTTCGTTTTAGTTAAAAGTTATTTGTTTTTCCTTTTAAACATTTTTTTTTTTTTGAGTATCTAATCTCTGGAATGTGTACTAAGGTATTTGCTGCAAGAAAACACTTTTCTATGAGATAACAAGACAATACTATACTTACATTTTCTTTTAGTACTTTGTTATGTGCATACATTCTATTACATAATGTTACAGATATATATAAATACTATATCGATTGCATTACAATAACAATGATTCCACTATGGCGGGCATTTATAGTAATTACACATTTTGGTACACAGTTAGGAATATAACAATCAGGATGCACTCTTAACCACAACATAAGGGTGTTACAGTCAATGCATTTATTTTCAATGCTTGAATACACACAAGTGGGAAACACAGGAGTGGACAATAGTAAATATATTAAAATAATGACTAACAGAATGGACCAGTTAATGATAGGTATAAATTATGTATATAATAATAATCATATGGATAAATATATTAGAATATATATGAGACAAATAATCAGAAGTTACACGCATGAATTGTTAAACTTAGGCCACATTCTTATCTAACATAGAAAACTCCATATATGGAATTCAAATAACAATACCATATCAATACATCCGGTGGTACACACAAGTAAAATGACCAAACGATTAGAGATTCCCATGAGATTGGGATATAAGGGGGTCCCGAACAGGCTCTTTTTCAGATGTGTTTTAGTCTCGTTAATGCATACACCTTAACGCCAGTTTGTTTTATAAATTAATTATTTGGACTCAAAATAATTTTACAAATTAAATAAATTATACTTAGAAATATTTCAATAAAGTTAATATTTTAAAGTCTTGAAGTTGAGTTATTTATTTTAACATTATTATTATTCTACATTGATTATGAAGCTTAACAGTTGAGTGTGCTCATCTCTCGTTGCACTGTCCGGTACCCAAATACCGGCACGCAACAACTTAGTATCGTGGTCAGTTAAAAAAAAAAAAAAAAGAGTACAATACCCTTGAACATTCAGTACTCGTCATTGTGGTTAGTTGTTCAAAAGTACAGCAACTTTAAGTTATCAAGTATAAATCTTAAGAGAATTTGCTTAATTATCTTTTTATGCGGTAGTTGTTATCGTGGTCACCAAAAAGAGAATTAAATAAGCTTTTACCGCAGGGATCAATAATTACTTGTTTGGGAATCGATTAACAAAAAATATCTGTTATATACATTAAGCCTTTTGCATGGCGTATACAACAGTAACATATTAAATCAAATACAATAAATAAATATTTCATACAAGTCTTATATACATATTAACCCTTTGTCGACCAAGCATCGAATTAAGATATTTTTTAAATTTTTTTTTGCATAAACATGTTATATTTGACCTATATAAGACTAATTTTTTTTCGTTTTTTTTGTTTTCTTACTCAAATTTTACTTAGGACCCTGGTACTTGGAAGTACCATTGGTCATCTAGACATTATTTTTATTGGTACTTCGAAGTACCAACAGTCATTTTGCCATATTTTTTTAACATGTGGAACATACAATATTAATTTACAACTAGAGAAAAAATGATTTCTTCTCTTATTTAAATATTAAATAATATTTTTTTGTAAAAATAAGTATTACAATTTTTTTTAAAATATTTAATTCTAAATTAAAAACCTCAATAGCTCTAAGGTGTAAATTAAGTATTTTAGTCTGAAAAATGCAATATTATCAGGTCAACACCACATTAATTATTTTGTTGGTTGAATATAATTTTTTTTTATATTGTTATTTGTTATACATTTTTTATTTTTTTGTGAGAATGAATGGTACAATTTTGAATTATGTGTTAGTTGAATAATTTGAAAAAAATTATGATTCCATATTTGTCTTCATTTAACCACTGAAGTAACACATTGTCATTATTATTTGAAATTTTAAAAAATAATAGTAATTATGGTTAAATAATTCGGGCTGTTGTTAAAATTATTTATATAGTACGTAAAAAAAAACGATTTCACAAGCACGACGGTAGTTAGCAACACGACACGACAAAGACGAGTTGAGAACAGACTAAATTTCTCCTGTGATATACCAATGGTACTTATAAGTCCATATTATTATTTGTCAGTGTTTCGTTATATCGATAATGAATTCGAGCTAACCGAACAATATAATACACCTAGACATATATCTAAACATACAAAACTATTTATTTTGATCAAATTACAAAATATGTATATATAAATAGAAAGGAAAAACACCAAGTCATATACATGTGTTGAATACTGCAGTCCCCGAAATTAATCGTCGATAAAATGTTTAATAATAGCACAACCAATTTTAAAATAATGTTTATTTAATCGGTAGATGGTACTCTTAAATACCGACCAGTGAGAATCACAAATATATTGTTCACTAATATTTTATACGTATTTTATTTTAGTGGACTTATGAGTACCGTCGGTCGACAAAGGGTTAAAAAGAGTGCAAAATGAAATCTAAATTTCCAATGCCAAATATAACAACTTTGGTACTAATCACTAAAATCTTCGTTATTTTTCTCCATAAATAACTTATAGTAAATACATTTACAATTTTAGTTAACCCATAATGTTTATCATGTTAAATAAACTACATACCTTTAAAGATTTGTCCTTTTGATTAATAGCGAATGACTTAGATGAAACAATGGATCCGAATTGTTTTGAATAAAGAGTAATATCAGCTCCATTAGTAAACCAGGCATATTGACTGTTGGTTATTAAGCCACCAAACTTGTCGGAGTCGGGTTGAAACAACTGATTTGATATAGGGTGTGATTCGATAACTTGCAACACCGGTTTCAAAGCAGACATGACGGCAAGTCTAAACTGTTAAACAATACGAATATTAATCTAATCACGAGACAGTCTACTACAAGAAACGAGGAGATTCGACGGACCGAAAACTATTAAGAACGCATTATTATTAAAAGCTATAACCATAGAATTGCACGACGCGTATTACGACGATGGGTCAATAATGATCGAGATTTTTGAACGCACAGTTGACGCCATGTCGCATGAGCTAAAGACGATTGTCAAATCGCAATACGTCGATTACGGATACAAAGTACAAAACCGCGAGATGCCAATGACAATGATGTTAGTAACAACCTGATGAGAAAACGTGCGGGAAAAAAAATATCGGTAAAAATACATTGTTTTTGCCTACGCGTGATGAGGCCAGGAGCTTAATCAAACGATATCGACAGAACTCCGATTGAAGATAAGTTATCACACTTATCCTCGATTTTTGATTATGATTTATATAATTTTAATATTTAAAATTTATAATATTCATATAAATTTCACAAATTGACTATTCAACAATTTTAAATGTTTGATTTTGTATTTATGTGTTGAGTTGACATAATATACAACTTGTTATAGTAATATCTTTATTGGATTTTTTTCAAAATAAATCTGAATATTATTGTGTATAGGTAGTTTTATCAATTTGACTAGGTAGTGTATAATATTATTAAATATAGTTTAAAGTTCTGAATTTGGTTTTTGTTTTCTAATTTCTAATGAAACTTATATTACTGACTATTTTATAACAATGTACATTATATTTATTTTATGATTCTATATATAATACTTTAATGTTTTTTCTTATTTCATTATATTTATTTTATTTTTTTAGATTATATTATTATAACATATTGGGAAAAGATTTTTTAAGTGATAAGCGAAAAAAAAACGTTATAAATTCATGTAAATTATGATACCATCCTTGAAAGAATCCTGCGTGTGCCATTGCATATGACACACAGCTTTTCTATCTTATACAGTCTTTAAAATTAAATTTGATGGTTATTGATATTATTGTTAAAAATAGAAAAGTAGTATACTATTAAATTGATAATAATTTTTAAATATTGGCTTTTGGTTAAATTTTACAAGTTACCTCACAAAAGTTAATTTTCTATTTAGAAAATCATAATATTTAGATAATTATAAATTTGTTTAATTTTAATAAACTATTATATGCTTAAAATGTTTTTTGAATATATATTTTTTAATAATATTTCAATACAGGATATGTCACGTTTTATGACCTACGTATTGTTGAATACCAATCAGCACTTTTTTCAAACATTTTTATTATTTTATTTCCTACTTAGTGAATTGCCAACTTTAAATAACTAAAATATTAGACTAAATTATTGTTTATTTACTATTAAATATACATTAATTAAACAACACATTTTATTTAAATAATAAAACATAATTTCTTAAGAATTTAAAATTTTTTACTAATAATTAATAACTATATAAAATAAATAAAATAAATTTTTCAAACTTGTATATAATTATAAATTATATCAGTCTACGTTGACATCTGGTTGTAGCAAAAGTGTTCTTCACTTCATCTTCAAAATTAAATTCTTTTAACATATCATTCTTTATTGGTAACAATGCTAAATTGTTAATTTTTTCATCAGTTTGAGACGATCATAGATAGTTGAATAAAATATTAGTCTAATGACTAATTATACCACGTAGAGAAACTAAATTAGTCATACAGTACTACTAAGTCTGCAGGAATTAGACACTTCTACCCATCACTAGTAGTCAATACAATACTTTTACTATTAGAAGTAGTAGAAGCTTTATTTAAAAAAAATAATCAATCAAATTGTGTTTGATTTAAAACATTTTGCAAATTATCACTTTAGTTACGGACTTTTTTTATATTGGTCATCACCTAATCGTTTTCTACTCATTTTCACAGAAAATAGAAAAATAGTTTGTAAAATAATCAATAAATAAGAAAAGTAAATAAAATAAAAGGAAAAGGATTTACAAACACGGCAATCTGAAAAGGAACTGAGTTCAAAATTATTGTATATTGCTAGATATTTTTTTTATAAAAATCATCGATAACGATTTCTTTTATAAATATTCTCGAATCTTATCGATAATTGTTATCTGCTTTGCTTTAAGTGGGGTACTCTGCTTCAGGTTTTTGCCTTTCTTAGAAAAAGAATTGTTCTTTGGAAAATATTAAAATATTGTGTACATCTTATGGTTTTATATCTATTTAATATACTAAAATATATCTATATATAAAATTATTTTATCAAGAAAAATAACAAGTGTTATTATAGTATTGGATTACCTAATTTAATTTTTATATTAATATTTACGTATAAACAAAAATTTTTTAAATTTTTTTAATTTAATAGATCATTTTTAAATCAACTGTGAAAAGCTAAGTTATTTCAACTGCCAATTAAATAAGTTAAGTTAAAAAGTTTATTAGAAAATAAACTAATTAGTTAACAGGGGCGCGATTTCAATGAAAAAACTGGGGTGTTGAAGAAGCCCTTCTATATTTTTCATGGTTATAGACACCCACAACGCGTACAATTCAATAAGTTACTAAAATATTTGGTAAATATTTGAATATTTCTAAATTTAAATTGTTTGATTTGATTTTATATTTTTATAGCGTGTATAACGAATTAGGGACCCGTCTGTAAACACAAATACTTCATCACATGATCACTTTTAGATTCTGAGTGAAGTGAAGGATATTATGATTTTATAATGATGTTTGTATTTTATTTTTTTAATACTTTTTCGAATAGAAATACTGGTCCAAAAGTTTTTTCTATGAACTTTTTAGATTTTAAATTGGCATGCGGTGGTACTTTAGATAGGTCATTTTTTTAAATCTTTAATAGTCTTTCCAAATGTCAGGAAAAAACTATCCTGAAACAGTAAAAATAGGCTGTAAATAAGACTTTTACTTTTTAGATTTTAGTTATTTAATCATAATTCCAAAATTAATGTGGCTAGAAACTTGAAACTTTTACTCTATAGCAAAGATATTTTTATTTTTTTTTGTATTTGATAAATTTTTCAAAAAGCGCTTTTGATTTAAATATAGAAATTTAAAAATACCTAATTTTTTAAAGTCTTTATTACATAAAGGTTGGTTAAAAATAATAAAGTTGGTGAAAATGTAATATCACCTTACTTATATTCGAGTATTTATTTACCGATACAGAAAAAATTGTAAAAATCGTTAATCTAAAATTTATTTCATAAGCATTTAAGTAAATTATTATACTTGCGATTTTTACGGATTTTACTGTTTTTACATCAATTTTTAACATTGAATGTTTATTAAAAAAATATTTGGTCCATCCAATCATAATGCAACTTTGAATAAGTATAAATATTTGGTTAAAAAAAATTTTCTTCGTCAACAATAACATTTTAAACAGGTGGATACAAAAATAAAAAAAACTTACCGATAATTAGACTAAAAATTGTATAATATACTTATAAATGGTTAATTCTTATACTGAACCTTTGCTCAGAATCGTTTTGATAAAGAAATGACTTATAATTTCTTTAAAACTCAATATTTTTATAATAGGCTTGTTACTTGTCCCGGTGTCCTGGACGATCATTCAGTTAGTCCTGGTTAATAGAAAGTGAGGGAAAATAACCTTTAATATTATATTATTTAATAATAAAACATAAAATATTATTGTACATTATATTATTATATTAAGGTAATTTAATCGGTAGGTTATAAACAATAATAATGTATTTTTGCATTAGCCAATAAATATTTAAATTACAAAATTATATACTTATTTTGTTTTCATATAAAAATAAAAAACGAGTCATTCAATATGATGGTTTATCTTTAGGGGTATTAAAATCTGGAAACTCTACCTATTACTATTATTCAGTTCGAGGACCGAAGAGACTAAGGACGAACTTCCAACACCATTATTTAAATAATAAATGTGTATATTTATACAATAAAAACTCTGTTTTTCTTTACACAATTAACTTTTTAACTAGTTAATAATGCCCACTTTTGGTAATCATTATATAATTCGTGTACAGTGTTCTATACGTAGCGTGCCTATAGATTAATCATAATTGTTTTTTAATGTTATATTCAGTGCTCGAATTGGGTGGTGCGCAGGGGGGCGGAGCCCCTCTACTATTTTTTTGTTTTTGCGTACCCCATCTATATTTTTTCACCGGAACGGGGGGATGCCACGTTCATCCTAATTGATGTCCAAAATAATTTTTATGTAAATTTCAATTTACGTCGATTGGAAAATAAATTTTATGATTTATAATATCAAAACTATTTTTATAATTAAAGATTTTATGGTGGTTATGATAAGGGACAACGTTGTCATTTCTGGAAAAATATAAATAGTAATGTCTGTGAATTTGGTGTATTATACTTTTTGCATTGTACGGTTTGTTATTAATATTAGCGATCGACGATATCGTCATTTTGGAAAAAAATAAATGCCCTCACCACGACCTTAGACTAATCTTCTAAGGCCGTGGCCCGTACTTAAGAGTAAAAATAGATAAAAACAAAACCAAATATATGATTATATCATTCGATTCATGAGACTGCCTGATCGTCTACAATTACAGTACAATCTCGGCAATCCGACACATATCAGACCACGCTACTGCCGGATTAACGAAAACGGCGGATTAACGAGGTTTCAAATAAAAACGCGTTATTACTTATTGAATTTTACATTTTTACTGACACATAAAAAAATGAATTATTATTATTATTTATTAATAAATTTTGCGACATTTTAATGTAATTTGTAATATACTATACTTAACCGGTATACACAATGAACACGAACAACACCTCAACGTTAACTGAATCAAAATAAAATATCTAATAGGTTTATTCGTATTTAACCTGTTATTACTTAATTTTATCTAACATTATATAGTTAATACGATAGTAATTTTATATAAAAATACATATTGATACGTATAGGTTAAAATACAGGATTACTGGATGTATCGGATAATCGAACGGCCGGATTACCGAGATTGTACTGTACCTATGTTAAGTATTATTTTATTTTTATTTTCTATTGTAACATATAGGATGTTAGTATTGCTTTCAAAATATATTATATTTGGAATTTAAATTTTTGTTTAGCTGAAAAATGGTATTCAAAATATATTTAAGGTTGGTGGAGGGCGGAAGAGGGACGATGCCTCCCATGGGTCTGTATCAAATAATTGCGCACGTGGAACGCAGTTTTCAAATCGTTGGACTGAGCTTCTCTACTTAATTTTTCCCAATTCGAGTACTGGTTATATTTAAACAAATTTTTTATTGTAGTTGACTTATACTATTTGTGCAAGCTCGAACGAACATATTACTCATTTAATACTTCTTCTACCTACTGCCTTAACAATATCGCAGTAATACAACAAGGAAAAAAAAATAGTTCAACCCACTATTAAAATAATATTTTTAACAGTATTTTATAATTGCTATAGGGATACCTATAATGTTAGTGATATTTACTATAATGTTCTAGTTAAGTTATTATAGTTATTGTTACAAGAAAATAAAGTAATTTTTACTAAAATTTTATAGTTCACTTTATATTTTAATTTAGTCGTCCAAACAGTACTTATAGTAGTACATACTGGAATTTATAATAGTTAGAACTGGGAGGTTTAGTTCATATCACTGCAGCAGAAATTTAATTTACTATAATTAACAGTTTATTGAGCAAAGTATAACCCGTAATAACCACTACTATAAAATTAAGTATTCATAACCAAGTTTTATATTTAATTATTTTATATATTTAGCAGTACCTGCTGTCATGTATAGTATTTTTTACTATAAAATTACAATATTAATTCATTCAAATTGTACCTATTAAAATTTTTATTTTTTTGGCTAGTACAAAAAGTTTGGCTTTTACTTATAAAATTTAAAAGAACGTTGTTAAATATGGTATCCAAATATAATTTCGTTTATGTAAAAAAAATATTATTTTATTTTTTATTTTCAATTATGTAACAGATTTACTGGTTATTTGGTTACTAATTAAAATAACAACATATTTAAGATTTTGTATACAGTTATATTCCAAAAACAAATAACAAGAAGACATTTATACTTTTTTCAAATTAGAATTCACCATGGGCGGCGGACACAAATCTGGTCGAGCCCATGTATATTATACAACAAATTTAATACTAATTAATTGTAAGTGATGGAGTATTTAATTGTTCCAAGTCTTATCTTGGTGTCTTCCATGTGCGTCGCGGTGCGTTCTCATTCGAAAAATAGTATGGGTTTTTTTACAATAAATAATATAAAAAATATAGATTTAAAATAATTAGGACATCTTTGTAATAAGTTTTATAATGAATAAACTAAAGGAGTATGTAGTAAGTCGATATTTATTTAAATAATTTGAATAAAACTCGAAAATAACTGTATGCATTAATAATCTACTTCATATATAGTATATAGTGTTAAAAACTTACCGTTTTGACTTGAATTCATAGAAATATAGAGACTCGTCGTGCGTCGAACTTTCTTGTAGAAGTGTTGCAAAATATGATTAATAAACGACTGACAAAAGGATATTGGTGACCACTATCCATTAACTTCAGGGCCGGATTGGTCCGGCGAGTTACCGAGCAAAACTCGGCGGGCCGCGACAATTTTTGACCTTTTAAGTTGTGAAAGGCCGCTAACAGAAAATATTAATAGTTTAAAGTTGAATATCAGTGCATCTATTGAAATATGCAATTAAAAAAATTTGGACAAGGGCCGCCAGTTAGTAAGTGGGCTGATAACATACAGAAAACTCGGTGGGCTAAATTTGTCTAATCCGGCCTTGATTAACTCATAATACGTTTTGTAAGAGACAAAATTCTTAAGAATTTTAATTCCTTTGTGTTAGCTACTCGCGCGTGTTCAGTTTTCGCCGAATTACATTTCGACAGTTACGACTTACTATATTTTATAGTGATTTGATATATTGCTATAGTATTCAATTATCTGAGCTATAAAATATAGTTGATTAAAACATATAAAAAAAATAAACTATTAAATAAAATAGTAATATTCACTATTGAAACCAACTATTTTTATATACCTAGTCTTAATAACTATACTGCTTTAGTCATTTTACCTATAAAATAGTGATTCTTACTACATTTCCGTGACTATAAAATTTTAGTAATTTTTTTTTCCGTGAATAATAATATAGGTATTCAGTGTCGATTTGGCTTATCATTGAGCCTCCAGCACAGTAATTTTCAATAGACCCTTTACAAAAAAAAAAAAAAAAGGTTTTTTAAATTTATAAATTTTATAACATATAAAGGTAATTGCATTTTCTGTGTACTTATGCATAAATAAATTTAATATTAAATTAATACTTTTTATGATTAAATAATAAAATAAAATATATAATATAATATTATTTAAAACAAAAATCTCTTTTATTCTTGACTAGAAGATGCTAATTGATCAATTTTAATCAGTTTGTAATTATTTTGAATATAATTACCTAAATTGTTATAATTTTTTGTCAAATCCTATTTGATATAATTTACATTTTCCCCTAAAAAAAATGTCCATAGTTCATCAATTAAACTGAATTATAAGAATAATGAAATAAAAAATACTAGGTAATAGGTGTTAAAGGTTAAACTGAAACAACTATTGTCTATTATAAAATATAAATAGGTAATAAATAATAATAATTTATCTAGGTACTTTGAACTTGAGGAGAACAGCCCGCAAGGGCTCAGTACCTTCTCGTATGACCGTAATACACCTTAGAAAAAAAAGTATTTTGAATTTACCATTCCGATTGTTATCAAAAAAGCTTTTAATTTTTTTATTTGTTTGTAATATATTTTGTTTCTGTTGCGTTTTCCTTTTTCTCTTGCACCACTAAGATGTTTTGGTTTCATGACTCAATTTTATTTAATTTTAAGCTGCCCCACAGGCCACAACACACTTTGATGCTAATCGCTTTGGGCCCTATGACCATAACAACTAACAATACCAATAACTAATAATAATAAGTAGATGTTTACGTTACTGTTGATTATTGCCATTAAGGCCGAATGTACAGCGATTAGCGAGCATTAATTAGATTTTTGTCTTGTCAGTGTCGATTGCCGACCATGGCTAATATAAACAATATAATTATATAGGTATATGGCATAAACCTAAATATATTATATCGACTAAATATAGAGTTATTGTAATCGCCGGCGTCAATAATTACAATGTTCAATCATACTAGTAATTATAACCAATGGTTCAATGTTTACAAATTGATTCGATTGGAACCCGATTAATAATATACTGTTCGTAACAATGGAATCGTAACACCCTTCCCCTCCGTGTAAGATGGAAATCCGTTGCCCATTACATAAAATTATACAATTCTGGGCAATGAACTTTCAGGTTTGTAACATAAGTTATTATTTTTACAAAATTGTTATTGACTACTGATGATAATAAATATAACGATGAGAATTATAACGATTAGAAACGATGATTCATATTTCATATTATGTAGGTAGGTTAAATATTAAAGGAGGAAGTAGCGTACCAATTGTAAAAAATAATATAATGTACTCTTATGCAGTGCTGTAGTGGAGGGTATACGGCGGTAAACGCCGTATACTTTCTGGTTATTTCTAATAAACTCCGTATATCTTCAGGTCGTATATTCTCTGTTGTAGTGAAATTATATATATTGGGCGATTGACGGGCATGTACTGTAGATTAGATAATATAACAATCAAATAACTGTATAGTATTTGTATTTAAGATAAATATAAAACGTTCAGCCGTCGCATAATACTGTGTAGTGTATACATTCGTTCATTTTTCATTTTGCCGTTGACAGTGATTCGTATATCATATTTGTGTATTAGTTATGTCCAGTCGATAAATAAAAAGGTACGTGTTTATTTTATTTGCAATCTATTTTAATAAGCAGTTATAATATGGATAGTTGGTTAAAAACGGGAAGTTTATTAGAAAGAAAATGGAAAGACGATTATGTGTTTTAGCTACTTGATATGATACCTAATGATAGTATAAATGTTTAATATTATAATTCATAGTATACCTTCTGCCTTTTTTAGGACTAACAGCACTGCTCTTATGTATGATATACGAATACATCGTTGATCAATAATTATGTATTTGTATTCAACACTGTCTAGGAGAACTATACGTTCATGTTTTTTTTTTTTTTTAATACGATTGCTCTTAAGCATTTTGTTCACCATTTTTAAAAATATATTTGAATTTATAATTTAAATAATTAATTTTATTTATTTATAAATGTTTAACTTATAAGTATTTTCAACGTGTACGTTAAGTAACATGAGCATTTGGCCCTGTTAAAGATCTGTTAATTTAATGATTTCCTACTTATGAACCATATATCATTAATATATTATTATGTATAAATATTCTCTTGGTAATTATAAGCGTAGAGGAAAAAAAACAATTTTCCAACACGCACGAAGTAGAATATAAAAACGTGATAAATAACTTTGGAATTTAACGCCCATAATGTTAGCAATCGTTCGTTGACCTACATGTCAGTCGCAGCCGCTACCAATAGGCGGTACAGACAGACATACTATGTTTACATACAGCTGCGGCTATTATCCAATGACAGGAAAAAAAACAAAACACAATCGTAGAATATTTTATATTTTTTAGTCCGTCTTAAAACATGCTCGTTTGTAATTTTAATAAACGTCAATCGGTGGAAGACTGGATTTGGTAAAATTAGAAAAAAAACGAGAATGCCATTACAATGGTATATTATTATTCATAAATACTCGAATCGACGGGCGGCGTTTTATATCGTAGCCGCCGTCTCACCGTAACGATGTTTTCCCCTCTTACATCCAATCGACACTACTTCTACTAATGCCGCCGCCATATAATACGCATGTTGATAACAAATGAGTTGCGTGCGTGCGTGCACTACTACTACTACTACTGCTACTACTACTTTTTTCTACGTTCACGTCGCCACATTCTCAGTATAACCTCTCGGTGGAACCTGGCACGAGAATAATAATAATAATAATAATAATAAATAAATAAATAAAAAAACAAATAAAACCCTACGGATTATTCGTCGTCGCCGATTTCGTATCGTATTTCCAAGCAACGTTTTTGTTATATTTTATTTTTATTATTAGTATCGTGTTATCGCTAAAAGCCCGTGTGTTTTTCCATTACACCGAAACGTTTTTAATTTTTTTTCGAACAGTCCGTACAAATAATAATTTCTCCTCGTTTTAATATCGCTATCATACGCACGCGCGGACCGGACGCTCGCGTTATCCACTATCAATTATCCACGATTCTGCAATATTAACAATATTATTTATTCGTACAAAATATACGTACAGCTATATATATTTATGATATACGCATACATTCAACTACATATAGAATAACACACTCACACGCATCTTAACCTACACACAATCCGCAGTTCAGTCCCGTTGTCCCGTGTCGATTGTGTATTCGGCGCGCGCGTGCGCGTGTGTGTCTGTGTGTGTGCGTGTGCGTGTGTGTGATAATAAACGGATTCTGTGCCCGGTGACGGTGCGTGTGGAATTTGGGTTATCGTCGTACCACGGGTGGCTGTTGCTGCCGTCGTCGTCCGCCTTTCGTCGGCTGTGCTCTATCTGTGTTCTTGTGTTACGTGTTTTTCGTCCGGCGATCGCTATGGCTATGGAAGCAGAGGAGCTCATCTCAGACCAAGAGAAGGTAGGTTTTTGTTTGGTTTTAGAAAAATTTTAAATACTATGTACCACCCGTTTGGGTGGTTTTAGACGTATGTTTTTCGCGGTCGCTTTAGAACCGTTTTTGCAATTTGACTCCAACCACTATATTAATAATGCCGTCGGTCGTTCTGATGACAGTCAGATTCTAATCCTGTGCGATTTGTCTTGACGGTTTGCAGTATTGTTACTTATATTGCCCTCGAAGCTAATTATATCGAAAGACATAATAAATACATCTCTTTTTGTGGTTGATAATATTTTCTTTCTTAAATTTGGTAGTTATATTATGTATAACAAAAGGTTATTTTGATTAAGTTAATTAAATAATATGGACAAATGATGAGTATAATAATAATAGGTTATGAAATATATTAATTTTATCAAGTGCGCATATAGATATATCATGCTTTACTATTTGTAGTCAATTAAAATAATAATATTCTTAATGCCCTGGAATTAATGTATTGTTCAGCGTATAATTTATTAAGTTGCGGTTTCTACAATTGCTGGTTATTTTTATCAATTGTTTGCTGTAAAATGATTTTATAATTAAAATTGCTATTTAATTATTTAGAATCATTAGTTATCTTATGGAATTAAATAATTTTTGTATTGTCAGCAATGATAATGAAATTAATTGAATAAATAAATTATTATTAGTATAATAAATTAAAATAATTACTTAACCTTCTTATCAATTAAAAAAAATTAATAATATATTTTTTGAGTAAAAAGCCTATTTTTTAATTTTTTTATTAATTGTTATTGGTGATATAATGAACAGCACATTTAGCAAGAACTTATTTATTTTTCTTATTTCAAAATTATGAAATTTTGAGAAAATTATAATATCTGTGATATATATGTATATTCTGTAATTCTCTATCTTAAGCTTATTACCTAGCTTACCGAAGATAGATAATTCAAATGTATAGTGTAAAAACACTTCTATATATATATATATATTTTTTTTTTTATATTAATTAAAATTTATAATTTTTAATATATAATATATAATATGTATAATTGTAAATACTTATCTCGATTCTATTTAAATATTTTTATTGACATTTAGATAGTTATGTATAATTGTAAATACTTATCTAGATACTATTTATATATTTTTATTGACATAGAACCAATATTAAAATAAAATAATGTGAGTTTTAAGTTATCTATGTTTAATATTTGAAAATATTGCACTTGTACACGTATTATTATTTGTATAACGACAAATAATTAATATCTAATTGTGTTTACAATCATTACTAATAATTAGTTTTATATTATATTGAAATTAATATTTATGTTAGATATTTTTACATATTTGATGTCTATAATGGTAATTTATGTTCAGATAATTAAAAAAAAAATAATAAAAAAAATCTGTGCCTGCAATTTGATAATTTTTAATTTTTCTTATTACAGCTCTATTTTTAATAACAAGCTATTACTATAATTATCTTACTGTAGTTAAAATCTCAACTTTTTGAAAATAGTTTTATGAATCATGTAATACTAATTACAATTTATTTATATTAGTTATATATTTTAAAATGTAGGTAGGTATGTATATTAATATTATAATGTATTTTAGATTAAATTAGAATAAATGAGTTGATCAATGTTAGTTATAGTTGTTATTATTTTTATTTATTTTTACAAAAAAAAATATTTTTGAAATTTATTCTTTAATGCAGTACTACTTATTATGAATTAATACACGATGATAACTATGAAGTAATTCATCCTTTTTAGCTATTATTACTTCTATATTAGCTATCAAACTATTAATTATAAGAAAATAAGCTTTCTAATATCAATTTTGGTATTTATAGGTCAGAATTGTTTCGGATTTCATTTTGCATTCACCTCCTGGTGAATTTAATGAAGTATTCAATGGTAATATATAATTTATTTTATTAAAAATTATATTATTTAGTATTATTTGTATAATTGTTTTTTATTTAAGATGTCCGGGGCTTGGTCAATAATGATGCACTTTTAAAAGAAGGAACATGTTGGTATGTAATCATTGCAATTACTTTATTAAATAAATATTGCAATGTATAAATATTTTATATTAATACAGTTATGTTGACTTAGGGCATTTGCTTTGTACAATAAAGAACAGACATTACCTATTAAGATAGAAAATAGTGAATATCCAGTTCTTATTACGCAGTTTAATGATCTAGGATCCAATAGATTTTATGATCCTAGATCAAAACAGTCATTTAAGTTTGATCATCTAAGAAAAGAACCATCAAGTTATGAGGCAAGTACTTGTATAATATGGGAGAGGGAGTTTTAATTTTGATAACATGGATCATTTTTATTAATAGTTCCTCTACTTTGTTATCAAAACAAAATAAATATAATCCCAATCAATTTTTAATGATACATATTTATTATATTATATTAATTAAAAAAAAAAAAATACATATTCCTAGATTTATTATACATATAAAACTATGAATTTAGGTATGTTTTTAAATAATCAACTAGAAATTACTATGTAGGGCAGTATGGGATAGGGTACAATGAGATATATTTTTTTTATATGTACTATACTACGATAAAGAAAATAAAAGACTATATGAAACCATAATTTTATTTTTAAATAGATTTAAGACACCTAATAAATTATCGATTAACTATTATTCATTACATTGATAAGGTAATATATTATGTAAGTATTATTTGTTACTTAAAATATGTGAGAATTTTCCATACTGAAAATATTATAAATAAAGAAACATTTATTTAAAATATTCTTAAATATTATTCAATTGTACATTTTAAACAACCTTTTTATTTTATTTTGTGTTTTTTAATTAAATTAAAATAAAATAAATTGTTGTCTCAATGCAGACTAAGTTTTTTAGTTACCCCTTTCATACTATTGTATTCTATTACACCCTCTCTACCATAATAAAATCAAATTATGTTTAATACTTATATAAAATTTATATATTTTAATATAAACAGAATATTAATAAATTAATATGAAAATCATTTAAGTTTTTTAAAATATTGAATAAATTTATTTGTTAAAAAAAATTATCATTTAAATTTACTAAAACTAATTATATTATATTTACTTTATAAAATATTAGATTTTAAATTTTTTATAATTAAGCCGATACAAATTAATAAAAGAGTTGACACTCCTTAGTTCTAATGAATTGTAACTTTGTCTCAATTAAATATTAACATTTTATAAACATCTTACTATGGGTTTTCTTCTTAAAAAATAATCTTATCAAACATTTTACTAAACAAAAATGCAAAGAATAATTTTATTAAAAAATATTAGAACTTAAATTAATTTAATTGTTTAAATTAAAATAGATATTATAGAATTGTTTCATTAAACTTAGTTTAATTAATTTAAAAACATATTATATATTACACTACTTCTTATTTTAGTTATTTTTATGGTTTTAGGTTATTTAATATTTAAATAAATATGTACTAAATAAATCAAATTAATTTGTAACAAATTAGTTTTAGAAATATTTTTAAGGATATAAATTTAAAAAAAATTACAGAGTTGGGAGCCAGATTCAGAAACAGAAACTTGGCGTTCAGCTTTTGAAACAGAATTTACTTCTTATACATCACTTCATTATAAGCATGGTACATGTAGTGTATTTTCAAAAAAAGAAGATTCTTCTGTTGTTATAACAGCTTGTATTGAAGATCATGAATTTCAAGCTAAAAATTTTTGGTTTGTAAATTTAAATTTAATTTAATTTAAATTTTTATATTTAAATATATTTTTTTTGTTTTGGGGTTTAAGGAATGGCCGTTGGAGATCACAGTGGACATTAACTGTTGGACCAACTAATATTGATATTTTTGGATTTTTGCGAATTCATGTGCATTATTATGAAAATGGTAATGTTCAACTTGTGGCATCTAAAGAAATAAAGGAGTCGATTCCATTAACAGTATGGTTTATTTATTTATAAAATGTTTGTTGTATTTAATTTTAATTTTAATTTTAATATTATAATATTTAATTTAGACTGAAGATTTAGCTGTAAAAGAAGTTTTGAAAATAGCAGAAGATGCAGAGAATGAATATCAAATAGCTATCACAGAAAATTATCAAACCATGTCAGAAACGACATTTAAGGCACTTCGTCGCCAATTGCCTGTGACCAGAACTAAAATTGATTGGAACAAAATTGTTTCCTACAGCATTGCTAAAGAGTTTAAAACTCAATGACCAATCAAATTATTAGTAGTCATTGTTTTATTTTTATGATGCAAAAGACTTATTTGGTAAGTCCTTATGCTTGCTGAAATATTTAAAATATGAGAAAACCAATCTACAAGTTTTAGTACCTTTAAACTGATTTATTAGGAAAAATTGTACAAAACGGTATGTTAAATTACTCTCGCTGATCGTATCTAATAGTTTTCCTTTTATTTTTAAATTATAGAAGTAAAATTTTTATTTTTGTATTTTTATTTAATTTATTACTTTTGTTAAATACAAACAAAAATTTACCCAGAAGTTACGTAAAATAGGTTTGGAAAGAAAAAGATATGCATTTAAAGATAAAAATACATCGTCAATCAATATTAAGGGTTTTAAGTGAATTACTATTATTTAACTTAAAAATAAAAATAACAAATCACATGTTTTTTCTGTTATAAAATTCAAATAACAAAAACTGATGGTTTATTAAAGTTTCAAAATGTTTAATTAAGTTTAGTATTTTGTCAGTTTAATTTTTTATTACAAATTATAATTAAAAAAAAATTTTATTTTCTTTATTCAAAATCATAATTGTATTTAGTAAGAAAACCATATTTTCAACCACTGCTAATTTTAAAACAATTTTATTCATATGTTCATAATTTATGTCTTTGAATAGCCTTAATTATAGTTTTTACTGTAAAAAAATACTTACTCTTAAAGAAAAAAAAATATTTATTACTGCATTTGTTTATGTTACCCTGTATAAGTATTACAAGTTTATTTCGTACATTTAGTATGTTATGAATTATTATTTTTCAAGTAATGAAAATTAAACTTGTTAACATAATTATAATATTGTAAATTTATTAATCAAAATTTATGTTTTTACATAAATTTCAAATGTTGTTGACTGTTTTCTTGAAAAACAATATTAATGTTATGCATTGTAATAAGAAAACAACTAGATAATTCTTACCACTATTATACTTTTTTATGTACAGATTTGTATTTGTATAGTCAAATATTATTAATATACAGAAGTAATTTTTGTTAACTAATTACAAAATGTATGGTTACATGCATACAGAGTGTCTTTGAGTGGTGATCACTTTTCTTTTGTTAGGCTATTAGGTAAATACCACGACTCTGTTCACATATATGTACATATTTTATTAATGTATGTGAGTATATAATATATATATATATATATATATTTATATATAATGCTTGTCAATAAATATAAATAAAACTATACCAGAAATTGCTGTATTAGGAAAAATAATTTGGGTGATGGTTATGTGATTTTAATGTTGTATAATTCTAATGAATGATGTTTACAACATTTTTAATTTTTTTTTTTTTTAATTCGTAGTAGATTTTTCAATTAATTTGTTTTTGTGTTATAAATATGCATTAAAACGTGCAATATTTAGTTATAAAAAATATATTTACATGGTATATTCTATTCCAAAAAACTAAAATATCTATTTCGCGGCTTGTATTAAATTTTAGTGAATTTAGGTCATAATCAATTTCATTGTATACGTATATTAATACATTTTTGGTTCTTAATGTTTCATGCTCACTACTAATTTTTGTCATTATCCGTTGTCAATTATTAATTATTATTATATAATTATTATTACTTTTATCATTAATTTATTATTATTATTTATTATTATTATTTTAATTTAATTTAATTACTAAACAGGAAATTACTTACAATAAGATTTTCTTGTTTAATTTTTAAAATTATGTTATTTAAAGAGAAAAATTATATATTATATTCAAAGCTACAACAGTTCATATTTTGATAAATATTTCCTTCTATATTCCTAATGTACTTTTCATAGCTTTAGATTTTAATTTTAATTTATTTAGATTTTATTTAATTTGTTGATAATTTGTGAGTTTGCTTTATGTTAATTTAAATTTTTTTTATTAATAGTTATTACAATTTAGTAAATTTAATCTAAGGCTATGATTATATTCAAATAGAATAGATGTATTATATGTTTCTGACAAAAAACAAGAGATTTGTCTTTAAAACATTTGAAGGAAACATATTTTTCAGAACTAATTCTTGTTAGTGCAGAAACCAATATAATAAATACTTTTGTACTTGGAAGAGCTTATTGCAGTATTATAGGCCTTACTAGATCTTTTTTCAGGTTATTTGTGCTTGCATAAAGCTTACCACTAGTAGTTAATACTAATGAGTTAATGTAATATTTAATATTACATTGACTCATTATTATTATATTGTAATATATATTACAATTCATTATTTTTTAATTTACAACTCTATTAAAAAAAAAAAAAAACTACTTATTTACAATATATCTTACGTTACATAGCAATCTGATACAAATTAAATATATATCTGAAAGTTATTTATTATTATGAATTATAACAAAATGATTACAAGGTTATATGGCGTAAATAATTATCTAATTTTTAATAAATGTCAATTATACTTTCAGCATTTATGTTTATTGCAAGTTTTAGCTCTATTGTTACAATCATAGTTCTGTTTAGTTGTCCATAAGATATTGTTATCCTTGATTTTGATTTTACTTAATAGTTGGTACCTATATAGGTATGTAATTATAAATTAATGTAGGTACTATATTATAATTATGTACAAATAAATTATAGATTCAAAAGCCATACTTATAATATTTTTGTGTATATTTATTTATATGCAACATATAGAGAAATCCATAAAAAAAAAATATATAAACGCTTAATCAAGTACGAAATGTATTATTATAATAATAATTTAATTAATTTACACAATAATCGGCAGGTATATTAATATGTTACAATATACTATTGCTACATTATTAATTTATTCATATGTTTTTCATTAAAATAGTAGTCCCTTAATAAGTGTATTTTCTATTAACATAATAGTATTATCGAGTAAAATTAAATTTAAATTAATAACCATGCACATGTATAATATACTAATTATTATACATTGATATAATCATTATTTTTTAAGGTTTATGTTCAACTCACATTTTTTTAAGTGTAGATCATTTATTGGCTTATACATAAATTATCAATAACTGTCTAGTATTTAACTTATAAACCTTATACACATATAAATACTAACATATATTTGATATTTTTTTTGTCATTATATTATCTTAATATATGACATGTCTTATCAACTAATAAACAATACAAGTAGTGTACCTACATTTTATTTTCTATTACTCATATCAGAATAATGTTTAGTGCATTGTCATTATAGCAGCAATGTGAAACTGACGTCATATAGTGCAAGTCTGTGGGTATGTACAGAAAAATACTTAGATAGCAGTTACTTATAAAAACGAAGTCCAGTAGGCGACGTTAAGTAGGAAAAATGAAAACGGAAAAAAGAACCTGGAAAACTTGTCTATGTACAATGCAATTGCGCGACCATTGCAGAAAGTCGGATACTGTGGCACGGTGGCTACAGTAGCCATACTTCTGATAGGACTTCGGTTTTTAGGGTCCAATTCCTAAAACCATAATCATATAGGTACTTTAGCTGTAAAATTAATTGTATATTTTTTATGTTTAAAATAAATAAGTTAAAACTTAATTTACAACTTACTTGAGGAATTACGAAATTAGTTTCAAAGATATTTTTTGATCGTCCCAAAACCCATTTAAAGTGTAAATTAATTTCAGGATATATAGTTTAGCATTTTTAGAAAATTTTAAGTTTTTTCGAAATATAATCAGATGTGATCAATGTTTTATTAAATTTTGTCATGGTACTGAGTGTTCACATGTAATTTTATTTGATTTTAAGTTATTATTCACCATATTTATTCAATTTATATTTATAATATATATAATAGTATAATATATATAATATATAATATATATAAATTTATATGTATTGAAGAAATTGATACTGAAGCAAGACAATCGATTTTGTAGGAACCATTTAGTTTGGTCATCAAAATTAAAAACAACTTAATTCCTCTAGTTTTTATTATGTGATTTAAATATACTGTATGTCTGTATATTACCTTGAATTCGTCTCCTCCTCTAATATCTTCTTCTGAATATCCTTTCATCACTTTAGTCGCTACTGGTCCCATATAGTTATTGACCACGGCAAATTCCATCAGGGACAAAAAAACAAAAATTGAACACGATGACATCCATATGTCAATAGCCTTAACATAAGAGACCGGTGGGAGGGACTGCTGTGACTGAGTGTTTTGCGTAGCTGATCGAAAATCATTGGTTTTAGGTTAAAAAGTTATAATTTTTATTTTGTTGATCAACATTACCGAGCGTCAGTAACGAAGTCACGCCCAACGTTACTCTAGCCGGGATAGCTTCAGGTTTTATCCAAAACGAAATCCATGACATGACTACAATTAGTGCTGAAGGAATGTATGTATGGAACAAATGGTACCCTAAACGTCGTCGCAAATTGAACACCACGGCCAAACAGGTGAAATTTCCTAAATGTTATAAATAACTATTTTAAAACATAATTATTTATCTGAGATATCTAAAACAAATTCGTAAATAATCGTTAAAATTGTTCTGAAGAATGCAGTAGTGTTTAAAACGCATATAACTCGCACCTACACGTTTATTATATACTCGTAGATATGATACATTAATTTTTCGTACCTGTTGAATATTCTATTGTGCAGTCAGTAGTAAAATTATTTGATATATCGAGTTGAGGTAATTCAATTTCTGGATTCACCACTAATGGATCTGTCATATTCCATATAAAAACCAAATCGTGAGTTGTGTGAGATACTGAAAAGTAAAATAATTGCGTTAAATGCGTTGCCTAATGCAAAAACGCGTTTGATATTTATAAAGAAAATTAGATTAATTATAACACAAAATAATTAGTATTCAATAATATACCTTAATGTTATGAAAATTAATATATTATTTTTTTAAGTCAAATTTTTGTATCCTAAATTAATTTTAATTTTCATGTTTTTTCAGATAATACAAAAGAAAACATTTTTAGTTATATTAAGTAATTAAAATCTACAAGAAAAAAATAATGAAAGAAATTTTTTTTAGACTATAAAGGAAATCATATATAATTTAACTGAAATTAATTAATTAGAAAAAAATAGGTACAGAGGTGGATTTATCTCTTTTACGGATATAGGCACCAACAATTTGTCGCCCCTATAATAGGTGAAGAAGTTATATTACTCCTTCCAAAATACCTAATCTAAATATTAAATATATAAACATATGTACCTATATCCATTTGAATTTTTAGACTATTTTTTTTTTGATTTTATTAATTTGTTTATTTTGAAAAAATATCCACTAAATTTTAATAAAAACAGATTTTCATAATAAATTCATAGTATTATAAATCTACAGTCAAATTAGTAATATAGTGTAATAGTGTGGGTATTTATTTTCCCCCAAAATTCCTTTAACATATTAACAAAATGCACATATTATCGTAGAATTATTTTTCGTAAATATAAAGTAATTAATTTTCTAATTATTTTTTCATACGATTGATGTTTTTTAATAAAACACTACAGAATTTGCCGCTCTAGGCAGCTAAAATGCCTAATGGGAAATCCGTCTCTGAATAGGTATCTTTATTTATTGTAATAAAAGTTAAACGAAAAAAATTAAATAAATTGAGAACAATTAAAAAAATTACTCCATATTATGGTACTTAATATTAAAGCGTAAATACATTTCGTATGATTGAAAAACAAACTGAATTATACTGAATAACATGCCGTAGAAACTTGAATTAATTATTGAGATTTCAAAGTAACACAAGATTACAGAGTTAATAACAAATATTGCTGTATTTACATAAATAAAAGACTTTTTAAATCTAAGTATAGTTGATCAGTGGTGCCGACTTGAATTTTATTTAGTGGAGCAAAGTATAAACATTTGTTAATACCACCACCTAAAAAGTTAGAGCAAAATAATGACTGGTTATATGATTGAATAATTATATTGTTAATTTAATTTCATCATGAAGTCACTCACTTCGCTCGCAATTTATTACTCCAATTTCATCTATTAGGTAGGTACTATTCAGCAGTGACGTATCTAGGGGGTTTATAACCGAAAGACGGAACTATTAAGTCTATTTTAGAATACGATTGTATTTATTGTTAAATGTGCCACTTAAAACAGCACATAATAATAATAATATAAATTATAATCGAGTAAAATGCCTCATATTTTATCATAATTCAATAATCATACAGACTGAAAATGATAATTATAAATTAGGTATTAATTATTACTTATTCGTATTTACCTTACGTATTGCTTACCTACTTCATAGTAGTTTTAGAAAAAAAAACACTTAATATCAATTTGAAGCGTATATAAATATAGATTTAATTATTTAAATATTAAATACGTTATTAAAATTAAAGAAATGTGAAACAAAAAATGCTTTATTTCATTTTTTAAACAACTGTTATTTAAAAATGTTTCACTGGGCTATTGGTAATTTAAGTAACTACTTTCAAATATTTAAAAGATGTATTTGCATGCTTTAAGCGGCCCATACACGGTCAATTATATTGATCAGTATTTGATATTGTCAATAATATTGATCGTGTATTGGCAATATTGAAGGATTGATCAATAATATTGAACAAATTAAAAATATTTGATTTTTATTGATGCACTGTCAATAAAAATAAATTAATAAAATAAATTTGAGATCTTCAAATGTGTTACCAGTGGCTAAGTAAGGCAGAGTCAAGAAAAGTCTTTGGCTGGCTGAAATCGATTCTCGCATTATTGTATTTTGTTTCTTTATTAATGGAATAACTAAAGTTAAAAGTTCATCATAGCATGACTCGTTCGTTCTTAAAAAAAATTCAATAGTCTTCAGGTTGGTTTAATCGTAGCTCAGATAACAGATTTTCACAATTATACTTATTTTGCTTTTGCAATCTCTCATTAGCCCAAAACCTCTGCTTCCGTTTTTCTTCCTTTTATCAAGAAAAGAAATAGCTAGAGCAAGAGCTATTATAGTATTATCTAAATTATCAGACATAATTGTTTATAATTAAAATGAATAAATTATTTAAAGCGAATTTAAATCTGATTTACTATTTGATGACGGACCTGGTAATTTGATAATGATATTATGTTTAATAATTTTTCAATAATATTGGTACATTGATGGTCATCGTCAATGTTCGTCAATATTTTTTTAATAATATTGAACATGTATTTGCATGCTGTATAATCACTTTTAAACACTGGGAATCAAAAGGCGTTTAGCTTCATCATGTGTGCGAAATAGATATAAATGACAATGTACGTCTTTATACTTGATATGGTATAAAGACATGGATTGATAGGCGAATTTCTCTATCGTATCATAACATTCTACCATCTACAGATCGATTGTCTCTTAATTTGTACATTTTTAAGATTTACTTGAGTGTAAATTTATCCTCCCAAACACCAGACACCCACCACCATAGCTAAATGAAGGGGCGAACTGCCCCATAAAAGTATGTGTTCGGCGCCACTATAGTTGATATATTATTTGTGCACTTACAGCTTTCGATCATCATGGAACATATTTGTGTGTCATGTGGATATGATTCAAATTTCATTGCACACGATAATACCAGCGTCAATCTAAAGTCAGCAAAAAAAATACTGCGATTATTTAATATAATTACCTACACAAATCTAAACGTCTAAAAAAATGTATGCAGTAAGAGCAAGTTTAAAGAAAATGTACCTACATCAGTGGCGTACTCACAGGGGGGGGGTCGTGGGGTTTGAACCCCCCCCCCCATTGGCCGTATTTTTTTAAATTATTTCAATAGTTTATTAATAATTGATTATTGATTTTATTGATTATAATTTAGTGGTTTATACGTCATTAGTTACCAGTATCACAGTTACCAAGTTGAATTGGAGCACGACCATAGAACATGTTCTATGACACGACCGCGCTATCAATTTAACAATTTGGTGAAAATTTGTGATAATGTGGTTTTTAAAAATAGTACAAAATTTGTAATTATTATGATTATGGGGGTGTGGGGGCAGAGCCCCCACTTTTGTATTCTAGTAAATTTTCAGAGTCCCCCCCCCATTGAAAATTCCTGAGAACGCCACTGACCTACATAAATGTATTTTATAGAAAATATGTTTAGAACGCTATTCTTCTATTTTTAAATTAAGTAAAATAAGAATTGGACGAATTGTCTATTAATTATGAAGTAATAATAAGTAATTATGATTTATTAATTATTTATTTATTAAAAATAGTTGTAAAGTTGATTTATAATAATAATGTCGGAATGCGAGTACCATGAAAACGTATACTGATTATAGTTTTTTCATTTCCTTTTACTACCCTCGCTTTACGTGACACCTACTTGGACATGTATAATAAAGTCTTGTCGTGGTATAACCATAGGTAATGATTGGGTATACTCATTTCGTGAAACGTGACTTTTTTTGCGTTTTTGAAAAAACAATCTGGTCTCCATATTTCGTGTAACCATTCGACATCAAGTATACGATAATCTTCACTCATATTTTCTGGAAGTCGAAGTCTCTGGTCACGCCAACTTTGCGCCAAAAATATGTCTGCCACGTATGTCTAAAACCAAGATACGCTTTGTATACTTATTGTACATATTTATTATACATATATACCTATACAAACGCTTTGATACTGACGTGGTTCGGAGTATTATTTTTTTAACAAAATTTCAACTAATTAAGAAAATAAAAATTGTTATTTCAAAAGAGGTATGTTGATATTTTGACCAAATAATGTTAAATTATTACAATATAATGTTATTGTATACTTATTACATACTTTACGGAACTAATATAAAACATATATAATGAACTTTAATTTAATTCGTTGTCGTTTACACTTATTGGTGTGAAAAATATAAAATTTTAATGGTCGGGAATTTATGATTATTTATTAATACTTTCAAAAATAATTGTTGGGAACATCATTGAAATTAATTATGACAAATATTGAAGCAAGCAGCATTAGTCGATTTATATTGGTGGAAATATTCTTATTTGAAATCTAATTTATTTTTATATGGATATTTTCATTTTGTTTTAATAGTTACAGATAACTATACTATATAATTATAACTATATAAATATAATTTGGTAACGTTATAGTGCATAAAAAATAGATAGGTCTGGTAATATATTTAATGTTCACTCACCTGCAGCACATTATGGGTAATGTTAATATTAGCCTTACATGTTGACTAATGTATAACTTTTCGTTTATAATTAAGAAATATCAACTTTATCCGGAAAATGTTAAAAAAATGTATATTAGATAATTTAAGTTAGAAAAAATTTGATCTATTCATAAGTTTTCCCCAGCCAACATTGGGGGCAATGTGAGAGTCTTTTTACGTGGTATCGACAGAGGACAAGCAGACCCAAGAAATATATTTGTAGTTATTTCTATTGAAAATGGGCAATATAAACACCATACACTATTGCATTAGGTACTATTAAATAATACGAGAAGAGTGACAAGCTATAGATTACACGTGATTGGAATGATGTTATATCTATCAAAATAGTTATGATCATATTAATAGTACCCATTTATTATGATATGACCATATCAAACATAATCAACCATTTTAAAAATGATTATTTAGGTATATTTATTTTATTTATCTTTGCATTGCTGTAACTAATGTCTCTGTGCGTTTAAAATGTTTGTTTACCATCGATTCTTCATTGATTGAATCTAAAGACAGCACTGTCACATGAAAGTAAACAATAGTTGGTTGCCCTTGAACTTTGGGCGCGCGGTTTTTGTCATAATTCTTCGGATTGATCGGTAATATATCCGTGAGCGACAAGCTAGTCTCAAAAACGACATTTTCGCTCTCGGTAATGTCACTCTGATCACTGTAACATGGTGACACATGAATGTGCATGATGTTTAGAAAACAATTTATAAATTTTTTCTTAAATAGGTAGCGCCTTTTATTTTGGGCGAAGTAAAGATATTTTACAAGGAACTAAAGGTAGGTCGATTAAAAATTTGTTACAGATTAGAAAGATATGGTATATACGTAAGTCTAGGAAGGATAATTAAACAGATTGATTTTTACATATATTTTTACTTTAAACACAATAAGCAGATAAGCAGCTTAGATACAAGATATACGGCTATGTCAATAGTTGTGATGTTATTATTATTAGTTCATATAACATATTTACGTTGTGCACTGCCATATCTAAGAATATATGTTAACTATATAAATTAGTCTTAAATAGATATTACAGGTAACCAATAGGTATACGATTTAGGAGTTGTAATGTAGTACCATGTTTCGTGGTTTACAAAGGTATAATTACAACAAATAAGTATTAATGTTATACATAAACAAGTGAATACGCAGCTGGCTAATGGCTTCTTCTAAATCGTACTTTATAGCGGTAAAAAACATAATAAAATGACCAATTCAATGTTAACGTGTAGTACATAAAATATTTTAATATTTTGCACGATTTTATGTTGTATGGTTACACGTGCATCCACGTTCTATATTATGTATAAATAATACGTATTGTAGCACGTATGTAGATGCGCTTGCTTTAAATTTGATTCATTACGCAGCATGCATTTCTCGGAAAAAGTGCTCCAGGATAACATTAAGCACAATATTATAACACATAATGAAATTAAATAAGTACATTAAAGTATACGTATAAATTATGAACACCCGGTGTTTCTATGTCTTATTATGACCGTACACCACTTGTATTTGTAACACGCACGCTCCTTTTTTTTTTTAAATATCTAGACTCATATTTAATAATATGATTGTTGTATACACGTGGTCATTGGTATTTTGTACGTTATGCATATCATGAAATTTATGAAGCTAGTGAGAATTCATCGTTAAATCTTAGTAATAAGTATTTATGTATTAGAGATAATGTTTTGTAACGTGAAAATGCCGGCGAACCTTCGACTATACACAATATAGCATGGTATAAAATGCGTGTTTACCATTGGCGCAAATAGGGTTGACATTTCGAGGGATCATCGTGATGGAATAGTGGTGCTTCGGACTAAACCGAATTGTTTGTTTGTATAAAGTGCGAGGTTATACATGGGTTAAGGCGAAGGCGGTCGAGTTCAATCCCTCCACCACACTACCTAATTGTGCCAACGGACCGTGCGATGATAAGTGGCGCGGGGTTAGGGAGACGGCGACAGGTTGCGGAGAGCCAGGAACAGCTGGTGCTTGTGTGTGTACCTCAGGGTGGATAGCGGTGAATCTTTATCGATTTTGTAGTAGAAATTACGACGTCTGTCCCGGACGCACAGCCGCCACGTCAAATATTCGATTTGCTTCTCAGTGTTGCCAGTGAAGTTGCGAGGCAGGGGTGGCAACGCGGGCACTGGAATCCAGTCGGGGTCATACATGCGGAAACCGTCATCGGCTTCCGATGTGGACTGTGCTACAGCACCAGATTCGAGCTGCTCGAGCACGGGCACAAGACTGACGAGTAACTTGCACCGGGGGCCGATGTTCCGGCAGTGTTTGGTCATCGTTTTGCTGTAGTATTTCTTGTCCACGTACACGGATACGTTTCCCAGCCGGTCGACCAACACGTCCAGCAGCCGGATGTTGAGACGCCAGCCTGTGCCCACTTGGACCAGCACGAAATCACCGGCACTGGTAACGGGCAACATTGAGCCGAGGTCTTGAAGGTCGCGCACTTGTGCCGCGATCGAACACTCGCCGATGTACTCGTGGTGCACCTGCCCGGTGACCAGTAACAAGTGTTTGTAAAGCCCTTGGCGGGAGAGCGGTGGTGGCAACAGTAATTTTCTCGATACTTCAGTGGTCGACGGTGTTGGTGGCCGCTTCGATAATTCGGTGGTCGATGGTGGTTCCGATCGTACAGTGGTCGATCGCGGTGCTGATGATGGCTTCAATATTTCGGTTGCCGGCAAGGCCGGCTGCGGTGGAGCTGGCAGTGGTCGTCGTGGTACTTCGCAGCCGTCGTCCATGACAGAAACGGTAGAGGACGACGACGTGCAATCGGATACGTGTGGCCGGTACCTGTACGTCGGGCCGGCCGAACGCTTGTGACGCCGCGCGTAACAGTGCCGAAAAAAATTCCTGTAAACGCTCAAACCTACTATAGAAGTAAAGAGAACGAGGATAGCGTCATAGTGATGAATAATATTATGAGTAACGATAAAGGATAGCGCTTGAAACGAACATTTGAAATTTTTTTTATTTTAACTTTATAGTACCATAAGGCAAACATACCTCTAGTTCACACCCTGTTCAACATTTTACCTCTTACATATCACATGCAGCTGACACTATAGTAACTACATTCCTTTATGGTACAGGCATTATCGTATCAAACACTGATTTAACTCTGGCTGCTGGGTATTTTCAAAACCATACTAATTGCGAAACGGGTCTGAACTCTGGACGATGAAAATCAATATAAAGAAGTTCGTATTGCATTAATTTTACGTTTCGTCCTAGTATAAATTACTCGATAAAAATGAATAATAACATAATCCCTACTAAAAACGTTGCCGGATATTTAGGTTAATGACTTAGGTTGTTCATTTAGATTAGCGTTTCCCAAATTATTGTTCCGCCAAACTCTTTAAAGATAATATAAATGATCAAGGAACCTTTAATACAAATAAAAATTAAAAACAATAATAAATAATAATACTAAATCGATTGTTTTATTTTCTGAAATAAATGCACATATTTTTATGATAAATAACGATAAACCAACGCGATCAGTCTGTCTCTAATCTTAACTGCTTTTCAACGATAACTATTTCAACAATGTATTTATTATCAACAGTATTTCGCATGTAATACGAATACTACATCAATATATTCGTTTTTATATATAGGTACTTTGTGTATTTTTAATTTACGTTCACGGACCTCCTCCGGTATTTGTGAGGACTACAGTTTGGGAAACGCTGATCTAGACAAAAAACTAAAATAAGCTTTTTACATTAAACTAAAAAGAAAAGTTTTTAATTTCAGACTCTATCGGTAAAGAAAACGATGTAGTGAAAAACTTATCTCTTAACACTAAACCTTTGTTATATGAATGAATAATTCATACAATAACCACTTACGGCATCCAATTAAAGGGAATAGGTAGCTAAAACTTCTAACATCAAAATGTTCCGTTATTTTCATAAGAATACATCTAATCTCTAATGCTTCATGGTATGTAAGTTGTAAGTATGTGAGTTATATAACAATTTACAAATGTCAACGACATATGACCTCCCACACGTATTAAAACTTACACTATTTTTAACACCCATTATCACACACATCTAAACTCTTATTCATTAATCTTCCCAAAAATCTTCTACTTCACTTTAAAAATTAATGGCCTATCAACTTAACATCTTGTTAAAAAAAAACCTTCAATATTATTATCGAGTCTTGTAAATAAACATCGGTTTTTTTTACTCATTGTTTATTTTAATACAGATTGTAAATATTTCTTTAAAAATAAAAACTTTAAAGTACTCAGTAAAATTCATTGCAATGCAATTAAAAATTATAATATACATGATTAGATAATTCTGAGCTGGAAATATAGAAGAACAAATCACTGAAATCAGTACTTAGCGAATATTTGTATAATAATAACAATATTAATGTGCTATGTGATTAATATATTTGGCAATATCTGAAATGCTATACAATGTTTGAAGATTTTTATTTCCAAAAATAGGCACAGTTGCAGTAGCGTAATTATGGGGTGGCAAGGGGGGCAAGTGCCCCCTGTCAATTTTTTGAGAGATAAAGGTATAATTTTACCCCCCCAGATAATCCAACAATACAAATTGTACCTTTTATTAATAAACTCTTATGGGTATTATTTAACAATATTGGTACCTAGTACCTGCTACCTAAAATTTATGTTTATCTAAACCACAAAATGAGCTAAAAGACTTATGTAAAAATCAAACAATTAGATATATTGTATAAAATACATACAATAAAAATATGTTTTAAGAGGGAAAGTGGTGTCAGCATAGGCGGTACTACGAGAGGGGCAAGGTAGGCGGCTGCCCCCCCCCCCCTTCGAGTTCTTACTCTCCCTATACATTTCAAATATTAGTTGGTAACCCCTTATATTACATGCTTATTTAGAGTCTGTATGGTTGTAAGTAATAATATTATTATCTACAACCGTGGGAGCTATTCGTGTAAATATGCTGATAAGATTTTTTGCGTCAACATTTTCAATATTATTATAATTTATTTTTATCATTGACAAATCATGAACCAATATTATTACTTTATTATTATATGTATCACAAAAGTTTTGTATGATTTTATACTTTGATTTGAAGTGTGTATTTTATTTAGTATTCTTGAGTTTTTTAGATAGTATTAATTACAATAAAAATTATGAACACAAACCAAAGTAAAAAAATAAAAACTTTATACCACTTTTTCATACAAGAACCATCATACGAGGCTCTACGAGGTGTGCCGGGTGTCCCTTGGCACACTCTAATGTGAATAATGCGAATAAAAAAATTAAATAATTACAATTGAGAATATATGTGCATACACATTAATTAAATTTTAGTTTTTTGTAAGTAATATTGCAAGTATTCAGAATAAGTCTGAAATAATAATTACGTGTATAATATACACTGTATATCTTACCAATCGTTATTTTACATCATTAACGAAGCCTTTAGTTTTAGAATTTAAATCATAACACGGTTTACATGTACGTGTTTATAGCCTCTCCTTCATATTTTGAAAAAGTAATCAAAAAATGACAGGGCACACTCAAATGTATCACTCTGGGTCTGCCTATGAGAACCATCACAGGTAAATTGTGGTAAGTTATTATTTTAAAATTTTATTAGATAAATTAATATAAATGTAGGTATTTGTAAGTGTATTATTCATTTTACAAAATTATCTTATTTGAAATAAGTTAAAATAGTTATCAATAAAATACTTTTTTTATAGTATTGCTAGGCCAAAGATTTAGACAAAATAGTGTTAATATTTTACTTAAAGTATTTCCTGCCCCCCTGCCAAGAGGGTCTAGTACCGCCTATGAGTTTTAGGGTTTTGGTAATAATAAATATATTATTTTGCCTCCCCCCCCTAGATTTTTTCCCAGTTACGTCACTGCACAGTAGAATTGATTTTGAAAGTAAATTTTAAAATTATAATATTTACTGTAACTAGAAGAGCAGCAGGCAAGCTAGGATGATGTGCATGGGTTGAAATATTGTAATGGTTGTAGGTTAAGTATCTAATAACAATAAGTATTTTATTTACTTCTACCTACGTAAATAAAGCGGATTTAATTATATGAAATCTCCTATAGAAACTGATATAATATTTGGGTCTGACATGTTTGTCCGACATTTCAATTGTCCGACTCCATTTGCTCGACACTACATTTGTCCGACACTACGTTTGCCCGACACTACATTTGCTCGACACAACATTTGCCCGAGGCCCAACAATATATTTTATATATTTTTACTGTACGTAATACTGATGTACAATATTTTATTATTATTTCATTATTTTATTATTATTATTATTTATTAATATACAATATAAATATACAATAATTAAAAAAAAAAAAAAACTAAATCAGACGAATATTTTATCATGGATATTATCGTTCTATATGAAAAGGTACTGAGTATTAAGTATAGTATAGTAGTATAATATAGTTAGGTCCGTATTTAGGGGGGTGCTACAGGGTACTGTTGTCCAAGGGCGGCTGAATATAAGAGGGCGGCTAATTTTTTTATATATTCAATATTTAATGATCTAATATTTTTGAAGTGAAACTTCTTTACAAAATAAAAAGTGTATCAAAAAAAAATATATATATCACCAATCACGGCGTCACGACATATATACACATACTCGGTAACGGTCGAGTACTGTCGATAAGTCCAAAGATTTACAAGCAATCTATTCTTATATTGACATTGATGTTTTTGTGTTCACCAGCAACGAATTGTTCTTCAGAAAGATCTTTTTCAACCCACAGAAATTTGTATTAGGTATAATGAGGCGTTTTTTATTGTTGCTCCCTGGTGTCAGATTCCTAAATATGGCCCTGAATATGGTATATTATGAGTATATTATTAAGTTCTCAATTGTGTTACCAAAAATAAAATGTCATGTAGGTGTTTATACAATTATCGAAGAAATTAAAAAAGAACAAATTCAAATGAAACGGAGAGCTGAAGATATAATTCGTGGATGGGCAGTGCTCGACTTGAGGGGGAATGCAGGAGGGCGGAGTACTCCTTCTAATTTTTAGAAATTTTAGCGTCCCCCTATTATATTAATACGTTATAATTATAACGCTTAACAAGTTTTGGGGACGCAATTTTTTTTTAAACCAACAGAGTTCCCTTCTTTAATTTTGCCAAATCAAGCACTGTGGAACAGTGGCGTAGCCAGGATTTTTAAATGAGAGGGGCTAATCACTTTTTTAGTAAGTAAGTAAAGTAAGAGAGGATATGAAAATTCACCCTTGACCCTCCCCCCACCATCTACCATCAAGTTTTTAAATGTAATTCAAGCATTTTAGTATAGTTTCAAAAATATTTATTAATATATAATTTATAATAATAATAATTATTTTGGTTTCAGTGTTCAGTCACTTGATCCACTCTGAAAGCTGCATCCTCTTAGGCGAATTTCTAGCAAATTCAGTTATTATTTCACTTTCATCGAATTGCTCTTTTTTATTTATATTAGCCATAGCTAATCCATTCAGTCTGTTTACCGACATGGTGTTTCTTAAATAATTTTTTAAGCGATTAAGTGCAGAAAACTTCTTTCCGGAGTAGAAGAAGTAACTGGAAATTACGAATAATTTTAAAAGTATTTTAATGTTAGGTTGAAGATTGGTGTAATGAGAGAGTGAATCAACAGCAGAATTCGGTTTTGGAATAGTATTTTGACTCCATTGTTGCCTCCGTATAAACAGCTCAACTCTGATTGTAGATGAGGTATCATCATAGAGATATTTTAGCAGCTTTAATAATATTATCATCGTCATGCATATTTAAATTGGCCGGAATAAGTCCTTCAAGTGGCATAACATCAATAAGCTTTTGATTAAAATGAGCATCCATTGATTCTATTAAATAGTCAAGAAAAGGAATAAAAGTAGAACATTTAAAATATATTTCTGGATTTTCAGAAATAAAGTTTTTTCTCTGAGTTTGCCTTTTACATACTCGTGGTATTTTTATTTCAATATTAACACTTTTTCCCATATTGACAACGTCATTAAATATTTGATAGTGATTTACCACAACCTTGCATGATAACCATCAAAAAGATAGTGATAATCATGGTAGAAACTAGAAGTATTAGTAATCTGTAATATCTATGCCAAAGACAAACAACTGTTATTCGTTAATTGTCAAAATTTACTTTATACAAATACTTTAATATTTTAAAATACTTAAATAAAAATAATTGTATACTAGTTTAGTAGATAGATAAACTATACATATAAACATGACCTATGGGGGGCTATAGCCCCCTTAGCCCCCCCTTGGATACGCCACTGCTGTGGAAGGGCACATACTTCAACTTACAAAGAATACGCTGAATGAGAAAAACGTATTAGTGCAATTATAAATGACAGGGGAAATCGATCATATTTATCATTTTTTAGGGGAATCACTCATAACATTAAATTATAAATCATATAATGTTTATGTTATTAATAATTTTTGACACAATTATTAGTCGTATAATTTTAAAATTTAACTTTAATTTGTAAATAACATAATAGATATAACATAATATTTTATTGGAATTTTTAATAATTTTTGACGCATATTTATTTATAATATAATTTGAGGTTGTCGGGCAAACATAGTGTTGGACAAATGTAGTGTCGGCCAAATATACTGATCCCATAATATTTGATACTTATAATTAAATAGGTACATTTTTTTAGGAAATACTTTTTATTTAGAATTTAATTACAGTGAAACGTATTATTTAATTTTATTATTTATATGCCATGAATTTCTTATTTTATTTATTTTAAAATAGATAAGTGTGAATTTATGATTATTGATTTTAAAATATAAACAGATATCTATGTCATCACTTATTTTTAAAATTGGTAGCATCTACGTGGATGCAGCCATTATACTTCACTGCAATAATTTCCATATAACTTGATAAAAACAGGTTTTCAGCAATAGAAACAGAACAGAAAGTGATGTAAATTTACAATAAAATAAATAAATGTATAAATGATATAATAAATATTTAACAAATTAATTTTCATACTAATTCAAATTATTTAAAAAATAATCAAATGGTACTTAAGTTGTAATAAAGATGACTATGAGTTATCAGCAACACGAAATTTACAAATAATAATAATGTGTCCTGTCTTATGCAAGAGAGGTTTTAATTGTCATTAGGGTATCGAATGTTTTTTACGGGGAAAGACAAACAAAGAAGTAGCCACGCCAACTCTGTATTTTTTTATGTATCGAAGTTTAATACCCTACATTTATTTCATACTTTTATCATGGTTATTAGAAAATAGTTGTCTACATGGTGGTTAAATAACACTTTTACTTACTGTGAACTCAATGCAGTTTGTCCGATAGTAAGAACATAAATTCCGTACAGAAAAAATAAATTCGTCATTAGACTCGCTGTAAAAAAATAAAAAATAATTTTATTATAGATTATTATAGAGTACGAGTGCTACCAGCTTGAAAGATTAAAACTAAAATATTTTTATTGAACACGTATGCGATTTAACCTCCAAGTGTATGCAACGTGTATTACCTATACGTGTATGTAACTAGTACTAATAAAAAAAAAACAGTAGAACACCAAATCGTGCACATTGCACATTTCTATACATTCAGGTTTTGTGAAATTTACATTTTATATAATGAAAAGACGCAGTATATCATTTAAAGTTGACATGTACCTGTCTGAATCCATGGTAACAAACATTATTCCAAAAACTAATTAATTAATTAATTCAAGTCGAAAGAAAAGTTTAATCAAGCAGTTGCATTTTGTTTTGTAAAAAAGTAAGTTATTAGAATAATATATAATTTTATTTTTTAAGTAAAACAACGAAGAACTGAATGTCTGGATTATATTTTTCAAAATCGTTTTTCATTTACACTTTTAACCCGTTGACATAACTTTGAATAAGTAAAAATCAATTCGTATTATTATTTGGATATAATATCTATGCATCAGATATTATTTGTATATTGTACTGTCTCGTTTTTATATTCTTATTTCTATTAAATAGCCGAATAAAATTAGTAAAATAATTTAAAACTTCTTGGCTTCTAAAAAATAATGCAATGTTGAAAAAATTGACATTTAAACTTCTAACTTATTGGACTATAATGGGTTAGGTTTGAGGGGAATAATTAAAAATCGTTACGACAGTATTCGACTTATGTGGTTACGAATAAATGTTAAGTACATTCTCAATAGCTATAGTTTCATCATAATTAACATTTTTATGTCGAACAAATATCACACAAACACTGAGTTTACGAATTTTACGGGTCAAAAAAAATAAATAAAAACTTTTTCAATTTGAAAAATCGAGTAGAATTATGAAATAACGAGGTAAAAATGGATTAGAAAATGAGTAGGAAACATTTTTTTCTTAGTTTTTAAAATAATTATTATTTGAGTTTTGTCAAAACGTGATTTTTTATTCTGTAAATTTTTAAATCCATTATTGTACATTCTGTAAAAACGTGAAACATACACGAGTACAAACACGAAGAAAAATAGTATAAAATAAACATAGTTGTACACATATACTTTTACAAATTTTCTTTACTAAGATAAACTAATACATTTTCAATTATTTAACAACTGGAAAATCAAAATGTAATATAGTATATTTGATAATAATTTATACTCACCCATATCATTTTGAATGGCGAAATATGTTTTGACTCGTTCAAATACTAATCAACGCTCATAACTTATGGTTTATATTGGGTTACATAACATACAACGGACACTGAGGGTTAATGAATACTGTTTTTTCATTATTATTTACACGACGCTGACCCTTTGCAGGTGTAATAGAATAACACCCAAGCGTTGGTTATAATAGGATTCACTAAGCCGATACCATTGCGTACGCTCTAGTAAACTTAAATATACATTTTAGATTACTGATTACAATATAATGTTGTTTTTTTTCTTCTTCTACTATATGTATACATACACATTTATACTCAAACACACTCACATACGTATACGCTCACACATATACATACAGACATTTAGACAAACAATCACGTATACGAATGCATCTTTATCGGTCTAATATATCTACTATAGCGTGTGTCAATCGATATAATAATAATAATAATAATAATAATAATAATAATAATAATAATAATAATAATAATA